GTTTGCACGTCCTTGGAGGAGCAGGAAGACTGCTGGTCCACTCACTTCTCGAACTTGCTCAATGTTCCCAGCACCTTCAATGCCTCCACCGTTGCTAACATCCCCCAACGTGAGCCTGACGAGTCTCTGGCAGTCACACCAACAATGGAAGACCTTGTCGTCGCCATCAGACACCTTGCAAATGGCAAAGCTGGAGGTTCCTCGCGTATAGTCCCCGAGCTTGTGAAAGCAGGTGGCCATGATTCCCTGGACGCATTGCTGGATCTCGTCCAACTTGCTTGGACGACGGCCACTGTTCCGCAGGAATGACGCGATGCCGATTTGGTTCCTGTTCCCAAGAAGGGCAGCCTGTCCAAATGTGATAATTGGCGGGGTATTGCCCGTCTTGATGTTGTTGGCAAGGTGTGTGGCCGCATGATTCAAGATCGCCTGCAGTTGTTGGCTGAGTCGGAACTCCCAGAGTCCCAGAGCGGCTTTCGGCCAGGCAGGGGCTGTGTTGATGCCATCTTCTCGCTCCGCCAGCTAATCGAGAAAGCATACGAACATCGTCAGCAGCTCTTCTGTGTGTTTGTGGATTTGAAAAAGGCGTACGATTCTGTACCACGCGCTGCTCTCTGGGTCGCCTTGGGCCGACTTGGGGTTCCGCAACAGCTAGTGGCCCTGATTAAGGCTTTCCACACCTCTACCTCTGCCTCGGTCCGAGTTGGCAACTCCACCTTTGATGGGTTCCCTGTGGTTAATGGTCTCCGACAAGGATGTGTCATGGCACCAGTTCTCTTTAACCTGTACTTCGGGGTGGTTGTTGAGACATGGCGTGCCCGGCTAAAGGATGCAGGTTGTAGTCACTCTGTCAGCATCCAGTTTACCATCGATGGCCAACTCTACCCCCGCTCATCATCGCGCAGGGCTGGCGAGTCACTGTCTGTTAGTGACCTGGAGTATGCTAATGATGCCGTTCTCGTGCCTGAATGCCGTAGTGATGCTGAGTTTGGTGTGGAGCTCTTCTGTAGTGTTGCCCGAGAATTTGGACTAACTGTGAGCATCGCCAAGACGAAGATCATGACGGCGGGTCATGGGATCTCTGCTGAAGACTCGGCTGACATCGTTCTCCCTCTTGGCACTATCGAAGCCGTGCCGAAGTTCACTTACCTAGGATCCATAGTGACCCCTGACAGTCGTTCTTCATCCGACATCAAGCGCCGTATTGCCGAAGCCTCAAAGGCCCTTCGGAGCCCTCCAGAAGGTATTCACTGACAGATCTCTGTCCCTCTCTAGTAAACGCCACCTGTACATGGCCTGCGTTTCCTCAATATTACTGTATGGCGGAGAGTGTTGGACCCCACTCCAACGGGATATCAGAAGTTTGGATAAATTCCACCATCAATGCATCCGGGCTGTCCTCAGCATCACCAAGCCTCGTCAGTGGTCCGAGCGGCTGTCATCCACAGACCTGCGGAACCGTTGGGGAGACCCAGTACTGATGTCTACACGCCTCCGCAATCGGCGTCTGGAATGGACTGGGCACGTTGCGCGTATGGATGAGGATCGCACCCCCTCCAACTCCTCTTTGGGTGGCTACCTGTGCCTCGGCCGTTTTGTGGTCCCCGGCGACGGTGCAAAGACACGGTGATGACCGACCTCAAGTTTGCACTGCAACAGCCATCTCAGAGGTTCATCCTTGCTCAGGACCGCCAACAGTGGAGGGAAGTACGGGTTGCCCCTCAGTCGAGCTCCACCATGCCCAAGTCTGTGCATTGCGCAGTGTGTGACCGGAACTTCTCACGGGTCTCCGATAGAACGCGGCACAAGTGCACCACTCAGAGACGGCTTCCCATCCAGCTCCAGCGTGGATCAGTGCAATGCCAGAACTGCCAGAGGTGGTTCCGCAGCAAGGGTGGCTACTCTGTTCATCGATGCCAGCCTGTCACGAGTTCTCCTACACCAACAGTCAGTCTGTCTGTGCCACTTTCAGCTTGTTGCCAGCAGCACTGCCCAACATGTCAGCGATACTTCCGTTCTGTGGCCGGGTTCAAGCGTCACAACTGCAATCGTGGTGCGAGACCATCTGCTGCTGAGAGAGCAGCTCTGCCCCTCAGCTGCCCACATTGTTAATGCAATTTCCGCCGGCAGCAGGACCTAGCCAGACCTTCGCGGTCCTGCTTGTGATCCGAGTCCCGTTTTCTGGTCCATTTTCCATAGGGGTGACACTTGCCCCTCTGGGCAGTCATGCTGCTAGTAGTAGTAGTAGTAGTAGTAGTAGTAGTGTCTATTCGTTGAATTGGATAGGTGTACGGACAGTTCTCCACAATGCATGCACATCCATTCATAACATTCATGACAGGTAATTTATATTGACATTGGCTTAGACTTGCATACATGACGGGACCTGTTACTTTAATTTTCACTTTGAGTTTAAAGTTTTCTTCTTTTGACATTGGATTTGACATTGGATTTGACATTGGATTTACTAATTGATTTGACGTTATTTAAAGGAGTTTTCTTTTTTTAATTGAATTGATCTTCAATGATATACGATTTCACGTTTCCGCTATTTTGCCCGTAAAAGAGGCTTGTCACCAGTAGTAGTAGTCAAAGAACTTTATTGAAAAATCCATGATAATGTGATCGGAAAGATGATTGAAGAAAAAATCCAAACTCGAGTCAAATCCAGGCAAATATTAACAGTCACTACTATCAAAGCAGATCACTATTCACAATAGCGCAACTTGGAAAGCCGGCCAAAAAGGAAGATATTGAAATTAACCGAAGGCCTCCGTGCACAGCACATGGAGGACCTTATAATTATATTCCCACTCACAACTGGAGCAAACGGCATTGGTCCAGGAATGAAATTGCTACACGCTTTCGGCAGTATGAAGCTCTGCACCCACGAAAGCAAGTAATCAGCCAGCGGAGCAAAGTAAAAGAGATCCTGCAGCGCAAATGCGACATTACTATTGCATAACTAAGCTCTGGCTGCTTCTCGACAATGAGCTGAACAATGTTCTTTAGAGCACGGGAACATTCGGAAGCGCACATACCATTGGTCGCGAAAACCAAAGGTGTGAAGGTGCCTCGCTCAACATCAATCACACGTTGTAGATAGGCCCGTTTCTTCTGTGCTTCGTTACGAGACAACTGGGCAAGTACATCCGATCTCGACAGCAAGGACGCCGAGGGGTGGGTGACCCTCACATCAAAAAATGCATCTTGCTGTCGAGACCAGAAGCCCCTTGCACAAATGTCCAAACGAGCCTCAGGAGAACGATTGGCAGTGGCACAATCCAATGACTCACCAGTCAAAGGCAGCAACGTAGGCTCTATCCTTACATCAGAAATGACAGCCGAAAACACCTCCGCCAACAGGTCCCGAATCTCATTATGGCGTAGACTTGGGTAACCCCCTGTTGGACATACTGCAGCGTGATCAAGCGTCATGGCCGCTCCACATACGCAGGATGATGGTAATTCATCAAGTGGCCAGCCGTAACGAATTGCCACTGCATCACGAAAGGCGGACTTGTTCAAGACGAATCCACAGGAGGCAAGCGGCTCCGCCGTAAGCCAACTTCCCACACCGGCATCTCTGGAGGTTTCCAGCAGAACACGCTGAGGGCCACTTAGGGCAGGGGCCAGCTCTGACAGCTGGGTCCTATGCATATCAGCACGTTGATTGTTTTGATGTCTCCGGAGAACGCTGGTGTCGGAAACAACCCGAGCCGGCGTCAACTCACTGGACCCCGACCGCAGCATTCGCACGACGGGCCCAGTGACAACTTCACTTATCCGGCGCTGCACCTCTGCGTCCTCCGACACCACAGGAATAGCGAGGCCACCATATCGCACTGGTAATGCCAGCAGCTTCCGCTCCGAATCAGAAACCTCCGTCCGGCCAGTTAAGGTAGGGATATATTTATTATTTATGACATCATCCAGTGGTCTGTACGAAGAAGCCGACCCTGGATGACTTCGGATGTGATAATTCCACTTGCTCTTCATACCACGGACAAATGCGGAATATGCGGCGTGAGGCTGTGTAAGCGAGATGTCAGCCAAGAGGCTCATCTCCCGCACCCAACTCGCAATGTGGCTATCGAGATTATCGGCAATGAACGTCGACTGGCCAACAGCACCTCCCAGGTACCTCGCTCCACCGGTTCGTATTGCAATACCAGTGGCATCGAACATGTCAACGGCCGCCCGCTCCAAATCCGGCTTGACAAGGAGTGTCGTCTTTGAGGCATTGGGGAAATAACCATACTCCGGTCCAATGTCAGACAAAGCCAACCAAAACTTGTGCACGTCCATCATCCTTCCACCAGCCTCGCCGTCATCCGCATACCAGCACTGGCCAATAGATGGGTGGTCACTTGACAGGCGTCTGATCATAGGGCTAATAGCCAGCGCAAACAGTGCCATGGCCAAAGGATCGCCCTGGCAAGTACCCTCTCGAGACAAGATCCTGTCACCACCCGGCAGAAACAACGATATTGGAGCGCCATATGTGTTTTGGAAGATTGTGGAAACGGCAGGACACACTCGAGGAACGTTATGAAGCGCTGCCTGTCTGTTAACAGCATTAAATGCATTAGACGCATCTATGAACAAAAGTCACTAGTAGTGTGTGTGTGTGTGTGTGTGTGTGTGCGCGTGCGTGTGTGTACGTGTGTGTTGGTGTGATGTCCAGGGTGATGGTGTAATGTGCCAAGTCACAATGAAAGGTGGGGATCCTATGCCAACTGCACAGGCAGCACACTATGTTCAGTATGTGTACAGTGTGCACACTATGTGCACAGTATGTGTACAGTGTGTGTACAGTGTGTGTACAGTGTGTACACTATATGTACAGTGTGTACACTATGTGTACAGTGTGTACAGTGTGTGCAGTGTGTATAGTGTGTACAGTATGTGCAGTGTGTACAGTATGTGTACAGTGTGTACAGTATGTGTACAGTGTGTGCAGTATGTGTAGTTCATGTATGTCTAGTATTCAAACTCACCTGCAATATAGTTCTGTTAGCTGTCGGTAACCTACAAACACACACACACACACACACACACACAAACACAGATGCATACACACAGAGGCAAAGACACAGAAGAGTCACCACTTGGTGTGGGCATCAACTGCCTGTGGGCTATCCGTATATTGTCACTAGTACTCACTACATTCATAATAATCACACCAGCTACTGTTGATTGGTGCGGCTTGGTGAATTGATTGGGTGGCTTGGTGAATTGATTGGTGCGGCTTGGGGAATTGATTGGTGAATTGATTGGTGAATTGATTGGTGAATTGATTGGTGAATTCGCTCAAAGAAAGCGTATACACGTAGTAGAGGGGAACTGCAAGGTCCTCCCCCCGACACCACTCCCAGATCCGACACCACTCTGCAATCCGACACCGCTCTGCAATCCAACACCCATGCAGCCACACGTCATGCTACATCAGTGTGCATGCACGTCCATGATTGTATACTACTACTAGTACATACATGTGACATCGGAGGTCACGAAGGCACGCATCTCTTTCTTGGCTCGTTCTCACCTTTTTCAGGCTCTTTGCTGCTTCTTTCTGGCCCTCCTTTACTCCATATTTGGGCAATCAGTGCTCAAACTCTAAACCCGGATGCCCTCCAGCTCTGTGATAGCTGCTTATCTCTCACATCCCACATACATAGGATTTTCCCCATTTTGCAAATCTGATCATACTTTGAAGTATTTCACAAAGTGAACTACACAGCATGGCAAAATGCTGCGTGACTTCTATGGTTATCAAAGAGGATGTCTAAACTTGGATACTGAGCCAATAACAAATGCAAAATAGAAGAAATCACATGGGAACGAGTTATGAAGCAACTATCCACGACTGTAACAAGATAATAAGAAGTCAGAAAGTGCGATAACAGGGCACAAAAACTGACAGGCTACTGAAACATTCAACCATCTCACACCTAACTTAGCTCCAGCACATCTCCAGTGCGCAAACCAACAGTCTTCCAGCACTTCCACACTTCCCACAGTTATTGCACTTTCTGACCGCGTATTATCTTGTTAGTTGGTAGATAGTTACTTCATATTATACTCATACCCGGGCGTTTTCTTCTCTTTTAAAGATGATGTCAGCAAAGTTTGACCAACACTCATGTATGGCCTTTGGTTTGGTCCGATCAGGCCTTTCGTAAAGGAATACCTTCCATTTAATACCTTCCACTTTCTAAATCCTGTACATGTATAAGACTTGGACTCTTCAAGTATTGTGTGGGGCATCTCCCTACGTCTGTACGTCATTCAAGAGCTCAAATTCAAACCGGTTCTGTCTACAGACCACCTGCACTGTGCGGTATCCCACGCTTCTCTCTTCACGTGCACTCTTCTCCCTTCGCACTTCTCCTTAATTCCATTTAGACACTTCTTGTTTGTTCTCTCTTCTCTTCTCTTCTTTTCAACTCCTTCTACGTTCTGCCGGCACTTCTGGTCTACTCACTATACTCTGTGGTGTGTGTTGGCATTGAGTCTATTGACACACCAAGCTTATGTCGTAGAGCTCAAAATTGCAATTTATGTCCATGTTCATAGGCCAAGCTGAATATGGTGACAGATACTCATGTACGAGATATGTGCATGCACGTGAGCTGTACACCAGCACTTACGCATTGACTGAATCATCATCATACACCGGGGTTATTCGTAGTGGCATTCTAGCTGTGCCCTGCCTGCGCACACGATGATGTTCTGCCGCACCCACATCCACTAACTGAGCCTGCAACCAAATAGGACAAATGAACGAACTGAAGTGCTAAGTACACACCTTTTGACCTTTTGACGCCCATCGCCGGAGGCGATGATAGCAATGCTACGGCAGAAGCCATAGCAACTTGTGCTGGGATTGCACCATTCAACAGCTTGCAAGGCTGAAGAATTGACCATCACTACTCAGCCTGGTCTACACCATACAGCTATTTGAAGTGACTTTTCTGGCCAGTGAATCCCTATTTTTGGTCTTTCATTTTTTTTCCCCGCACACACATCACACCACATACTCCGGCATGCACTGGCTGTTGGTAACCACTCAGGAGAATGAAAGAAAAGTCAGGAAGAGACTGAGAAAGAGAAGAAAGACGTGTGTGGAACCCACAACCTATCGATTGGAAATCGCTGCACATACCACTGTACCATATGGGACACACTAAATGCACCTCAGACCTCAGACATGCCCATCGCGGAAGCGATGATAGCGAACAGCTATGTTAAACATAGCAACTTGTGCTGGGATTACACCATTCAACAGCTTGCAAGGCTGATGAATTGACTGCCACTATGTTTAGCCTGGTATCCACCACACAGCTGTTTGAAGTGACTTTTTCTGGCCAGTGAATCCCTATTTTTCATTTTTCCATTTTTTTCTACACACCTCAGACCTCAGACCTCAGACATGCCCATCGCGGAAGCGATGATAGCGAACAGCTATGTTAGACATAGCAACTTGTGCTGGGATTACACCATTCAACAGCTTGCAAGGCTGATGAATTGACCGCCACTATTTTTAGCCTGGTATCCACCACACAGCTGTTTGAAGTGACTTTTTCTGGCCAGTGAATCCCTATTTTTCATTTTTCATTTTTTCCATTTTTTCTACACACACACACCACACCACATACTCCGGCATACACTGGCTGTTGGTAACCACCCAGGAGAATGAAAGAAAAGTCAGGAAGAGTACGAGAAAGAGAAGAAAGACGTGTTCGACCGTAATCGTCGGGAATTGAACCCGCAACCTCTCGATTGGAAATCGACTGCACATACCACTGCACCATATGGGACACACACACCATTGGACCATTGGACCATTGGACGCCCATCGCCAGAGGCGATGATAGCGATGCTACAGCAGAAGCCATAGCAACTTGTGCTGGGATTGCACCATTCAACAGCTTGCAAGGCTGAAGAATTGACCGCCACTATTCAGCCTGGTCTACACCACACAGCTATGAAGTGGCTTTTTCTGGCCAGTGAATCCCTACTTTTTGGTCTTTTTTATTTTTTTCCCGCACACACATCACACCACATACTCCGGCATGCACTGGCTGTTGGTAACCACCCAGGAGAATGAAAGAAAAGTCAGGAAGAGTCTGAGAAAGAGAAGAAAGACGTGTGTGACCAGAATCGTCGGGAATCGAACCCGCAACCTATCGATTGGAAATCGCTCCACATACCACTGCACCATATGGGACACACACACACACACACACACACACACACACACCACACACACACACACACACACACACACACACACACACACACACACACACACACACCCATCATCATATCTACACAAACAAACACTTAGTAACCATGGTAATACAGCCATCAGCAACAACACCAGCGCTGTGGGACCAGTAGAAGCATGTGTTGATTGGTCGGGCTATGCCGCTTAGCCTTTTCATACTTTGTAGCTGGTACACACACCCTCCTCAGAAGTAAAACACGCATTGGTTCTGGCAACCGGTCTGGTTGGTCCGACCATAGTCTGACCAACCGGACCGGCCAGGCCTGCACCAGTACACGGTCACCCTTAGCAACAACCCTAGCCACAACCCTAGCCACAACCTGTTGCAAAAGAAGGATCCACGAGCAGGATTCGACTCATGGGTCCTTCTTGCTACAATCCCTAGCCACAACCCTAGCCACAACCCTAGCCACAACCCTAGCCACAACCTTAGCAACAACCTTAGCAACAACCCTAGCCACAACCCTAGCAACAACCCTAGCCACAACCCTAGCAACAACCTTAGCAACAACCCTAGCAACAACCCTAGCCACAACCCTAGCAACAACCCTAGCAACAACTTTAGCAACAACCTTAGCAACAACCCTAGCAACAACCCTAGCCACAACCACCACCAGCAGCAGCAGCAGCAGCACCACCAGGACACTGAGGCTGTGATCGTTTTGCCCGATCCTGATCCAGATCCCAGATCCACTGGATCCCTCAGAATAAATTGGAACACATTCGGAACACCCTGCTACTGTGTCCATGTTGAGGCAGAAAATCGACAATCGAAATGTCACTCCAGGTTTGTACTCGCCATACTCTTCTGCATGGTGCACCACTCTTCCAAGTGTATGTGTTCTAAATGCGTATAACAATGATAACAATAATGGTTACCCGCCAAACACGTACAGGTACAAAAGTCTTATTCGGCAAAAATGAATTCGTTGGATCCAGTCAACCCTGCTCCCGGATCCGAATCCGATGTTTCTGGATCTGGATTCGACCAATCGATCACTGCAGATAGAGGAATCCTATGAATCTGGATCTGGATCCGACCAAACGATCACGGTCTGAGTCAATTGAGTGTTCTATTTCTTGCCAAAATTGGGTTGTCGTTTTGCTTTGGTTCCTACTTCGTGGCTTCACGCATTGACTTGGTGAATATACCCGGTCTCAAGCGCACTGGCTCACTGACTCGCAGTCACTACAAGACCACGTCAGACTGACACAATGCATGGCATATCTTCAAGACTGTGAACAAAATTAATGTGGTAATGTTTGGCAAGGTTTGACTTCAAATTAATGAAGTAGCGGTGGACATTTTGATACCACCAATCACCATTATACCATAAAATCATACTAACGTTATTCTGTATAGGCATACCACTATAATACCATACTACATGATTGTATTACAAGTATAACATAACAAGGTTCACTCATACAGTCACATGTATACAGTTGTAGACTTGCACAGTTGAAGTGCTTCAATACCTTTTTCTCAGGCCAAGGTACAGCATCATCAGCTCTGACAGCAACTAAACAAGACAACCCCCCGAACATTAGCCACAGTAGCCATACTTCCATAGCTGGCCCTTCACAGCTGAGACACAGAGTCTGTTTATTACTTCATGCACGCAGGACTAAGTCTCGCCACCGACAGAAAAATAAGCAAGCAGGGACTACCAGGCAACTCGACCACAATGATTAGGTAAAAATCAAACTTTCTGCATTCAGGCCGGATGTTCAAAACTACTCCCTGGTTCAAAGTAGTTCGAACCGCACAGACAGGTTCTCTTTTGAAGTTTTCCAATTTTGGGTATTTTCTTGTTTGTTGATTGTGCTTGCGGTGTCGTACGGTTTCCTCGTATGGGAGGTGAGCGTATCAACCCTACGCACGTGGCCATATGCGACTCTTCCGATCCCATGTCGGGCCATGATATGTGACGCTATGGCCAAGTGTGCTCGTCGTCTCGCTACTACGTAGACTCTACGTGGACCCGGCGTCACTAGACGCCTACACTGCATGCAGGCTGATTCCACTCGACAAATGCCCTGGAGTCAGGCCAATAGGCATCGGGGAAGTCTTGCGGCGCATAGTGGGGAAGGCCATCCTCGAGGTGATCCGCCCCGAAATCATGGAAGCTGCTGGCAGTCTCCAGCTATGCGCGGGGCAAGATAGCGGCATAGAGGCGGCAATCCATGCGATGTGCGACGTATTTGATGACCCTTCCACTGAAGCCATTCTTCTGGCTGACGCCACCAACGCGTTTAACTGCCTAAATCGCGAAGTGTGCCTCCGTAACATCCAGCACCTATGCCCATCACTCGCCAAACTCGTGATCAACACCTACCGAAAGCCCACTAGCCTCTTCGTCGGCGGCGAGAAGATCTTGTCATGTGAGGGTACCACACAGGGCGACCCCGTCGCCATGGCGATGTATGCCATTGGCATCATCCCACTTATGAAAGCTGTTGCAACAGAAGGAGCCGTACAGGCATGGTATGCAGATGATGCCGGATCCGGTGGCAAGCTGAAGAGCGTCCGAGTGTGGTGGGATCAGCTGACGGAGAAGGGCCCCAAATATGGCTACTTCCCAAATCCAGCTAAGTCTGTCCTAGTGGTCAAGCCCCCACTCCTCGACGAGGCCATCCGGATTTTCGCTGGTACTGGTGTTTCCATCCAGGCAGATGGATGCCGCTACCTTGGTGCAGCCATCGGGTCATCCGCGTTCGCCACGCAGTACGTGCAGCAGAAGGTTGAGGAGTGGGTCGCACAGGTCCAACGGCTGAGTGACTATGCCCACTCTCAGCCTCAAGCTGCGTATGCCGCGTACACCCATGGCCTACAGAGTAAGTGGACCTTTCTCTGCCGAGGCATGCCAGCTATGGATGAACACCTGCTTCCACTTGATGATGCTGTGTCCAACATGCTGATCCCTGCCCTTCTGGGACGACCGGTGAATACCCAGGAGCGCAGCCTCCTTGCTCTTCCGTGTCGCTTCGGCGGTCTCGGGCTGCCCCACCCATCGTCGCGAGCCTCCCAATATCAGTCTTCTCGAGACATCACCGCGCCCCTGACAAGCCGTATCTTGGTCCAAGATATGGAATTAGGCACCGCCATTGACGATGTACGCGCTGCCAAGAAGCAAGCGAAGAACACAGTTGACGCCTCGGTTCGGGCTGATGCTGTGCTTCTTTCCTCATCTGTGGATACTGAGTTGCAGCGGGTCATTGCGCTAGCGTCGGAGAAGGGAGCTTCTTCCTGGCTGACCTGTCGACCCTTGAAGCGGCATGGCATGACCCTCACCAAGGGTGAGTTCCGCGACGGAATCCACTTGCGCTACGGCTGGCTTCCACAGCGACTGCCATCATCTTGCAGCTGTGGAGCCACATTTTCAGTCGCTCACGCTTTGTCTTGCCCCACAGGGGGGTTTCCGTCGGTGCGGCACAATGAGGTGCGTGACCTCACTGCCCATATGCTGAAGCGAGTGGCTCACAATGTCTCCGTGGAGCCCCACCTGCAGCCGGTCACTGGGGAGCAGTTCCGGTATCGCACCGCTATCCAGACTGAGCAGGCCCGTCTCGACGTTGCGGCAAGTGGCATCTGGGGTGGCCGGTTTGAGCGCACCTTCATCGATGTGAGGGTTTTCAATCCTCATGCGACCTCAAACCGCGCCACCTCCATTGCTTCCTGCTACACCAAGCACGAGAAGGAGAAGCGGCGTTGCTACGAGCAACGTGTCCGCGACATAGAGCATTCGTCGTTTGTTCCGGCCATATTCTCTACCACTGGTGGTTTGGGCAAACACGCGGAGTCGCTCTACAAGCGGATAGCTTCTCTTCAAGCCGCGAAGACTGGAGAAGCATACAGCTGTGTTATGTCTTGGGTTCGATGCAAATTGAGTTTTGCCCTACTCCGGTCCAGCGTGATGTGTTTGCGCGGATCCCGGAATCTTCGGCCGGTGCAGTTGGACTCACCTCCCACCTTGGCGGTTGCTGAGGCGGGCATTCGCATTTGATACCATTTGCCTCTGGTTTTGTCTGTATTGGCTTCGTCTGTGCTCTTTTCATCCTACTACTAGTAGTTTTCAGTCAAAATGGGTGCCTTATTATTTTTCTTAAATAATAAAATTATCTCTATGTCGGGCCATGATCCAACCATGCATGCGTAGATCTACGCGCGTGGCGCGGGCATTGCGTGCACCAGGGAGTCGTAACATACCGGTATTTTACGACTCCCTGGCGTGCACGTGGCGCGCTAGACATGCATAAAGCAGCATATAATGCATTCATGATGATGTCTACAGTCATTGCGTCATCTTTTATCTTTACGATTGTTTTCCTGGTTTAGACTTTAGTTTTTATGGTGGCGGTCGCGCGGGAAGGCGCCCGCGTGCAAATGCAAAACAAAAGCTAGCTCAAGCAGGCACTTTTTCAAGTTTTTGTCCCTCATGGCGACTCAAGAAGAAAGCAGTGAGCGGCGACGTTCCTCTCGTCGCTTGTCCCGAACCCAAACCCCCGTCAGGATTCTGTTAGGACTTGAGAAAGATGCTAGCCCTACGCTGGAAACTCCTGGAAAGCGAAGAGGTTCACCAGTTAGTGGTGGACCTGCAAGAAAACGATCCAGATCAAGCCGCTCGCGTGTTTCAGTGACTTCTTTGACAACCCCAGAAGGACTACCAATTACGAGTGTGTTATGTACTTACTGTACAGGAGACGAAGATGACAACAAGCAAGGCAAGTTTGAAGCTTTAGTTACGTGTTCACGATGCCACGAAAGTGCTCACCCGTCATGCCTGCCCATGTCAGCAGAGTTAGCAGAAATTGCCCGCACTTATGAGTGGCTGTGCTTTTCCTGTAAGGAGTGCATGCAGTGTAAGAGTCGAACGAGGCAGTCCAAGCTGCTGCTTTGTGATTTTTGCGATCGTGGATATCACACGTTCTGCCTACGACCGCCTTTGAAGGAACCTCCATCTGGAGACTGGAAATGTCCACATTGTTCTGGCGAACCTCTGCCAAGTGTGACTACAGCAGCAGCAGCAATGACACCCACAAGTGCAACAGCGTGTAGCACGGAAAGGCAGAAAAGTGGCTCGCCCACTGCTGGCACTAGTGTCGATGGCATCATGCCACTCAGTGCCGCTTACTCTGCAAACCTGGAAAAGAGAAGTGCGGATGACGACGAGCCAATTATTCGACGGCCAAAGTCAACAAACAAGATGAAGTCCCCCAGAAAATCATTATCACACGCATCTTCGACAGCAACAAGCAACCATAGCAGTGCTGCTAGTAGTACAGTTACTAGTCCAAAGAAACTAAAGTCTAATTTTGACGACATACTGAGAAATCCGGAGCTGGTGGAGCTACGCGAGCGCTTGTCCAGTGGAGTAGATTGCGAGCACGTGGACATGTTTCTGCAATCGTATGTGGCTGCTAATGAACAAACCGACACCGAGCAAGCATGCTGGGATGATGCAACTTCCAGCAACAGCGCTGCTGGTATCGCGAGTTTTGCTGCCACCGGCGTGCACCACCCGACTGGGACAATACGCAGTGTATGTGTGGGCAATTACGAAATGGAGACCCGGTTTTCATCCCCGTATGCTCCAGATGTGGTTTGCCTGAAGCGCCTGTTCCTGTGCAGCTTCTGTCTGGTCCCTGCGAAGAGTCCATCTATGCTTGGACGGCATATGCGCAAATGCCAAGTGCGTCACCCTCCTGGCAAGGAAATCTATCGCAAGCACGGCCTGTCAGTGTTTGAGGTCGATGGCGCTGTGGGCAAAGAGTACTGTCAACGATTGTGTCTACTGGCGAAGCTGTTTCTGCACCACAAGACGCTCTATCACCAAGTTGAACCGTTTCGCTTCTACGTCTTGACCAAGCTGGATGAAAGTGGATATCAACTTGTCGGCTACTTCAGCAAGGAGAAAGAGTCGCCTAAATCCTACAACGTATCCTGCATCCTTGTCTTACCATCGCACATGCGCCAGGGCTTTGGGCGTCTGTTGATTGACCTCAGCTATCACCTGAGCCAGCGCGAAGGAAAGATTGGCTCTCCGGAGCGCCCCCTGTCCGACCTTGGTCTTGTTACGTACCGGTCTTATTGGAAAAGCATCGTCTTGTCACATTTGCAAGGCCGCAAAGCGAGTGTAGTGTCGGCGGCTGGTTCATTACCGATCACGGTCAACATCAAGGCGCTCAGTCAGCAGACATCGATTCTGATGGCGGATTTGATCAGCACGATGCAGTCGATGGGAATCCTGAAGTACTGGCGGGGTAATCATATTGTTCTCCTCAACAACTCATCTGCAAGCAAGAACACGCAGCATGTGAATACCTCTAAGAAAGGTTCTCGTCACTTCACTAGCATTGATGACAAGGCGTTGCGATGGAGCCCTCCACCCGATCCTCCGGGAGCGTAGTTTCCATTGAGCATGAGCTGCTCGTTGATCTCATCTCATTTCGGTGTTTAGTGTGTTAGGCATTTACTGTTTAGTCACACTCGTTGTCATGTCAGCAGGTACAAGAGGAACTGTGATTTCTTGGCTCTTCTTTGCTTAGGTTAGATATAACTCTGGCCTGGCCCTGCGCATGTGGGTGTTTGTGTGGGTCCGTGGGTGTGCGCGCATGTGTGTGTGTGTGGGTCCGTGGGTGTGCGCGTATGTGTGTGTGCGTGTTTAGGGTGTTTTGAGTAATTTTTAGACCCTTGAGGGTGTGTTGAGACTGCTTGTTTTTCATTGCGTATTTTCTTACTGCTTCCACTAGCACTCCCCCCCCCCCCCCCCTCCGATTTTTCGCCTGCTGGTCAGGCTGCTGAGCTTAGAGCAAGTATTTGTCTGTCTTTCTTTGTTGTCTAGGCTGCCAATATGTTCTATGCATGTGTGGGCATGTACGAGTATGTGCATGACTGTTGACTCGCGCACTTTTTATTGCGACACGTGTACTTGATCATGGTAGTGGTGATGGTGGTGGTGTGTGTGTGTCGTGTCGTAGGAGAGGCTGTATGAGCATGACTTTACTATCTGCTGGTCTACTGCTGTTGCTTCTTCTTCTAAGGCTGCAGTGTGTGTAGGTTAACAGTCCCTTTCATATGCCAGCTCTACACTGCAGCATGTTTTAGATTACAGCACTTCTGAGTATTTTCAACCTGCCATTGCCCAGGCGTCAGTGCTTTGGGTTGAATAAGCAAACTAGTGGCAATGATTGGAATGAGTGTGAGCTAGAAGGCGAGAGAGAAAGAGACTCAGCTGGGTGCTACATGTAAGGGACTGGGTGTATTTGCCATTACTCTGCCAGGTCTCCTGGTTACGTGGTACACTGACTGTGACTGTAACACTGCGGGGTGTGTGTTGGCACTGTTTGCCATTAGTGGCATTACTGTGCAAAGCTATTCTACTGGTACAGTGGTACACTGCGGAGTGCTGACAAATACGCCCTAAGAGCAACTTCTACATGTATGTGTTAACAGTGATGATTATGTTGCAATGTGTGTTGCAATGTTTGTTTCTTGCTCTGTGTCTTGGTACCCTGGTGTGTGGATGTCGCAAAGCCCAGGAATTCGACGGGACACAGTGTCATTCTGTTCTCCTCGTCATGGCTACCAGGTGAGTGCAGCTTTGCTTTGGAGTTATTATTGGAAAATTGGCTTCGCATCTGCGTACTGGCGCACGTGTGTGGGTGCAGTCAACTTCAGTGTAGTTTATGTAAAAGAAGTTTTTGCACCATCTTAACCTTGACTGTGATTTTATTTCTTTTCGGTTAAAACTTGGTGACCGTCGTTTTCCACAAGGGTACAGTGCTGCTCAGTGAAATGTTGTCATGTGAGTCAATATCATGTGAGTCAATATCATGCGGCTGTCGCTGTGCAGCCTAGCCCCAGACCTGCGAACACGGGGGTGGGGGGGGGGGGGTGCACTGGCGTAAGCTGCAAGCTTGACACACCCGGTCGGATTTCATTGCCATTTGGGCTACACGTATAATTATAATAAATGCAGCAGAGCCTATTGCAATTACATACAGCATACTTGTGTCATGCTGGTGGTGGAAATTCAGTTAGAGTGGACAACTGGCACACAGGGCATCAAGCATGTACAGAATTCATAGGAAATTAAAAGCGGCGGTTCCGGACAAAATAAATAAAACAGGAACTCAAAGTGTGACAACTTACAAGACAGTGGAATACATGTACATGGTGTTGTTCAGCAGTACGCATTTCTTAACGAAAACAACGCCAAGCTTATCATGTCCTGTAGTGTAAGTAGAACTACGGTTTAGAATCAAGTTGTGCGTGGGTGAACGCCCCTTGCTGCCTACAATACACAATATTATGGCATTGAAGTAGTTTAAAGTTTCCACAAGTAAGAGGATAAGATGAACAGTTGATGACAGTGCTTGTCCACTGGCAGTGCGCGGCTCAGTCCCTTTGCAATCGTGTGATTTTCTTGCCAGTGACGGTCTCCTTACTCAGCGTACGGCTGCCGCTGCTTTTGGCCTGAGAACCGTGAGCAATACCCGTTAGTGTTTGTGGTACTATACGCGACACAGGTAAGCCGTGTCTACGTTGGGTTGACCTTGCGGCTAAACACTCCATGTGTGATGTCATGTTGTGACGAGAAAAGGCGCCGGTGGAATCATAATTTTGATAGGAGCTGCTCATTGTCTTCTTGATGGGTACGAAGTGTGATGAGACTTGCAGCGGAGTGAGATCGTATGCATGTCTCGTGCTAGGCAGAATACGCATCCTACTACCGCTGTTGTATTCCACGCCAGTATTAGCAGCAGCAGCTGTGCTGGTATGGCGGGGAACAGCATGGGATATGGCACTTCCCGGTGGTACAGGTGGTGGCAAGGCACTATGGCATGGACCAACACCAACATCACCAGCAGTACGGTGAACACAATGTCGTGACTTGTTCCGCGACACGGCGGGTACTGTCACCGGTGTGCCGACAATGCACGCTTCAATTTTTGGTGGACTGCAACCATTCGGCTGCACATGCTGCTTCTGCCTGGCATCATGGGCCGCATACATTGTGCCGGTACGGTTGCTTTCAGCATGTTGTGGATAGAACTCACGCTCACATTGCGTGCATTGGCTACTGTTTATGGTTGGCAAACTCAACGGATTCTGCTGTGTGAACTCATTGCCGGATATCCGTGATGGATACGAGAATGTCCACATTGGGGCCTGTGTATTATCATGCTTGGAGTTGTCTCTAGTCTTGGCTTCTACTGCTGGGACAGACCTGAAAGAAGAATCGCAAAGAGGAATTCCAAAAATGAGTAAAAATGTAACTGCTCACACAGGCAGAGTTGTAGACTGGCGTATATGCAACTGGAAACTGTAAAATGTCTATAGTCAGGGAGTAGTAAAATACCGGTATTTTACTACTTCAGTACTCCCTCGGGATGCCCTCCTGGGTGAAATTTTGGAAATTCTGTACGTGGTGTGGCCAAGGACAGTTCGTGTGTTGCGGATTGGAGGTGAAGTAAACGATTTTTCTACTCCCTGACTATAATAGTCAAATGACGGTCATGTATCTGGTTGTCAGTTTTCCGAATTTGTGTGATATCCGCCAAGCCAGGAATGCCAGCGTTTTGATTCCCTTTGGTAACCATGGTGATGCTCTTGGTCCTGTCCCCATGGCTATACGCCAACGCCAGCAAAGAGTAAATTCGTAGTGTGAACATTGAATAGAAAACTTGTAGGGGTTCTAGATTCAGTGCCAATACTGTTTACGACCACACTTGAGATATTGCCACGGCGGGGTATTACTGGTACAACAACAGATTCAGTCCACTGGCTGGGCCAAGCTTGAGATAAGTTCTGAGCAACGTCCTGTACCGGGGACCACATTGCCGGAAGCAAACCTAAGCTGACTTACCAGGTTTGTGAAGAATGTGTTGCTGGTCTTCCGCGCAACACTTGTTGTTGATCTTTACTTGAAGTAGCCGCTACGCGTGGAGCTATTCTGAAATCACAACGCCGGTAGCCGCAGTCACAAGCCAATGTCCCAGGGCATTATTGAAGTCATGATTTCCAACTGCATGCATGAGCTGCTTACTTATTCAGTTTAGCTACCTACAAGGAAGAGTACATAGCCAGGTTAGTGGACAACACAATTGGATTGAGCAGCAGATTCTAGATTCCAATCCCGTTCTTGAAGGTATTGTATTTCATTGCTTGTCTCGATGTGAATTCACATACCGTATTTTCCCCATTAAACGTACACGTCTCCAATACTTGTACGTCTCCAATTGTAGTACATGTTGAGTGTGGATCAAAATATAAAAGGACACGTCTCTAATAATAGTCCATGCCGGAATGATGTGATGGGCGTTACTGGGTTATGTTTTCGATTTTGACAGCATGTTAGAAGGCGAGGACGCATAGTGCTCCTGACTACAACCATAACCCGGTTGGCAGAGTCCCGGTCTTGCGACCATTTGAACCGTATGGGGTACGGTTCAAATGGTCGCAAGACCGGGACTCTGCCAACCGGGACTCTGCCAACCATGACTCTACCAACCGGGTTATGGTTGTAGTCAGGAGCACTGCGCGTCCTCGCCTTGTAACTTGTGACATGCTGTCAAAATCGAAAACATGTTAAACTATCAAGCAAGGCTTCTATATATATATATATACATACCATAACCAGGTTACTTGTACTACTCTTGCTACAAGTTATCGTGTTTCTCCGAATATAAGTCACCTCCAATAAAGGTTGCACACCTCGTTTCAGGTTTCAGTGTAAGTTGGAGATTTTTGGAAACTTGTGGGGCTTATCTATTTTATTTGGGGGGAATACGGAATAATAATGCCACCGATGGGATGACGGCATGATACATGAAAACACAGTGTGGAAGTAGAAGTAGTACTAGTACCGTGTTTTACTATTTTCTCTGCTACATGCATGTGTGTGTTTTCCATGTGAACTTGCCCTGAGCTGGATGCATACATGTACACAATGTGCATACTAGGGGGAATTCCCCTGTACACTAGGTATACAATCTCCTCCGAGCGTTTATGCTGTGCTATGGGTTTTCATCGGGTTTGCTGTGCACATTGGATCATGTCTACACAAGCAGCAAGAATACCACGTACAAGGATGAATCCGGCGGTGCTAGCTGAATAGTCGATCCTGGCTGTGAGCCGCCACTGCTATCCGCACTGAAGTACTCAGATCTGCCACTTGCTCTGGTCACAGCATTCTATCAGTTATGATGCACAGGCCAAAGAGTTCAGAGAAGGCATCACTTGTTTCAGCAGTGGAGTCTTACATTGTATTATTTTGTGCCGGGGCCTTTAGGAGAGAGAGAGAGAGAGAGAGAGAGAGAGAGAGAGAGACTGAAAGATAGAGGGAGAGGGTGTGTGTGGGTGGGGTGGGGGGGGGGGGGGGAGGCCCAGAGCTGGGAAATGTGGGAGGGAGGGTCCAGATCTGGGAAATGTGTCGGTGTGGAGGGGGGGGGGGGGTGTTCTCGCCAGCTGTACCCAATATTTCCACTGTTTCATAAATCAATATGGTTGCATAACAATTTAAAACTCTTGGGGGGGGGGGGTACCAGGGTCACGACCACGATGGCATTTCATTCTTGAATTTATTGCTGACTCCACTACAGTAGTGAGAGCCCAGTAGTGGCCTGTTGACTTCAATAACTACGTCATGTGGTATACTGCAGCTTGATGTCAATCTACAGTCGCACTTGCTGAAATCCGACCCAAAGTGCAAGGCTGGCGCTTTGGACACGTTTCGATTACGTCATCACTAGTGTAGTTGTACATGTCTGTATACGTGCAGCCGCATTCGTGTCACTTCCAGGGCGTCAAGGGCGTGCTAGTTGAAGCGGCGCCAAACATGCACTCTGGGTCGGATTTCACAGCCTGCGCAAATGTACATGGCAAGTCCGATTCTACACACATGCTTCAAAGTGATTAGTTACACACACCCTTTTCTATAAGAGTACACGCACTGCAATAGTTCTAATCAAACTGGCACTCAAAGTGTGTCCAGGCAGTCTCACTCTCAGCGGAGACCTCTATCTTCTCAAACTGACACTGTATCCGCAAGCGGCCCGGAACTCACAGTCACATTCCAGTGCCTACCCCTTACCAAGTTCAGTTTTCGCTGCAGTACATCCAGTTCCTTCCACGAACCTTCTTGTTCTTGCCCGGGTTCATGAACGTCTGATGTTAATCCAAACCTGCAGCGGGCATGTTAACAGGCGGCACATGTACCCGGGTACTTCTTTTGAGGTAACGTTACATCATTCTAGACCTAGTAGTACTAGTAGTACTGAATAAGCAAAAAAAACGGAAAGTGCTTAGCAACACTGTGGCCATGTAGGCTACCGGTACGCAGTATTCATTCGGCCAAGAGTACCCTTTTTATGTATTCTTGATTTGACTCTTGCAGTTTCTGTACTGGAGGTACGGTTTGCCGGTGAACTGTCAGCCCTGGACAGCTGCCAACATCAATCAGTAGCGAACCTTCCATTACCTGAGCACACAGCTCAGCCCGGGGGATGCACCAGGAGCCTCGAATGCCTGAACGAATGAAGGTCGGAGCCCGGCACTGCAGGTTGATCTGACTGGAACATGGATGTCCTTCTGTATACACTGTCTAACGCTAACTGTCTACTGTCTTCAGTGAACATTTCGGTATAAAATACCCTTGCATGAATGTAACATGCAGTATCATTACTCATGATACACCGCTGTTACTAAGACTGAACGTCTCAGCCTAAAGCAAGAACGCCGGTGTTGGTTTGCTAGCAAATTTTGCGATACATATCAGGGTAGACTCTCTCGTCTACATGTACCATACGTTATACTGACGTGTCATTGCGTATGAGAGTCCTTCGGCTCGCTAGAGTGCTCAATATTCATTCGAATAGAGCTATGTTACACACGGCACAGAGCACAGAGCACAGAGCACCACACATCATTCCTGGTAACTAATAGCGTCATGTCCATAGTTCATGTCTAATGATTGCCTATGGGCGTGAAACTATTAGCTACAGCGAATGATGCTTGGTGCTCTGTGCCGCGTGGAAGTGTCATTGCATATGGAGAAATCAGAAGAGCAGTTATGGCAGCGCTGAATACTACAGTTGTAGGATGAAGTCTGGTCATTGCAAGGCAGGCTCATACCGATATCGCACACACGATAGCCTGTCTCTCTGTCAGTACATGTAGTTAGTGTAGGGCCGTAGCACTCGGCCCGTATGGCCATGGCCGCGGACTTCACAGTTTCAAAAAAGCGTCCCACCCTATTCGTGCGAAACCGGGTTCAAGGTTTCGTCAACTATCCTATTGGGCCGGACCACTTGAAATCCCGTCGCTACGGCTCTGTAATACTTCAATCCGGGAGTAGTACAATACTGTATTGTACTACTAGTAGACCTACTCCCTGGCCTCAACCAGCAAGCTCAAGTCAAAGCTGAATGCCTCGACAAATCCACCTCATCCGGAATCGGATGAAGTGGATGGACATGACTGTACGCCACGGAGATAGCCGCCTTGCTAGCGCCTCTTGTCTTGTCTTACCTGCTTGACGGGGTATTGTGTTGATTGGAGCAGTTGTTAGCGTATTGTATATACTGGTCCTGTCCTGAGTTCGCCGTCCATTGCGAGGCATGCCGTGATTCCTTCCCTCGCCTCATTTCCACTGGATTCGGCTTGCCACGGTCCAGCCTGCACTCCGGCTTTAGTTCTAGCGATGTGACAATCTGATCAAATACGATTTCCACGCCGGAACACTCAGCATGCATCTACTCATCCAGGCCAGGGCTCAGGAATACATTGTTTACCGAATAGAAGTCCTGAAGGGAGCGATTAGATAGCTAGCCGGTCAGACAGAGAACTGGGCAACATCACCGTAACGGCGGCGTTCAGCCATCCATTCCAGATCAGAGCACTCTCGGAGGCGATGACCTTGTGAACTACCAGTACTTCACGGTGCTTCTTTCTTACAGATCTACCCGCACTCGGCTAGCATTGCACTAACGTTACTGCATGACTGGATTCAATGATTATTCTGGTATGGCTGGTGCAGCATTGCATCGCTATCATTCTACCGCATCTGATTCTTGGTCCAGGCTCCACACTCAGACAGTCAGACTAGTGTCGTGAGTCAGAGTTGCACTAGCAGGTCGAACAGGCGGTACTTCGTAGAATGACCCCGGCATGAACTCCACATGATCCACAACAGACCAGCAAGACGTGAAGCCAAAGTCACAGGTGAGTTCAAGTGCTCCTGTCCTAACATTGTCATTCACTCATGATTCAGCTTGATGGAATAATTAGACCATGATACACCGCCGCAATGGTAGCATGATCTACGTGTTCGCCAGGGTAAAAAGGCTATTTATTTTTAGGCATCCGTCTCTAAAACGTAGCGGCTGGTCAGTCTGGTGTCCGTCACTCGTCAGTGCAAGTGACGTTCATCATCATGATCAGTTCTAACTGTTACTTCTGCCAAGTGAGCTCAGTCTCACAAGTGCTGTAACTTTAGTACTTGCTAGACTGGACTGGTGGGAAATCAGTGGTAATGCACTCCGTGAACTGGCTCAAGTCGCTCGAAGCACGTCTTGCAATGAGTATACTGTAATCAGTATTGGCATTGGCGTGTCGATGTCAAAGATCGACAGGGGCTTGGACAGCACCTACATTGTAGATGACATGCCGCATGATTATCCCCAACAATATTTAATATGTATCGGATGTACGAGTACAGTTCTAATAATATTTTTCAAAGTGGGTCAGACCTGTACTAGTAGTAGTACCGGTACACAAAGAACTTTGTTGAAGAATCCATGATTGTCCGGAAAAATGAATGGAAGAATCCGAAGTCATCATCGCATGCCATGCAAACTACAGGCAATTAGTCATGACAGTACAAGTACGTGTAAGTTACCAGGGCTACTGGAGACCGTGCTACCACTATTGCCAGATTGGGGCGTGTGCGGTTATTGATTGTGGCAAGATTGATCACTTGCCAAGGGTCTCACCAGGCCTAAAAGGCACTCCACTGAACTAGGGTACCAAATGACGGTGTACAAAGACACCGAGATAAAGACCTGGCCAGGGAGTCGGACTCCCTGGACCTGGCACAAACGAAGAAGAGTGGATCTAATCCAGGTGCGTGCATGTAGCCCAGTTACGCCCACAGACTTGATAACTCCATTCATCACGGTTCAGGCGTGTACTGACTTATAAATTTTGATCAAAACATGTTGACTTCATGTCGTACCAGGTTAGGTGGACACTATTTTGTAGTACCAAGAGTATAACCTCCCGGGGGGGGGGGGGGGGGGGGCTTGTATACTCTTGCCAGTACTTTGATACCAAGAGTGCATAACTCCCAACTGTGTGCAACTCCAGCTATGGGGTCTGCGACGGCAGAAGTTCACATCACGTGACGAACCCGTACACATTTTTTGCACCCTTTGCGTGATAGCAAGAGTTCATGATCATGGGATACAGGGTTGTACGCAACCCTGCTTTGGGTTCAACTCTCTTGTGGTCACTTTGCCCACTGTTTGCCAGCGTAATTACGTAACCTTTTGAACCATGTCACGGGGACGGGGTGTGAAGATCTGCCGTCGCAGCACTGTATACATGTAGGTTGTGTAGGCAGTTGCACACTCTTGAGTCTTGAGTCTTGAGTCTTGTGTGTTGGGGGTTGTGTTACTTATGTACTCTGGGTTATACCGTGGCTCGTACCCATGCCATAGGTCACTGCAAATCCGAACCAACTTCGTTATACTGAATAGTTACAGCAGTTTAGGCACTTGGCCATCATCAGCCTACAAGCGATGGCATTTGACCGACCACAACCCACAACCTGGTCATAATGCTAGCCACGCAATGATTTCTTTTGTATACTGAGCCACAGTCTCTCATTGGCTCATGGCCGTATTCTTGATGTGTGGACTCGGTCATGGGATGTACATCATGTATGAAATACAGAAGATAACTGGCAAACTGAGCTGACATGTATGCCGGTGACTGGCTGAGGCAGTGACATCTCTCGTTGTCGAGTGTACAGTGATTTGCAGTCCGCACCGTGGCTGTGCCATTGCGGGCAAATTATTTGCCGCTCTTTGCTGATCCACTTTGATTAGCCCATGGCTTTTTAGTGGCAGTGAGAATTTACAGATTACTTGCAGGAACACATTCCGTGTATACACTCAAAGCTTTATTTGGGAAAACCACAAATTGCGATACAGAATGCCAAAACCAAACGGAATAGAATAATTTCCAAAATCCAGTATAAGAACCGATAAAATTGTGCCATGCCAATCAGCTATTATTAAAAGCCATTATTCCGTGTATCCGCTGCTCCTTGTTTGGGCTTGATAGCAGCATAGTTTGTACCTGATGATGGCCAATGGGGCCGAAACGTTGTAACAAACTTGAATGATCGCTTCTGTAGTAGAACCAAGTCCTAATGTGTGCTCGCAGTGTCGCACAGTGTATTCCCGCCTGTGCATATTGTGCCAACTGCTACCAGGATTAGCCATGTGACACTGAGCCGTGTACTGTACTGTTAGTATACTTCAGAAGTAGTACCGTAAAACCTGTCATGGCGACCACTCGGATAAGGCGACCACCTGTCCCAGACGACCACTGTAACCAGGACCAAGGGATGCTATTTCCAGCCGAGTCAAATTACCCTGGATAAGCAGACCACCTGGTAACAGAGACCAGATTTTGAAGGTCCCTCAGTTGAGCGGTCGTCTTAGACAGCTGTTTCACTGTATTTACTGTTACCCGGCATACATGTACCTCAGACAGCTAGACAGCTACAGGCTCAGTTGGTTATCCCGACACTGAACTGTTACATGTACCGTCGAGGTACGGTCTACCGGGCCGCGTGACCCCGCATTGGGCAAGTTTTAGTGGACTACTCTGTTGTCAGCGGCTTTTAAATTTCGTGGAAATAGGTAACGTCGTATTTCTGGCTTTTACTAATCATAACGCACATGTACATGTATAATTATGATGTGCTTCAGAGTTACCGGGACATTTCAAAGGTACGGGCAGCCTGTTTAATTTTTTTACGAGAAACCACAAACCCTGGTCGAAAACAGTGCATGATAGAAGTGGCTTCAGTCGCATACAACCCGCATAAGACAAAGCCTCCCTTGAGCCCCCCCCATGCTCCCACTGCCCAAGCACCAGCCTTGCCACCCACAGACTCAGTGAAGTACTACAAGTACATGTATCATGAATAATGATGCATGACTTTACACTGTTTGGACAGGCGCTACATTGACATACACTGTCGAGTGTTGTTCTGCTTTCAACCAACCCTGTTTTTTGGAAGCTGTTTGTCTGTATCAGTGTATGCGTTGCCGCAAGTCGCCAAAACATGAACCGTGTTCTGTCTTGTCCAGAGAGAGCCTAGCCCTGCACAATCATGCACATACATGTCCCGTTGATCTACCATACATGTCTAGACTGCACGCGCACGCGACGACAGTTATATCGGGCGTAGCGCGCGCAGCGCGCGGAGAGCGTTTTGCGCTGTGTAAAGAGAACGTGTTTTTGGATGAAGTCGTCAAGCACTTTTTTTGCAGTCAACAGACTTGAGCCTGGTTCATATCGAGACCATAGCTGTACGAGCTTGGCTTGGAAAGCCAGTCGAACTAATTATTTGTACCCGTTGCTTCTTTGGAAGCAGCTACACCTACGTTGGTTGTTGTCGAATGAAGTGAGATCTTGCTGAACAAAGTATCGTGGAATGGCGGCCGCTGCGCTCACTGCCACACAGGTATTGGCGTGCTATGGACGTGGTACTTCTTGCAAAGCGAATTTGGACTTGAGTAAGGCTGTGCAACTTGTGGCTGAATGGTTTTTGTAGGTGGCGGGTGCATTTCTCAGTCATTATGAAGCTCTATGGCGACAGGTAATGTTTTCTTCTTTGATTTGGCACTTCTCGAACTTTTCAGATTGATATGATCGTACAGCGTACAGCGTAATTAGTGCGGAGGAAATTTGTGGGGAAGATATGTTTGGAGGCAATCATTGTTGTAGCTCCCTCTTCTGTCTCAAGTGTCTGCATGCTCATTTGCATGGATCAGATGAATTGAGATCCCCCTGATGAAGCAGTTTTCCTGCAATTTCCAATTTCAATTTAGATTGAGATAAGAATGAGTGCATTGCTAGTACCAAGTAGCATGGAAAATGTACTGTTCTACTCTATAAGACAAAGTATAACCCTATCTTTGGCATGAGAGGGGGGGGGGGGGGGGGGTGGTCAACGGGTTTGTTGTGCTCAACAATATTCGTTCGTGCGAATACAAGTAGGCAAGTGATTGTCAGTGTTTAAGTGTAGACCGTGGTGTTTGCAGTACTTAGCCATACCGGCCCTGGCCTACTTCATGAGTTTCTATAGGGCTTGAAAGTGCTACGTCACAGCATAGCAACAATTTCAAAAATTCAAAAATTGGATCCACTTGGGTCCAGTTTTTGTATGGATCCAAGCACATTTCAAGCCGTCTTACTCACAGCAAGGTGATGTAACCAGTGAAACTGACTGATTTGGCTACTGGGGCGGGGTTACAACTGGTGTCGAAGTAAAAGTCACCCCTGCATACGACATGAGTGGGTTGCTATGCACCCACATACTGAGGCAATAGCAAAGTCACACCTTAGTGGATCCAAAATAGAAATCTGATGTCAACTTAGTACTCCCTGGCCGTTTTTGACGTCGTCACTTTCAAGCCCTATTGGCCAAGTGTGGATAGAGTGTACTGCGGCGGGATTGAAAGTTGGACGGTGTATTGACAGGTCTGCGCAGGCTGCTATTGCCCTTATCAAGAGGAACTTTGGGTGAAAAAATGGAAATTACAGGGGTCGTAGAGTTTTGTGCGTTGAGTCGATTGGTATTGGTCCGAGGAGGCTGTGGTGGATCATTGGTCAGATATTCCCAATCGAACATGAGCGTGCACTGTACCTCATCCTGTGATGACGTCAATGTGTGCGACCAGGTAGCCACACAGTCAGATTCAGTGCAACATATATGGGCAGTGTTCGGCCGCATGACATCATGGCATGGTCATGTTCAGTGCAACATACATATTACATGGACAGTGTTCGGCCATATGACATGACACAGTCAGGTTCAGTGCAACATACATATTACATGGACAGTGTTCGGCCACATGACATCATGGCACAGTCAGGTTCAGTGAAACATACATATTACATGGACAGTGTTCGGCCGCATGACATGGCACAGTCAGATTCAGTGCAACCTACATATTACATGGACAGTGTTCGGCCGCATGACATGGCACAGTCAGGTTCAGTGCAACATACATATTACATGGACAGTGTTCGGCCGCATGACATCATGGCACAGTCAGGTTCAGTGCAACATACATATTACATTGACAGTGTTCGGCCGCATGACATCATGGCACAGTCAGGTTCAGTGAAACATACATATTACATGGACAGTGTTCGGCCGCATGACATCATGGCACAGTCAGATTCAGTGCAACATACATATTACATGGACAGTGTTCGGCCGCATGACATGGCACAGTCAGGTTCAGTGCAACACACATATCACATGGACAGTGTTGGGCCGCATGACATGGCACAGTCAGGTTCAGTTCAACATACGTATTGCATGGACAGTGTTGGGCCGCATGACATCATGGCACAGTCAGGTTCAGTTCAACATACGTATTGCATGGACAGTGTTGGGCCGCATGACATCATGGCACAGTCAGATTCATTGCAACATACATATTACATGGACAGTGTTGGGCCGCATGACATCATGGCACAGTCAGGTTCAGTGCAACATACATATTACATTGACAGTGTTCGGCCGCATGACATCATGGTATCAGCCCCTGGAATTCACGTTTTCGAATCAAGATGTCTCTAGATGTCTCTAGATAGCTTGAAGAGATGTGGGACCAGTAACTTTTGACCTGGAGTTCCAATTCACGGTGCCATCAAGTGTCCATGACCGGTCAGGAGTGTTGCAATGACAAGCTCCAAAGAATAGCTAGGATGCACTAACTTGAATTTAGGCATTGCCAGTGGCTTGCTGAGCTAAGATATTCATGTGCCAGATGTTGTATGTCCGTTCGGTGTGCCCACTGTGTGTCTACAGGCTGACAGTAGTGGAGCTGGTATTATACCAGCTAATGAGGCAGTAGCTATATTGAAACGGTCCAAGTTGCCGGAAGCTGCTCTCCACTCGGTTAGTACTACTGTATATTCTTGCCATGATTACATATACCGTAAAATCCCGCCAGAGCGCCCCTACCTCCTCGATGCTTCGAGTAAGTTCAGGTGGGGAGGGGCGGATGGGCGAGTCCTACTTGCCGCATTCAGTACTACATGAAAAAGTACTTACCCTACGAAAACTGTTTGTGCATCTCGTACACCGAACAAAGGTCAAGAGCCAGGAGTCTTACAGACCCGTCAAAACTCAGGGTTTGTGCGATCCCTGGTCAAGAGGGTGGACACTGTTGCGTACATTTCCAACGGGTCGAGCACGCGTCTGCAGTACAGTACGGTATCACAGACTGTGACAGCGTCATACGAGGATACAATCAATCACGTCCCTGACAAGAAGTCAGGGAGGGGCGGATGGGAGAGACGGGGCGCTCTGGCGGGATTTTACGGTACTAATGACTACTGCACCACTTATCATATTGCACTCAAGCTGCAATTGATGATATTGCACTCAAGCTGGAATTGATGATTAACGTGTGTTCTCATTAACGTATAAAATTTGGACAATCGTGAAATTTGCGACTCGTTACATAATACAGCCGTCCCTCTCTAATCCGGCACTTGTTTATCCAGCACCCTTGCAAACCAGCACACTTTCTGGCAAAACGGATTTTTTCAGTTCATTTTCTACGCTTTAATCCGGCGCTTGAATTCTGCCTCCAGCAGCCATTTTCTGCAACAAATCACTCAAACTGTACATAATTCTATTTTCTAATCCAGCAGTTGTACATCGCATACTGTCAGGGACCATTGTAACATACACAACACATGTAACATACACTTGGGAATATCCTATGCTAGTGCATAAGATATTCCCAAGTGTATGTTATAGACATGCATTCCACAAAGTACTTGGTTTGACACAGAAAATCCCTATGTTTTGACGTATGACACAAACATGTATGATATCATGTGGGTCGGGTTGGAGGGCAGGATTTGATAATCCAGCACCCTTGTTTATCCAGCAGAAAATGCCGTTGCAAAAGGTGCCGGATTAGAGAGGGACGACTGTATTTATTATGTAATAACATGTCTTTGCAGTAATATGGACTCTTGGTTATGCTTGCAAACAGAGCAAACAGTGCAAAGTGACCACCAAAATTTGTACCCAAAGCAACCCTGTAACTATTGTGCATCCAGTACTGTCGGGCGCCGAAGAACGGACTGCCGAAGAACCGCCAGGCTAGAATTTCACCAATTTTTACGAACGGTGTAGGCTGGATTTTTTGCAGATAAGAACGGAAACCGGAAATAAAAAGGTCCGTAATGTACACTATAATGTACACTCTGACGTATAACTCTGCATAAATGTACATGTAAGACTGTACCATGGAATAAGAACAAAACTGCTGTGTTTGCTAAAAATAGGAACGGGCTAGGCTGGGGAAGCCTGACCCCCAGACCGTCCAGTTCTTCGGCGCCCTACAGTACTGTATGGTAGGGATAGTGTGTACGTACGGGTTTGTCACGTGAGGTAAAGTTCTGCTGTCGCAGACCACATAGACTGGCGTTGCACACTCTTCGGGGTTATGTACTCTGAGTAGGGGATAGGTAAGCGAGAAACGCCTAACAGGGAGCGAGGCGAAGATGATTGCGAAGATCAGCGGGGAATGCATTTGTGTGTGTCCGCGTCTGCATGTGCGTGTACGGGGACATGTGCGAGGTGCATATATGAAGTATGCAATGGGTACAACAGTGCCACTATTGCTTGCCTGTTTGTCATATCATGCAAGACTGGTGGCTGTGTTGTGAATAAGCAATGGCTTGTCCTTCACTAACAGACTACTACTGTCATTGACTACTGTAAGTGCAGATGATGATGATGCAATACTAGTAGTGGCGTTTGATTGCCTGTACCTTGTCTCTGGCTGCCACCTGTAGATCTGGTCTGTGGCGGATTATCACACAAGAGGAAGTCTTGATAAGCAGGTTAGTAGCTACACTAGTGCCGGCTCTTCTAATAATAAGACTCGGATTGTGAGCCAAGGATTAAGTGAAAAAAGAAGGACCAAAGGTTTACAAGTTATCCGTTGTTTGTGTCCAAGATACCGGTGTGTCAGAACGCGCGCATTCTAGTTGAATGTCAGTATCACATCAATCACTGTTGTGCTAATCGTTGCACCTTCTGACTCACTGGTATCTTGCTTATATTTGTTAGTGTTGGACACAAAGAACAGATAACTTGTAAACCTTTGGTCTTTCTTTTCCTCTCTTCGAATGATGTATTTTTTAAATCTACCTCTGTAGGTAGTAGCTGTACTCTATAACTGTTACATGTAGATGTTTGTGTGCGTGAGTATGCATGCGTGTGTGTGTGTGGGGGGGGGGGGGGGGGCTTGCATGCACATGAGTGTGTGCGGGACCGTGTTTTTGTTTGTTTCTGATGCCGAGTACCGGTGCTGTTAGATTCCAATAAAGCAATATGACAGTTTGTCTGTGTGCTGTGTTTCACTATCTTGTCATTTTGTTTTGCACCAGGGTTTCTTCATTGCTCTTCGTTTGATTGCTGCTGCGCAAGCTGGAATTCAGCCCAATGTTGGGGTACTTACCATGACAGCCACAGCACCACCTAGCCTCGTGAGTTTCTTCATGTGTTGCTCTTTTCTGCGGCTCAGCTCATTGAACCTGTCACTCTGCTCGCCCATGGCTCAGGTCACGCTGCCTAAGCTTCACGTATGGCTACTCTGACGTTGTGGCGCTGAAACAAACCAAACACACAGTAGTGATGGCACTCTTCACCATGCTTTTGATTTTGCTTTGCTGAACGGATCCTCTAAAGCAAGTTTAGATAATGTAATGGTGCCCTTGTAGTTGGATACGTATACTTTATCCAATGCTGTGATCTTGTCTTAGATGCTTGTGTTCTGGAGTTTGTAGACCATGTGTGCCTTACGCAATTCTGAACTGTATTTCCTTAGGTGCTTGCCATACCTTTGAATGATTGAATGGTTGAATGATTGAATGGTTGAATGGTTGAATGATTGAATGGTTGAATGATTGAATGGTTGAATGGTTGAATGGTTGAATGATTGAATGGTTGTATGATTGAATGATTGTGTGTGCATTGTTGTTGTTGCTGCCGCAGGAGGGTATGAGTGGTATGGTGGGTAGCGGTACCCCTAGTGGAGGACTAAGTTCTTCAGGAACACCAGTTGGAAATGGATTATCTATGGGCGGCAACAGCACAGCCACCTTCATCTCAGTAAGCTATTACTGTATTAGTCCCAATGGTACATAGTTATAGGTGAACATAGCATATACAGTGAAATCTGTCTAAGATGACCGCTCAAGGGACCTTCAAAACGTGGTCTCTGTTACCAGGTGGTCTCCTCATCCAAGGTCATTTGACTGGAAAAAGCATCCCTTGGTCCTGGTTTCAGTGGTCTTTTAGGACAGGTGGTCGCCTTATCCGAGTGGTCGCATTGCCAGGTTTTACTGTACACTCAAATGTCTCTTGCACATACACAGTTACGCTGTAGAGACTATAGTATTGGCTTCAGCACAACACGTACCCATGATGCAATTACTGTGATTTTAATCTGAGCTGCATGCTATATTGTGCAAGCTCCTTACGAATAGTCTGTAGCCGTTTTCCTGCTCTGATTTCTTTGTATTGTTTTCTCCTGTAGCAAACTGACATGAAGAAGTACGAAAGCATATTTGAAGTAAGTAGATATTATAAACATTCTGCGGGGAGACAACAATTTTAATATAGCTATGCATATGATTAACTATGCACTTATGACTCTGTACACAGAGTCTGTCAGCAGACTTGCACTCTTCCCTTGCAGCTAGTTGTCCACGTATCACTTACTCACATTTTTTGCTCATGTTAATTCCACTGTGGATGCCAGCATCATTACATTGCTATGTTCCCCTGTTTGTATCTGCATGTTGTTCAGTTTCTCTGCATATACAGTAAAGTCGTGTATAAAAGCCGCGGCTTACATGGCCCAGAATCTGCGAAAACCAGGCTTAGGGTGAAAATCATTTTTTTGAGAAAAATGATGTTTTGTAAAAAGGTTGTGTCGCGTGGACGATCGAGTGCAGTGAAGTGGAACCAAAGAGAATCTCGCTTGTTTGAAGAAGTAGCAGTCATGGCAGGAAGGGTTTCAGCAGTCAGGGAAGTCAAAGGGCTTCCGGTAGAATATTCCCTGCTACTCCTCTAGTCACAGCGAAGAGTTTTTGAGCTGATCGAACGGATTCCATCTCCTACACTCAGGGATGGCGAAATTTCTGCGCTAGCTGCTGCTTGCGGAAAATGGTGAAGAAATCGTCTCCAGTTAGAGTCGTGATGGCGATAGCGAGGAGAACCTGGACGACATCGATCCAGCCAATCGAAGTACGGAGATACTAGCTGTTTCTGGGCCTCACGCAAAGGGAACACGCGCAGCAGAGCTCATACGTTTGCAGCAAGTTCACGAGGAAAAGGCTTGAAGCGCAGTGTGAAAACTGTTTTGAATTGAAGTCCTTGGCGATGAAGTGCTACTGAAGGCCAGGCGAATGAGCGAGCAGATCGAGAGGCCCCCACTCGAGACTTTCCTCGCTGGACAGCTAGCTGCAAGGGATTGTACGGCGTGCTGATATTTGCTGGTCAGCACCAAGCAGATACTGCAGCACGCCAGCACACTATGCGCTTACTATGAATAGTGGAACAGTTTGAAAGGCTGTGTTCTTGCTTGATTCTGAACAGTTGTACTAGATTCACCCGTCAAAAGGTGCCATCTCAACTGGAGTCTGGTTTCCTTGTGGTGTATAGCGCCAGAGCATGCCAGTATATCATACTACAAACACAACATACATGTATTCAGCCCCAGAATGTGCTGAGTGAGAAGCAAACAAAATTCATGTAGAACTGTGCATGGCCACTACAGCCTGCAGCACCAAGGGGCCACAACAAGCCTGCCCCCACATGCCTACCTTGTCATGTCACCTAAACAAGAATCATCCTTGTCTCTTCCTTCAGTCTGGTGGATCTCTCTTCATTTCTTTCCTGTGATAACAATTTTGTGTTTTTTTTGGATTTTTTAACACAATACCCTGGTGTGTTTGAGATACTTTTAATACCACTATGAGTCGACCCACAGCAGTAATATTTTGTTTCCTGACCGCCCATGCCCAGTAGAAGCTGAAAATGGGAAAAAGTCATTTTGTGAAATTTCACCCTAAGCCTGGTTTTCGCAGATTCTGGGCCACATGACGTTTTGGGGGGGGGGGGGGGGGGGGGATTTCGTAGGCTTCTATATGAGACAGGCTTCTAGACTATACAAGACAGGTTTTTTTTATGTATGTCAACACTAAAACCAGGCTTGTGTGCCGACAGTGCATCTCGAAAAGCCAGGCTTCTAACTGAGACAGGCTTGTGTGCCGACAGTGAATCTCGAAAAGCCAGGCTTCTAACTGAGACAGGCTTTTATACAAGACACTACGGTAGTCTGGCTTGATTCACGATTTTGATGTTTCTACCTGAGGAATGTCACAAGAACATATTTGGAAAAGGTGGACCTCTCTCACTTTGATACGTGTATGAAGTCATGAGTACGCACTTGATCATGTTCATAGCCTTGGAAGTAGCTTCGGATGTTCAAGTCTCTGTATTCTGCTTTGCGCATAGTTATATAACAGGTTCAGCAGCCTTGCCATGATGCCATTGGTAGTCTGCATCAAAGGGGCCAAATGTCACTGTGTTTGATTGCAAGGGAGAAAAGAAAGATGATTTCCCCTTGAAGCTAGTTAGTACTAAGTTTTCTTGTGACTCCCAATGTGTGTTTCTGCATGTGTTGTTCACCAGTCACTACTCCCTGAGAATGGTCGAGTTGCTGGTGACAAAGTCAAGCCAGTAAGTCCTGAATTGCTGCTGCTGCTTTTGATGCTTGCTGTTGCTGTTCTTGCTGCTGTTGCTGTTGCTGCTGCCACTGTGGCTGCTACAATTCCACTGCCCTACTAGAATTAGTTTAACCCTTCACCGGCAGCCCCATACTTGAATGCGTCAAGGTTGACGCATTCGACATGCATACAAAACCATGCCTGGCATGACGGGAAGCATCAGCCCACGGGGATTTCCCGTGGCCCTCACGCAGCCAAGGTATGATCCTATCGGTAGCTGAAGAGATCCACGCGTGTCCCATTTGATTTCATTGAGAACTGCGCGATCGAAAACTTACGGAAATACACGCGCGCCGACAATGCCGTCCGCCTCCGTCAAAACATCGTCAGGTGCATTTTCTCTTGCGCAGTGAGTTCCTTTCGTCCTCGGATGACTTCTCCGACAAGGACCTAGCAGTCATTCGCTCTGGGACCGACGACAGATAGATAAATACTTCGTTCCAGCCGCCGATGCAAGCGAATTTCAAATTACGGAGCGGGGCGCACGCCAAGTAAATTCTCACGCAAATATGGGGAGCGCCAGCCGCTGAAGACAATGTCGTCGTGATGTACCTGGAAGAAGCTGTGGTGCTTATGTTGGGGAAGCCATGGAGAGCGATCCCCGTGTCGACAGTCTCCCAGAGACGGAATTTAGGCCATCGACTTTCTACGTACCTGAGTGACGGCAGCGCGGCGTGCGTGCGACCGTACGGAGCTTTCCAAAAGCGATTCTAGGGCGATGCTGCTCTCATTTGCGAGCGAAGCATGACCACTGAAGTTTGTGATGGCTATGGCGTTTGTTTCCGCTCCGAAGTCGACTTGTTTTGGCAGTATCGTGTCAATGTCGGAACTCTGACGATTTGTATGTGTACAATTTCCGTGTTTAGACGTAGAGGTGCCAATTTAGCAGCGTATGTGTGTGGTATGAGAAAATAAATTTTTCCATGGTCAAGAAGTAGTACTAGACTTCCGAGCTTGCACATACAAAATGTGGCCTCGTTGTGAGTTATTGGCATCCTTCTAAATGTTGTGGATTTCACATACAAAAGTAACTTGCCGGTAAAGGATTAAATTACTTCTTCTTTTTTTAAGGCATGTGTTACATGTGCAGTATGTACGCATGTGCACGCTGTTTGTGCTTTTCTGGAGTAAAACAGGGTTGATTACTGGCAGTCATATCGAGTCATTGACTGGTTATACTACTTGCTGTATTGTGTGTACAGGTCTTGATGAATTCCAAGTTACCAGTAAACGTGCTTGGTCAGGTAAGAGATTGTTTGGCACAACGCTTGTCTACTCTCTCTCTCTCTCTCTCTCTCTCTCTCTCTCTCTCTCTCTCTCTCTCTCTCTCTCTCTCTCTCTCTCTCTCTCTCTCTCTCTCTCTCTCTCTCTCTCTCTCTCTCTCTCTCTATCTCTCTCTCTCTCTCTCTCTCTCTCTCTCTCTCTCTCTCTCTCTCTCTCTCTCTCTCTCTCCCCCTCTCTCTCCTCTCTCTCCCTCTCTCTCCCTCTCTTCCGCTTCCTCTCCCTCTTTCCCTGGGTCATTGCGAGAGAAAACCAATCTTCCTATGCTGGGTTCCGTAGTTCATGCTGTGGCAACCAAGGGCCAGTGGGTATGGGCATGGACCAATGAGCCATGGTCACTCGCCCGCTGGACAATGGCTTTTCACGGTACTCCGCATATGTGCTGTGGATAATTTCACTAATAACGAAATGCGTCACCACTTTTGATTCGCAGTTTGGATTTCACTGACCACGCCTGCATATTTGGTATCTCTCATGTTTACGTTCTGTCCCGTATTTCTATCTTTCCTCGCGATTCAGATTTGGGAGCTAGCAGACAGCAATAGGGATGGATTCCTGTTTCTGGAAGACTTCTGTGTGGTAAGTTGTTGGGTGTATACCAGTAGGTGTACTAGACCTCTCGCTATACTCTATTTCTTGCTACTTGAATCTATGCTATGCCCTAGATGTGCTTGCTATATCCCATCGCCGGCTATGCTTATGCATTCTGCATTTCCCATGACATACTGGTAGCGGTGCTTTGTGATGTTGCTACTGCCCATAGCGCTGTTGCCTGAGGTTGCTCTGTTTGGAGCTAGTTTGTCATTTTAAGTGCATGTACAATGTGCGCGTAGTAGTGCTATGTTCTCATTGTTCTTTGGTGTGCCCCTCTGGGTATAGTGCATGAAGATGTAAGATGTGTCCTTGCTGCAGAATGCAAACGTTTGGTTTGTTTGGGGTTTGCTGTCTGGTGCATTCTTTTGTGTTTGGCAGTGCATGCACTTAACGTATCGATCCCTGGACGGGGATGCCGTACCGAACACTGTTCCCGTTCAATTACGCAACCAATTGGCTACAAATAAGATTCAATCAGCACGTTCCAGATCGGCATCAATAGTCAGCGCACACATGCTTTCTACAAGCGCCTCTGGATTGTCATCTCCACTTGCAGTAGCCAGTGCAGCTAACAGTGGTTCACTTCTTCAGCCTGCAGGCGCCACGTTGTCTTCTTCATCACCAACTTGGATTGTTAGCGGTGAAGAGCAGAAGCTGTTTGAAGGCATGTTTCGCCAGGCGGATAAAGAAGGCAAGAACTTTGTGTCGGGTGATGACGTCAGGTCTCTATTTGTCTCGACCGGATTGCCTGGTAACCTTCTAGCTCACATCTGGGGCCTATGTGACATGACTAACTGTGGCAGACTCACTCTGGAGCAGTTCATGCTAGCTATGTATCTAGCTAAGCAGAAAAAGGTCAGTGCATCACGTCTGGTTAAGGCACTTTCTGACTAGGTGCTGACCATGTGACTAGATGGGTGTGTGCTAAACTCTGGCTCTTTTTCATTTCCGTTTCCGTGGTACACTGAGGTTGCATTGGTACAAGTATATGTCACACCTTGCGGGCATAGCTTGATGTTGTGCTGTAGCAGCGGTGGCGGTTTCTGCACAGCATTGCATGTTGCTTTTCATGTTGCTTTTCTTGTCTCTAATCCTATGCTGTCCATGTTACTGTTACATGTACTTGAGTATTCATAGTTTGACAGCAGCATGAAACTTGGCGGAGGACATCATGTACTCGAGTAGTGCATGGTACTACATGTACTATGCTTGTCATCACCCTCTTTAGTATAGTGCATGGTACTCGATGTACTATACTTGTCAACTTCCTCGATACTCTAAACCTACTAGTATGCAGTGAACAACACACCAGATATGTTTTGTAGCCGACCGCTGTTTTCTTCGATTTCCGATATTGAAATTGGATGATTGTCACACTCCCTTTTCTCTGGTGTGTATGTGTATGTGTGCGTGTGTGTGCATGCGTGTCCATGTGTGTGCGTTTGTAGATATCAAATGTTGATCCACCTCAAAAGCTAACGCCGGACATGATTCCTCCATCAATGCGAAGTCAGGTAGGAATACAAGTTGAATACTGGCTATGATTCAGCAACGCCTATTGCACTGACAATTTAAGAATACTCTGCTAGTGGTGGTGTTGTTGATACTGCTACCAGTGTTGGTTTGGACTTTCTCATACTGTTGCTGTCAGTGTTGTAATGTTTGATACTGCTGTTCGTCTTGCTGCCAGTGTTGGTTTGGGCTGGGTGGTGGTAGTGTTGGTGTTACGGTTGGATTTGGATTGTACTGGTTTATTTAATGTCGAATAACAAACAGGCACTGGCAGTGTTGCCTTATTACATGAGATCGACTAATGTTGTCCCTGGTATTGTAACGGTTGCTGAACTTTGTTTTACAACATTGGCCCTTATCTAATATTACATTATTGCCCTTCTTCTTGTCTTGTGTGTATATGTGCGTGCGCGCGCGTGTGTGTGTGTGTGTGTGCGTGTGTGTACATGCCTTGTTGTATTTTGAAGAGCACTGGTATTGGTGGTACACAATCCGAAGGACCTTCGCCCGATCACATAGCCAAGAATGAAGAACTAAAGTCACTATCTGAGGAGATCAGTCAGCTTAATATGTAAGTGATGTATTCTCTACTCTCGCCTGTCATCTTCTTGTTGGTACAAGCTACTTGAACGATTTTGCCATTCAAAGTTCAACAGCCATCAGCAACCGTATGCAGCACAGAGAATATCACCAGTGCACACGAAACATGAATTTTACTTTTTTACTTACACAACACAATGCACGTCTGCACCCCACTCACGGTTCATGAAATATGACAACAAAATGCACCACTCAGAATCGCGGCCTCATGCTGGGAGCAGGGTTGGTTGTTTTTGCTGGCATTTTGCAGGGAGCAGGAGGGTTGGTCGTTTTTGGCTTTGTTGCAGCTTGCTGTGCTCGATTAAGTTGCCGTTTTTTCTACAGTACTCTGTGGCCTAGCACCCGTTTTAGTTCTCATGTGTGGTGGTGGTGGTGCATGCATGTGTGTGCACGCGTGCGCACGTGTGTGCGTACTTTGTGGTGGTGTGTGTATGTGTGCGTGTGTTGTGTTGTGGTGATGTGTGTATGTCCGTGTGTTTTTCGAATCTAACTATTTTAGTGAGAAAGAGCAATGTACAGAGGAGGTCACAAAGAAACAAGGACAGCTCAATACTTGTCGAGATGATGTTCAGGTGAGAGGCAATAGCTTGTGATGGCTTGTGATTGCTTTGCTCTTTCTTACAGTCCATTCACGAAATATTGGTCTTATCGGAGTCACCAATGGCTTCACTATTACTTCCTCCGACCTGAGGTATTTCATACGGCAGGCCCCATCCCACTGATACATTTACTGTAATACTTGTGGTGTGCGATATGCTGCGTGTCTGTGTCCATGCTCGTGTCTGTCTGTCTGTTTGTGTGTGTGTGTGTCTGTGTGTGTGTCTGTGTGTGTGTGTGTGTGTGTGTCTGTCTGTGTGTCTGTCTGTCTGTGTGTGTGTCTGTCTGTGTGTGTGTGTGCATGCGTGTACATGCTTACGTTTGTGTATGATGTGACGGTTGATGTTTCTCACACGGCAGGGCCTTCAACAAGAAGTGTCACAAGCACAACATCAATTGAAGAGTTTGGAAAAGCAGCGGGAAGACCTCACGATGAGCCTGATGAATGTGGAGAAAGAGGTAGGGGCTCCTGTAGAAGCCGGCGTCTGTGCTAAGCTCTTGTATGAGTCAGGCTTCTACTCGAACCTGATATTCCCATGTATGTGAACACGAGAAACCAGTACCAGTGTGTGTAAGCCAGGCTTGTCATCAAAAGTGGCTTTTATTGATACAGGGCCTGCGCTGTGCATAGTGATACCATCTTGTTTGAAGACTCATCCTGGCTTTGTCTGTTCTACATGTAATTACTTGTTGTGTTAGCTGTCCGAGTATGAAGCAGAGTTAGCTGGCCTCAAGGAGAAGTGTCGCAGTGAAGAAAACCAGGTACGTCACTGTGACAGTGGAGGAATTGCCCAGCTTGTATCTTAGATTATAGATCATCACACCACAGTCGACTTTGTTGCTCGCAGGGGGACACAATGATGAAGCAGTTTACCATATTTCCCCTAATATAAGTCGCACATTTTTACACTAACATTCAAGGGCAAAAAAAGGGGGTGCGACTTACAATCGAGCATGACTTACTACTGAAGTGAATATAATGGAAACAATATGGCTCAAAGCTGGAAATGGGGAGGGGGGGGGGGGGAACTTATAATCGGGGAAATGCGGTATGTGGCCACGATTTGCCCATTGTTATTGAAGGTTTAGCATTTTGATATGATTCCCTTGTGTGTACTCTCTGTTCCTGACTTGTCTTCTGCACCTGGGTGGTGTATTGTATTGAACTATACTACCAATGAGTACAATGTATGTTGTATAGCTATATTGTATATCAAGATTATACAGCAATGAAGCAAACAAATCTATATGGGTGTGAAGAAGAGGTTGGTGCGGCTTCGACGATGCTTATAATTATTATGTGTGTGTATGTGTGTGTGTGTGTGTGTGTGTGTGTGTGTGTGTGTGTGTGTGTGTGTGTGTGTGTGTGTGTGTGCGCGTGTGTGTGTGTGTGTGCGCGTGTGTGTGTGTGCGTGTGTGTGTTGTATTGTATTGTTTGTTGATACAGATTTCCAACCTGAAGTCACAATTAGATAATCAACAGTCTACCATGCAGGTGAGGATTGTCCAGAGCTTCTAATAGGTGGTAACTTAGTGGTGGTGGTGGTGCTGCTGTTGCTGCTTCTGCTGCTGCTATCACTGCTGCTGCTGCTTCTGCCACTACTGCTACTGCTGCTTCTGTCACTACTGCTACTACTGCTATCACTGTTGTTATTGCTGGTGCTCCTGCTACTGGTGTTGCTTTAGCCACAAGTAAGACCGATCACCATCTGCCTATCCGTCCACCAGCTTATCGGTGTATCTTGACATAGATTAGTGATCAGTCCACTCTATCAACCCATGTAGTACAGTGTACCTCTCTAGCAACTACCCTGCTGGGCTGCTGCTGCTAGTCTGCTGCTAGTCTGCTGCTGGGCTGCTGCTGCTGCTGCTGCTGCTAGCCTACTGCTGCTGGGCTCCTGAGCTGCTGCTGCTGCTGCTGCTGGGCTCCTGAGCTGCTGCTGCTGCTGGACTGATATTTGTATAGGGTGAACAGTTCTGAAAATAGTCTTGCTAGTACATAGGTGTTACTATTTATTGTTTCATTGCCTTTTTGTTATTGTCTTTGTTGCTTTTCAAAGTATGGAGGATGGTTGGCAGTGGAATGCTTTCAAGTGGGATGTTGTTTGTATTCATGTACTTATGGTATTTGTCTGGGTGGTTGTGGTTTCTTGGTCCGGTGATAGCGTATTCCATAAGCACTTTGTCGGCCTTAATGTCTTATTGCAACTTGCTGGTGTTGCCGTTTGTGTGTTTGTGTGCAGAGCCAACAGGAGGAACTACGACAAGCCAAGGATGAGATGTCTAAGTTACTCCAAGAAGAAGAACAAATGAAAACAGAGGTCAGTATTCTTACTCAAGCCGTCGCACACAACATACTTGAATGCTAGGGAGGTTTAGTCACACGTAATCCGTGTGTACTTTACGTGTGTGTACCACGTGATACTCAGTGACCCAAGAACACCCGCTTTCTGATTCACGATATACCGTTTATGGATGCTCACCCATGTTCAGAACGTGAGTGAAATTCAGAACGGAGCACATTGTGCAAGCTGTGAGGGTGCTCAGCTGAAGAAGTTTCCGAAGCACAAAAGCAGAATACTAGCCTGCGATTAGCATAACTCCCTTCGAAGCTTCGTCTCTTGATGTCACTCAAGGGTTAGTATGCTACATACTTTTGATGTTGCTGTGATGTACTGTTGATCACATGTCATGTCATGTGATCAAGAAGACATGACGTGTGTCAGTGATATGGTATTCTTGTTATGATGTGTAATATAGTGAAGTCTCTTTTGAATTTTTGTTGTTGTTTCAAATCTTTATTCTCACGATAGTTTGTTGTTGTTGTTGTTGTTGTTGTTGTTGTTGTTGTTGTTGTTGTTGTTGTTGTTGTTGTTGTTGTTGTTGTTGTTGTTGTTGTTATTGTTATTGTTGTGCTAAGGTTTCTGAAGGCCGTTCAGTTCTCTCCAACCTAGAATTATCGGTGCAGGCCGCCAAAACGGAATCAAGTCAGGTTAGTTGGCAGTGAATTACTGTAAACGCCTTATATACAACAGAGTGCTAAATCTAACGATTGAATGAGGAGAAATCTGTCGTTAGAAAACGTTACACAGAAATCGATACTTATACTGTTGCTAGCAAGGGTTTAGGATAAGTGAGAATCGCTACCTTTGGTGCACGTGAACTGGTCAATTTTAGGAAATCAGTATTTGCAGCTCGTTGGAATAAATGCTTTTACAGTATCTTGGATTTCCATTGCTGTACCACTGAACCCCCTGGACTGGAAGGTCAAACGCACGGCACGGAATACACATAACTATGCACTTAGCTATGCGCAGGGCACACTGTGCTGAAGGGTGTCAATTACTCCAATTTCATTGTTTACATACCATTGGCCATGTGATGTTGACTTTCATCGAAGCAGACAGGAAATCCATTTTGGCTGCCATCACATTTTGTTGTTGTTGTTGTTGTTGTTGTTGTTGTTGTTGTTGTTGTTGTTGTTGTTGTGGGCTATTGATTGGATCTGCTATGAGCATACTTGAGCACAACGTTCAGTGTTGATGTTTAATTTGATTTCCTTCGTGTTGATGTGTGTTGTTGTTCCGACAGATCCGCGGTCGTATTGGTCAACTTTCAGATGTGCAGCAGAGCTTCTCAGCTCAAGTGCAGCAAGCACAGTTGGTATGTTGGCAATAAGTTAAACTTGCCACGCATCACTTGGCCTGGGCTGATTTTCACTTGTCACATCCCTTTTGTTGTCATCAGAATGGTCTTTGATCTGTTGCATTCCTTGTGGTATTTGCTACAAAAGTCTAGTTTGAAAGTGAAGTATCAGTTTGTGCTCTTACTCTCAGATACATGTGTATGTGCGTATGCATAGTGTATGTGCATGTACGTGAATGGTGCGTGAATGGTGCGTGGTAGGGTGCGTGGTAGGGTTGCAGCTGGGAGCTGGCTGTCAGAACTAGTATTTGAGTGTATTCTTTCTTTCCGTGTGTATGCCTGCTTTCTGCTGGTGTGTCCAGTGTATTGTGTGTGCTTGGATGTGATGAATCCGCCGTGTTGCTTGAATCTTTGATGGAAATGTCCATCCTTTGTTGTGTTGTGTTGTGTTCCTGTGTAGACATCATCAGAATCTCCACTGTCAGGTAACGGCTATAGTATAGGTACTGCTGTAGTACAACATACACTGTACTAACATGTCTGCCCTGTGTCAATGCATAATAGGGCATTCACACTACGTTCACCCGATCCCACGTTTCACTCGATTGGCTGGCGTTCACGTCACAACATGTTCACACTGTACACTTCACTCACGCTTCAAGTCCTCATTTGGACGGATTCTCATCATTATTACTGTGGCAACAGGCAGAAGCCCGCGACTTGTTCGAAAAAGTTCAAACTCAAAGATCAGGAAAGAGGCAAGGATGGAACGAGGATATTTTATTGTTTGGTTCTTCATATCTCATGTTGTCACAGTAGATGTACCATCCGAAATGTCGCGTCTGCTTTTCAAATGGATGACATTGTCAAATATCTTGAGCGTTGCTGATTGTCGGAGACTGAATGTGAGCCGGGACACAGGAGATGATAGTGATGAAGAGGATTGTGAGGATGCGTCTCGTTTTTTGTCACGGAGAAGGCAGTCGAGGCGAGTGTTGGAATCCAGTCTCCACCTCAGCTCGGCAATCATAGGTTTGCCAGGCCCATTCCCCAGGAAGCGTCGTTTCTGGACGGCTCATCCTGAACCTGAAGACCAAGGGGCATGGGAGAACGAAATCAATGGCACTTGGAGCCGTCTTGGGCGAAAATTCCCTGACGTTGAGGACACCAAGTATGTGGAGAAGTTCAGGATGCCCAATTCGCTGTTTCTTGCTCTGTACGAAGCCGTTGGAGATGCCATCGATCGTCAGCCAACGCATTTCCGTACTACCATTCCAGGAAAGAAGCGTGTAGCCGTATTCCTGCAATGGATGGCTCACGCTGAGGCCTTTCAACAGCTAGCCAAGGAGTACCGGATTGGCACTTCAACTGTCCATCATATAGTGCATAGCTGCCTATCTGCTTTCTTGCCGCTTGCCCCTGACATCGTGGGGTTTCCTGTTGGAAAACATGAAGTCAACACTGTTATTCGTGGCTTCAAGGCCCTCTGCAACCTTCCTGGATGTGCGGGCGCCATCGACGGCACATTCATGCGGATCCTGAAGCCTGTCACGTATGGTGATGCATACTATTGTTACAAAGGCTACGCTTCAGTTCTCGTCCTGCTTTGCGTTGATAGTTCTGGATTTATCACGTATAGCAATGCTGGACGTGCCGGGTCTGCTGGTGATGCTGCCGTCTTCAATGCGTCTTTGCTGAAGGAGAGAATTGAGAGTCGAGACTGGCTTCCGGGTGTTGGCTGCAACGTTAATGGGGTTCCTGTGCAACCGTATTTAGTTGCAGATGCTGCCTTTGCGCTGTCCCCACATCTCATGAAATGCTATAGCGAGGCACCTGCGCAGCAGACTCAGCAAATGCAGGATTTTAACTACTGCGTTATCCGGACAAGGCGAGTAGTGGAAAACGCCATTGGTCGCTTGAAAGAGCGTTGGACTGTGTTGTGCCACAAGTACATTCGTGATCCGAACTTGGCAGCGGATGTCGCTACTGTTGCCTGTGTCCTGCACAATATTTGTGAAAGGCCATCATGCTTGGAGCGAGATGGTGTCCCGCCCGCTCATGCTGCTGTCCATCAAGCTGCTGGCATCATTCCCGCAGGTCAGCTGCGGACACTTTTGACTCAGTTCGTCCATGATCGCATGCATTGAGGCTATGGCACTCTCTGTGCTGTTTTTTGCTGTGCCTTGTGCCCCTGCTGTGCCTTGTGCCCCTGCTTCAATACATAATTATAACAACCATCAATCTGTCCCCCGTGAATTCCGCGGCAGAATATCAGAAATTCCGTGCAGAATTCTGCGGCTAAAAACATTAAATTCAGCGCTAATTCTGCAAATAAATCCTTCCAAATTCTCCAAGGGAAAGGAGCGTAAAAACAGATTGAATTTCCGCAACCCCACCGAAGTTTGTTGTCCGTAAAAATTCTGAACCAAAATTATGCGAAATCCTGGTCCAAAAATCGAAAGCTCCAAAACACACTCTGTAAGTTGATTTTGAAAGTGACAAGCAGGTTGGTTTGGCTGTGAGATACATCAAAAGTCTCCAGAAAACGCAGTTTTTCTCTCTTTTCTGCAATATTCCACGGGATTTTCTGAATTCTGCGACCACTACTGGATTCTGCGGAAATTCTGCAATCCGCGGAATCACAGAATTCACGGGGGACAGATCAACACATAATTATGAAGCTGCAGGAAGACTCCAAATTTCTCCTGATCTGCTTCAAACTAAGGAAACAAAACATTAATGGAAAGGATGTTCACAAAGGGCCAACATTGTGCATGCACACAATACCAAAATGCAAACGACGGCTGTACGGTAACAAATTTCGGATAGGCTGAGCAACTGGTGCAAAGATTATAAGCCATATTTTGCTGAAAGTGAAGCCATAAATGTCATGCTATCTTGCTGCAGCTGCTGCATATGCGTGCCATGCCTTTGTTGCAACTTCTCCTGGAACTCCATGTCATCCTTCTGCGCCTGCTTCTTCTGTTCAGCCTTCTCCTTGTCTCTCTTGTCTTCATACTTCTGCATCTCAATCATCATTCGCCAGTCATGTTCCATTTGCCGAGTGTGCAGTTTCTCTTGCATTTCCACCACTTCTAGCAAAGCAGAATCCTGGCCTGTGGTGGAGTGCCGCGGCTTCTTTCGAGCAGCCGCTGCACATGGTGTGCTAGAGGGCGTGCAGGGTGATGTGAACTGTGTCAAGCTATCCAGCTCACCATCAGCATCAAGCATGCTCGAATCATCAAGCGGAGATGTAGGAGATGCAGGACGTCGTCTTGGCACAAACAGATCTGGGGTGCTGTCATCCTCCAGCAGCATTGGTGGGCGTCGAACCCTGCCAGGACCACTGGTACTCAGTGTGCTGGATGCTACTGCCCCAGAGCTGGCTGTGGGCAAACTAGAGGCTGTCTGAATGCAGGCCAGCGCAGATGGGGCAGATTCTGGGAGAGTGACTTGGACGGGTGGTGGTGATGGTGGTCTCAAAGTCCTTGCTTGGGTTAGTGGGGATGAACCGTGAGAGTGATGGAGAGATGTGCCAGGTGTTGAGTCGCTGCAAATGTTAACAGGTTGCACAACGCAGCTCTCCCTCGACTTCCCAGGGCCCCCCAGTTGGGGTGAGTGAACAAAATTTTATGGTATGTCCGAAAATTGCTCCACACAGCGAAAGCTGCTTGTAGATCATACGGAGCCGTCGCGTCGTCTGCAGCACTCCCAGTCTGCTGGCGTTGGTGTTTCGCGTAGAGTTCTCGCCCACGCTTCTTGGTCGAATCAACTTTGTTGTTCACTTCCTGCTCCGCGAATTTCTCGGAGGAGCCCAATTCCTCCCGGACGTAGCAATTCAGCTTTTCAGTCACAAGCCGCACCTTTGCACTTCTGGACAGCATCTGTTTGTCTTTGTTGAGAAGAACATCTCCCCACAACTCGATGAATTTCTTCTCCGCCTCCACAGAAAACACAGTCCGGCCCATCGTGATAGTCAGATCGAGTGCAAGAGAAAAAAAAGAGAAATGACTTTTGATATGGCGGAAGTAGTCTCCCAGTCCTAGACTATACTGGCAGTAGATCTACGAGTTGTGGTCGGCGATCCGCGACCAAACGCCAGGTTTTGATTGCGGCCACGATTTTCACGACCACGATTCACATTTCGCGCCATTGCAATATCTCCATGGATACCTGCGTCCAGACGTGACTGGGATCGTAGTGTGAATGCCCTATTAGCATCATTTCCTGTAGGATTAAGAGTGTTGTACATGAATGCACTAGCATCATTTCCTGTAGGATTAAGAGTGTTGTACATGAATGCACTAGCATCATTTCCTGTAGGGTTAAGAGTGTTGTACATGAATGCACTAGCATCATTTCCTGTAGGATTAAGAGTGTTGTACATGAATGCCCTAGCATCATTTCCTGTAGGATTAAGAGTGTTGTACATGAATGCACTAGCATCATTTCCTGTAGGATTAAGAGTGTTGTACATGAATGCACTAGCATCATTTCCTGTAGGGTTAAGAGTGTTGTACATGAATGCACTAGCATCATTTCCTGTAGGATTACGGGTACTGTCAAGAGTATATAACCCCCCCCCCCCCCCCCCCCCCCCCAAGAGTGTGCAACTCTGCATATGGGGTCTCCGACGGCGAAAACTCACATCACGTGTCTCAGATACCTTTGTACTACGTACAAACGTAGGATAGCGTGCGCGCAATCCGAAAATCTGCCGTGATCATGCTGGGGATTTGCATACGCGCAGTGAGTTTCTGTCAGAGAGTGCTTTTTTTAGTACTCCGCTGCTCGCTAAAAACGGGCTGGAAACGTACAACTGCGACACTGCACCACGTGATGTGAGTTTTCGCCGTCGGCGTACCCCATAGAAAGGGTATCAGGAGTTGCACACTCTTGGGGGTTATATACTCTAGGTACTGTGTTGCTCATCAGACTTTGTCACATGTATGTGAGGAGCTGGAATGCAAAACCCGCTACAGTTGAACATCGATTATCCGACCACCTCTGGGCAGACAACTGTCAGGCGGTGTTCAGATAAGGCAAATGTTCCGGATAAGAAAAAACTGTCACTCACACACTTTCAGTGGTTATTACTAGCCGCACGACCTTTTTACTTTTTACTTTTCAAAATTTTCGTATTTTTGAATGGCTCACTACATGCACAGTGCGTACTCTACGGCACGTGCGCCCAAAAAAACTGTTACGGATAATCGAATGGTCGGATAGTCGATGTGCGGATAATCGATGTTCAACTGTATCTCCATTTTGTCCATGGCCCAAAATATGCCTTTGCCCAGCCTTGACCTTCATTTCCCCCAAACCCTAATTTGTATATAGTGAGGTCCGGTGCAGTGTGCGTTTCCTGGAAAAGTATTCTTCAGTGAAATTCAAATCCAACTCCAGTGACTTTTCAGAATTTTTAATTTAGGATTTGAACTGAGATGCTGATATCATGTTTTGTGGAAAACTGCCAGTGTCACGTGTTGGCTTTTGCAATGCGCCATGGAATTCTACGATCGGTTTGGTTGGGAGTTTTTGCGCTTTGCAAACAAAAAATAAAAAGCAAACAAACAAAAAAGACCGTGTGAGCGGGAATCAGTTTATAGAGTGCTTTTAGGTCGTGCCTTTATCTCATTTATTTTATTTTACTTGGCACGTAGCCGGTTTGTTACAGCTGTCGATGTAGTAAACCTATGATCATGTATGTCCTCACTCCCAGTCAAGCGTGGCGTTTGGACTGAACTATCTCTGAACTTGTTCTTGATCATTTGCCCTCGTTGGTTAGGTCCAGATCCGTTTCAAATGTCTTCGCCTAGTGCAGATCCTTTCAAAGCAGGTAAGGTTCCACCGCCGCCGTGAGATCATTCCTGCGTACTTGCTATCCATGGCGTAGTGTAGCTTTTGATGCACTGTTGCTATCCATGGCGTAGTGTAGCTTTTGATGCACTGTTGCTATCCATGGCGTAGTGTAGCTTTTGATGCACTGTTGCTATCCATGGCGTAGTGTAGCTTTTGATGCACTGTTGCTATCCATGGCGTAGTGTAGCTTTTGATGCACTGTTGCTATCCATGGCGTAGTGTAGCTTTTGATGCACTGTTGCTATCCATGGCGTAGTGTAGCTTTTGATGCACTGTTGCTATCCATGGCGTAGTGTAGCTTTTGATGCACTGTTGCTATCCATGGCGTAGTGTAGCTTTTGATGCACTGTTGCTATCCATGGCGTAGTGTAGCTTTTGATGCACTGTTGCTATCCATGGCGTAGTGTAGCTTTTGATGCACTGTTGCTATCCATGGCGTAGTGTAGCTTTTGATGCACTGTTGCTATCCATGGCGTAGTGTAGCTTTTGATGCACTGTTGCTATCCATGGCGTAGTGTAGCTTTTGATGCACTGTTGCTATCCATGGCGTAGTGTAGCTTTTGATGCACTGTTGCTATCCATGGCGTAGTGTAGCTTTTGATGCACTGTTGCTATCCATGGCGTAGTGTAGCTTTTGATGCACTGTTGCTATCCATGGCGTAGTGTAGCTTTTGATGCACTGTTGCTATCCATGGCGTAGTGTAGCTTTTGATGCACTGTTGCTATCCATGGCGTAGTGTAGCTTTTGATGCACTGTTGCTATCCATGGCGTAGTGTAGCTTTTGATGCACTGTTGCTATCCATGGCGTAGTGTAGCTTTTGATGCACTGTTGCTATCCATGGCGTAGTGTAGCTTTTGATGCACTGTTGCTATCCATGGCGTAGTGTAGCTTTTGATGCACTGTTGCTATCCATGGCGTAGTGTAGCTTTTGATGCACTGTTGCTATCCATGGCGTAGTGTAGCTTTTGATGCACTGTTGCTATCCATGGCGTAGTGTAGCTTTTGATGCACTGTTGCTATCCATGGCGTAGTGTAGCTTTTGATGCACTGTTGCTATCCATGGCGTAGTGTAGCTTTTGATGCACTGTTGCTATCCATGGCGTAGTGTAGCTTTTGATGCACTGTTGCTATCCATGGCGTAGTGTAGCTTTTGATGCACTGTTGCTATCCATGGCGTAGTGTAGCTTTTGATGCACTGTTGCTATCCATGGCGTAGTGTAGCTTTTGATGCACTGTTGCTATCCATGGCGTAGTGTAGCTTTTGATGCACTGTTGCTATCCATGGCGTAGTGTAGCTTTTGATGCACTGTTGCTATCCATGGCGTAGTGTAGCTTTTGATGCACTGTTGCTATCCATGGCGTAGTGTAGCTTTTGATGCACTGTTGCTATCCATGGCGTAGTGTAATTTGTGATGCACTGTTGTGCTCGATCTACTTTACACAGACCAGCAGCGCATGCCTCCTTCTTCAGTGTGCAAGTGCATGTTCTTACGCGCACACGTGTGTGTATGTGTTGCGTGTGTACGTGTGTGTGTGTGTGGGGGGAGGGGGGGGGGGGGGGGTGTTGCTCATCTTACTGCATCAGCCGGTATCATTCTGTCGATTGCTTCTCTTCAGACACTCTGTGATTGCCTTTGAGACCAGCAGTGTTTTGTGTTCTCTCCCCCCCCCCCCCCCCCCCCCCCTCTCTCTCTCTCTCTCTCTCTCTCTCTCTCTCTCTCTCTCTCTCTCTCTCTCTCTCTGTACTGTCTCTATGTTTGAGACCAACAGTGTTCTCTATGTTTGTATGTACTTCTACTGTGGTTTAGCTGATCCGTTTGCAAAATCTGATCCATTTTCATCGCGTAATGATCCATTCAAGGTATGTCAATTGTTTGTCTTGCCCTTACATGTAGTTATCATGTGGACGTGACTGCCCGGATCTGGGTTAGAGGAGTTTTCCTGTATTTGATTTAGGATGCGTTTGTTTTTGCCAACTTGTTCTGGCGGAACGTGGGTGAGCCTCCATACACGGTATGCCGTGAATCAGAAAACGTCTGTACGTGGGTCACTGGAGTATCACGTGGTACACACACGTAAAGTACTCACGGATTACGTGGGACTTAACCTACCTATTGTGTATGATACACAACACACTTCAGTTGGTCTCACTAAACCTGCTTGAAGAAGGTGTCCCAATATGGAAGGTCTGGGTTAGAAAGGTCGTGCTTTAGTAAGGAATCTGGTCAGGTAGTAATTTTTTCTTCTTCTGTTCTGTCCCACTTTGTTTTGCTATGCTTGCTGCACTTGCCGTATTTACCCCGCGCATCTAGCTGGCAGCTACTAACAGTAAGTGGTGCTTGACAATGTGTTCATTTCTCTTATGTTGTATGCATTGTTCTTCCCTTGTGTCTAGTTGAGTGTGTATGAGTGTTCCTATCCTGTACAATGTCCTGTACCTTGTCCTTACCTGCCCACTGTGTGTTGTGAGTCCATAGCCTTGTTCTCACCTGCCCACTGTGTGTTGTGAGTCCATAGCCTTGTCCTTGCCTGCCCACTGTGTGTTGTGAGTCCATAGCCTAGTCCTTACCTGCCTACTGTATGTTGTGAGCCCATAACATTGTCCTCACCTGCCTAATGTGTGTTGTGAGCCCATAGTTGGGACCATATTCACGTCCACGTACCGTCTGGAGATTTGTGTGTGTGTGTGTGTGGGGGGGGGGGGGGGGGGGTGGTGTTGGCAGTTGGGTAGTTTTAAGATGGAAGCTGGAAAGGAAATTAAAAAAGATATTGTGGTGAACAGTCACTTTCAGAACTGTTTGTTCTGGTCCTGCATGTATGTGCATGTGTATTTCGGTGCACTTCAGAACTGTTTGTTTTGATGTTAGTTCAGTATGTGCGTGCTGCTTAGGTGCTTATCTACATGACTGTACACTCTGTTCTGATCTTATTTCTGTGCAAAGAAAGGGATGCTTGGCAAGTGACACACTCTCGCTTTACTCAGTTGATACTCGATTTCAATCAAAGCATACAAGTTCCTGTTTAAGGTGTTAGTTTGTTGAGTCCGGTATAATTCTGACATTTTGGGCCAGTTACCCATCGTCAGAACGATTTACAAGGGGCACGCGTAGCAGCATTAAAAACAAGTGTTATTATCTTCTCTCTTTTGTTATTTGCAGGTAGTGATCCTTTTGGATCAAGTACTACTTCTGCGTTTTCTAACAACCAAGACCCATTTGGCAGTGCAACGACATCCAGTGGTACAGACCTAGGCAGTTCTGTTGCTCCTGCTGGTGGCATGGACGGTGGTGGTAACTCCAGTGCACGTCGATCATCGTTTTCAACCTCAACCGCACCTGCAGCTGCCACTCCTTCTGATCTCTTTTCTAACAGCACGTCTTCGAATATTCCTAGAGTTCGCTCTGGTACGGTTGGCAGTGCTGCAGCCGCAGGAGCAGCTGGTAGCTCGCTGTTTGGCTCGTCCACACCGGCTGATTTGTTCTCAACGTCATCTACTGCCACTGATGGATTTTCAGTAAGTCACTGCTGCGGCTGATCCTGCTGTTCTTGTTTTAGGTACCTCCTTTGTGCTGCTGCGCAGGCATAGTGGGATGGTCTCAGACCATGATTGAGAAACAGAGGGTACCAGGTTCAAGTCCTGCTTGGAAGCGGATCTTCGGTCTTTGACCACTTTGGTGGGTCTGATCTCCTCACCTCCCACCGCTTTAAGAGCTGCATCTGCGCCTTGATCCTTGAAGGGTGGTGGCGTTCCTATGGATGGGGAAAACTCGGCTTCCAGCCGAGTCTCACGCGGACCGTGATTTTTTGTGCTGCCGAAAAGTACGCTTATCTTTGCCAGAGGATTTATGCTTGAAAGATATGGTTGACCTAGCAAGATACTCCGAATCCTTTTTTGTCTGTGGCGAGAAGGTTGTACTTGTGCTGGGGGTGGGATTAACGGCGGTAGAAGGATAAATTGTGTATGGAAGATCTTGTAATCATTGGAGTTTTGTTTAGTAGTAGTAGGTTCTTTTGTTCAAGCAGACAAGGCCACACGACACTTGTAGACACCAGCATGAATAGTTTGCCAGGCAACATTCCATGATAGCAAGTAGTTACTCCTGACAAGCTTGTTTTAAGCTTGTTTCGTTCCTTATAAAGGTAACGAGAACTCATGAGTGAAGGAGATACAATTGCTGAATGATAGGCTGAATGATAGGCTGAATGATAGGGTTGAACAAGAGACTACTATTTTAAACACTGTTTAATTTAGCTAGGAGTTTTGTAATTAGGGACGCGTTTGGTTGGTACAACCTAGAACAGGATTCACCAGAACAGCGCGTTTGGTTGGGACTGCACTTGTTCTGGGTCGGCCAGAACATGGTCTGCTTGCTCCGGCCTCAAGGCCGGAGCAGACCGAGCAGTTTCACTTTTTCACAGTGAAATCTGGCGGGAACATCGATTTTTGGTCCCAAATGATCACGTGCATACGCTTTTGGGACTTTGGGTTGGACTCGTCGTACCGTACAAAGTGACCATGGTGACCCGTACACATTTTGAAGAATGCGCCAAGTTTGGCACACTTTTTACAGAAAAATGTGTTCTGTTTCTGGAGTACCGTTTGGTTGGCAAGAGGCTGTTCCATGAGCACCAGCTGTTCGATCTTGTTCTAGATCGTACCAAGCAAACGCACCCAAGGGCGGCAACGAATATTCTATTTCACAAATAAACGAATGCTCACCCATAACGAACGAATAACGAATAAATTCTCTCAAAATGCTGAATTATTTCAGAGCACACTTTGACGTCATTCAAAATCTCAAACAAGAACAGAGACGCATCGGGTACACCACGCATCAAGAAATATTCATCAAGATATGAACGTGGCAGCAAAGCTTCAGGTGCAGCGGGACTTACTAAGAAAACACGTTGAAAAATTGCGAACTCAAGAGTGAAACGCAGCGCACACAGCAGGAAGACCAGTATGAAAAAGGATCTGCAGATGTGAAAGAAAGGAAAACAAAAAGAAAAGCAGGGGAAGTATAAGACCGCAATTAACGGAAAAAATCAAGTGATTGAGTTCAAATTCGGAACCTGAGACACATGCACATCCATACACTAGCACTCCCACACATGCACATCCATACACTAGCACTCCCACACATGCATTCCCACACACATGCACACTTGCACTCCCACACACATGCACACTTGCACTCCCACACACATGCACACTTGCACTCCCACACACATGCACACTTGCACTCCCACACACATGCACACTTGCACACTTTTTCATGTTCAGACTCCGGCTCCTGCTTCAGAACAAACTTGACTGTAGAGGTTGGCTGGGCTTGCTCCCGCGCTTCATTTGTCAAAACAGGGTTACGATGCAGAAAGACGAGAGCATCAACCATAGCTGGTGACATGGCAGACCTCTTAGCATTCGCCACCAATCCAGAGGTTGAGAACGCCCTCTTCGAAGGGTCTGAGGTGGCACGCACAGCACACTGTGGGCAACCTTGGCCAAGCGAGGAAAGCGAGAAGAGTTCGTCTTCCACCACTGGAGGGGATCATCGAGACTGGCTTGTGGTACTTGTCGCTCCTGCACAAAAGAAGAGGACAGAACAAAGAAAAAAGTGTTTGTACACGCGAGCAGTACAAATTTCCATTCAAACAACACATTCCAAAGTGCGGTTACAAAGAATGGGGTCGCCAGGCTCTGCTGCAGTGCTTTCTTCAAAGCCGGAAGTGGCGGCACATCATCATCTACATACTTCAGGGACTACACTAATCCATTTATGAGCGGGAGCACAAGCGAGAAGATGGTGTACTTCTCATCACAGAGCCCGGTGTTTACCGCCTCCAGCGCACCCAATATCTCCATCACTGACTCAGCCGTTGTCCACTACTGCTACCTCAAGTCAAGCGTACGGTACTCTCGAGACTGGCTCAGGACAAGACTGAGTGCCACGCGGATCTCCACAAGCCACTCCAGCATAAGGAACGAGCTATTCCAACGTGTCGGGCAGTCTTGTATGACTTTCTTGACGGGGAAGCCCATCATCACCTTCAGTTGGCAACATAGATCTTTGGTGGCTATGGCGCTATGCTTGAAATGGCCAACCAACTTGCCAGGGGCGGATCCAGACCCCAAAGCTGAGGGGTGCGAGGATGAAACTTACATATTTTCTTTTGCAGTAGTAAACCAAAGACATAGTATGTTATGTGTGTTACTGTATAATATCATAATTACACAAAGCACCAAGATGAGTAGTATGATTAGTTACACATTGAATGTCAAAATTTACAAGTAATTTACGACTGCTACCGGTATGATTCTCAGTCAGACACAGATTATGCTATGTACATGCTATATACACAATGTCAACTCTAGTCAGAATTCAGGGCGGCTGTTCAGTTCCTCACTCCGCATCCTGGAGAATGTTGGTCATCCTCATCTTCCGTGGGTGCTTGAGGGCGAACATGTCGACGATGTCAGTGACATCAACAGCCAAGTCGTAGCGGATGTGGAGTAGAGCTAGCCCGGTTAGTCTACTCTGTCCCATTGTACTCCTGAGGTAGGTCTTAATTAAAGGAGACGCAGGGCCGACACGCTTCGCTCACACTCGCAAGACGTGATCGGCATCACAGCTAGAATGGCTAGTGTGGCGAAGATGTTGGGGAAAGTGTGCTTGCAACACTGTTGGAGTGCGGCTTGAACAGTGGAGGGCAGAGAGTCTTCACCCACGCGGCTCCACTTCACCCACCAGTTGTCGAGCTCGGACGTAATAGATGAAGGTGCTGGCATGTCTTCGCTGTACTGGTCGATGAAGCGTTTCAGGGAGGCCTTCCAATCTGTTGTCTTCTTCATGACAGCCGGGACTGGCGCAAGCACGTGTCCAGAACGATCACGTGATTGCACACAAATCATCCGCGGATCCGCGCAGCGAGCCTGGGCCTGGCCTGACTTTTTTTTTTTTTTTTTGAAAAATCCTGACGGGTTCATTTGCACCCTTCGCACCCCTCTGGATCCGCCCCTGCTTGCGGCCACGTGCCTGCAGGCATTCAAGGAGGCGACCAGATGAAGTCGAGCCATCCTTGATGGCATTCTGGAGGCGATGTGCTGCGCAGGTTACCGACTGCCACTCCAGGTCCCTTTACAATGTCATACCTACATTCAACACAACAACAAGCAGAGAGAGGACCTCATCATCATCACATGCATCATGCCTAGATTTAGCAAACAGCAGACACAGAGATGACAACGCATCATAGCCTAATTAGTATCAATCTACGAGTCTACGAGTCGCGTCCCAGAAACCCAAAACACTGTCAACTATAGTACATACCCATGCACATGTACATAACATCCATGCACATGTACATAACATCCATGCACATGTACATAACATCCATGCACATGTACATAACATCCATGCACATGTACATAACATCCATGCACATGTACATAACATCCATGCACATGTACATAACATCCATGTTGTGACTGATCAAGCCATCTGTTGTTCTGACTAGTGTAACATCCATGCACATGTACATAACATCCATGCACATGTACATAACATCCATGCACATGTACATAACATCCATGCACATGTACATAACATCCATGCACATGTACATAACATCCATGCACATGTACATAACATCCATGCACATGTACATAACATCCATGCACATGTACATAACATCCATGCACATGTACATAACATCCATGCACATGTACATAACATCCATGCACATGTACATAACATCCATGCACATGTACATAACATCCATGCACATGTACATAACATCCATGCACATGTACATAACATCCATGCACATGTACATAACATCCATGCACATGTACATAACATCCATGCACATGTACATAACATCCATGCACATGTACATAACATCCATGCACATGTACATAACGTCCATGCACATGTACATAACGTCCATGCACATGTACATAACGTCCATGCACATGTACATAACGTCCATGCACATGTACATAACGTCCATGCACATGTACATAACGTCCATGCACATGTACATAACGTCCATGCACATGTACATAACGTCCATGCACATGTACATAACGTCCATGCACATGTACATAACGTCCATGCACATGTACATAACGTCCATGCACATGTACATAACGTCCATGCACATGTACATAACGTCCATGCACATGTACATAACGTCCATGCACATGTACATAACGTCCATGCACATGTACATAACGTCCATGCAACACACATTCATTTCTAAGTATGATGGTGGCCAGATCGAAGAGTTTTTCGAAGAGTTTTCGAAACATTCCCTTGCGGAAATATTTGTTCGTTGTGGGCCTATTCGATGTTCGTTCGAATATTCGAACATTCATTGCAGCCCTAGTTTTGTTTGTTCTCTTCTTTTGTGTCCATCTATTGTGTGTTGTGCTCAGGCAACAGCAATGGCATCATCTTCATCACCGTCGAAAAGCAATGACCCGTTTGCCAGTACTGCAACGAGCAGTGCATTTGACCAGTTCTCATCAACCCCCAGTACTGTAGGTCAGACTGCTGGCAATGATCTTTTCGGCTCGTCCTTCTCACCGGAAACTTCATCAACAGCAAGTACAGGTGGTATTAGCGCTTCTGGTGGATTTCCTTCTGGCGATCCGTTTGCTGCAAGACCATCAGCTAGCACTGGTGCTAGCACTGCTCCGGCCATCACTGCCCCATCCACCGATGGAGGAGCATTTGATAGCACGGGTGTATTCGACACGAGTGGATTTGATGCATTTAGTACCACATCGTCCGGCCCAGCTACGAAGCCATCGTCATCCAGTGGCTCAACTAATGCAACTACCACCGCCGCTTCCTCCTCTCTCTTCGGTGACTCATTTGGTTCAAGCACGAAGCCGGCTGCCCAATCATCAACATCTGTTGATCCATTTGCAGCATTTGGACAGTCCGACCCGTTTGCCACTTCCAACACAACCACATTAGCTCCAGTGGCGACGTCAGCAGCAAGTGGATCAGTAAAATCAGCTAGTCCGTTTGGTGATGATCCGTTTGGTGCAGGTGAGTAGATTAGTGTGAGGACGCTTTGTGACTGTGTTTACGTGAGAATTTCAGCCTGGCTTGAACCCGTACTGTTTGAGAAAGGTGGTTGCTTACATACCGAGAAAGGAGTACCTCGTAATGTCACGTATTTAGCCGGTCTTATTCCTGTAGAAGACTGTGTACTACAAGTACATGATATTATTTGTTTGGTAGAATTTGAAGGTATCTCCCTCCATTCTAATGTGTATGCTGTTGTTTTGTGCTGTGTACATTTCAGGAGGATTTTAGATGCAGCTGCAGCTACAGGTGTACAGGCGTAGCTGCATTCCACTCTACGCAGTGCAAGGTTCACATATTTGTCTTTTTGCACTCACCTATCGACAGCAGGAACAGCAGCTATGCCGTCATTGTGTAGAGACTCCAGTAGTAGCAGTAGCAACAGCAATGCTAATATTGTGCTTTGATCATCTGCAACAGAGCTGCTACTAGGACCTTGACGATGATGGGCTGCAGTGTTTCCTGTATAGAACAATGATGATGATGACGACAACCATGCCGATGGTGGTTAAAGCTGGGCTATGAAGTACTCACACACGCACACTCACGCACACATTGCTGCTGCTGTAGGTTTAAAGCGTTGTTTCTCTGACATCCGTCATTTGACCATGACGGTGCTGGTGCTGGTGCTGTTGTAGCTTCTGTTGTTCTTGCCATGCTACAATATTGACAGGCTCACATGTACATATGATGGCATGTGCATATAGCTGTAGATGATATCACTATTTTGTTAGCACTTACATTGTATCTATTAGCCCAAAGCAGTGTACGGTAGTACGTGGTGTGTATGGCAACGTGACTAGCTGTCAACACCATGTACTCACCATGTACTCACCACTGTCTATGAGCATAGCACAGATATCCGGATAGTGGTGCTACTTGATTTTTGTTCTCTTTATCAACATTTCTTATTTTCATTATGTAGAACACCATGGCTGTAGCAGGCATAAGAATGGCGACATGGCCTACCAGTACGTAGTGTGGCCTTGCTCTTGGCCTCAGCCTATACTCTTGTTGAATATTTCATTTCATTATTTTCTGTTGCTTCTGCTTTTGGTCGCTTCTCTCTCCCTCTCGCACACACCAATTTCATGAAGATATGTTAGAATTTGACTACGACTGCTATTGTCAGTATTGAAATATTCCCTGCGATAGGAGGATGGAAGAATTATACCAGGCTGCTAAATACAGCACCCCCATTTTCCATTTAGATATAAAGTGCGGTGGTGCTGGTCTTGGTGACATCATTGTGCTGTGCCTGATCTCCGGGTCATATTGTATACCTGTCTTGGAAGAACTGTGTAGCCACTTTTGTTGGTGCTAGTGACATGCTTTAAGTTGCTACAGTACTGCCTTTAGTTTGTTCTGTTGAATTAATCATCTGTGTTATGATTTTAGTATTCCCATCCCTATATGCGCTTACGAATTCAAGCTGATAACCGCCGAACAGTAACACGTTATTATCGTCTTCTCATGAGGCTGGCTGCGGGCAAACTACTTGCTTTATTTAGTTTTCTCGTTCACATGCCCACCGTGTACACATGCCCTGCACCGTGTACACATGAGTGTACACCTCCTTGTCACTGCAGTGCTTGTGACATTGTGCCAAGCTTATTTGTGGGTATTTTCATTGTAGTGACTTTAGGGTGTGTGTTGTGGTGTGCTCCGACAGTCTCTTACGTACAACCGGAGGCTACAAAGACTGCGCACCGGGAAAAATGCACGTTTGTAGCTAGGCTCTCATCGTCACCGCTGCTCTCGTTGCTTTTATTTTTATGCCACGGTTTTGGTGTTGCATTTCCAAGTTCGCTGACCTGACATGATGGCTGTGCCCTCCCTTCAGGTCCCTCACTCCCCCGTCACCAGTGGTCACAGTTTCTTGTCATCCTTCTTGCAGTCTTGGTATTAGCAGGAGTCCATAAACGTGTGTATGTACGAGTACACTTGGTGAAAACCGTAATGCAGCAAGAGTGTTAAAAGCTCCCTCTAAGGCTCTTGAAGACTTGGTAACTAACACTACGATTGTAGCAAGAGTACATTGTACTCTTGATTGTAGTAACAGTGTGAGATTCATCAGTTTCTGGTGCAAGGTCAGTGGTATGGAGGTCATGCACTATGTTCAGTTCTATGGCTATGAAGATTAGGGAGGTTCTGCTCTACGTTTCGGGAACGCGACGCAAAGGATCACGCGAACTCTCTTCGCGTTCCCGTAACGTAAAGAAATCCTGTTCTGCTATACGCTTCACGTAGAGAAGTCACGTGGAATGTGTACTGGGAATTTCCCCTTCCATATTTGGCAGTTTTCTGCATGCAGCTGATCGATACCCAGCAAATCCGTACGCATTTTCTCTGCGTGTGCCACAACGCAGAGAACCTCATCTCCGCGTAGAAATCTGGAGCCAAAACACGCGAAGCCGTAGACTCTAACCCAGACACCTGCTTTATTTTGCTTTGCCCGTACAAGAGGCTTTGTCACTGGAAAAAAAAACCCCAGACACCTGCTCTTTACGTGATTTCTCTACGTTTCATGTATATAGCAGAACCTCTCTAATACGCATCTAATATTGACTGAGTACGAGGTCAATATAGGAAATAAAAGCCTCGTAAAAGACCTCGGCTTCGCCTCGGTCTTTTACTCGGCTTTTATTTCCTATGCTGACCAAGTACGAAGTCAATATTAGATTTATCACGACTGACCAAAGCATGTTTTCAATCGCTAAAAAGGAGTCAAATATAAGCGGTCAATATAGCCCTAAGGAGTGAAATATGCAGGAATATTTGACTGCTTAGGTATGGCAAAAATCTATGTGAGTCAATACTAAGGGAGTGATAAATAATAATTGCAATATCAATGATGTGTACCGGTATCAGAGGTATTGTATTGTGTCAAGAATATCTTACCGGTATCCCCAAATGAGAACACTACTCCGGCCCCGTTCTCGGCACGATGACATGCAGTTGGTCTCGTTGCTGCTCAACAGCATACCCGTAGGGCCATGGCCATGGTGACGAGGTGACGACCACGCTGGCTCTACATTTTTCTCAAACATCACGTGTGGATATCACAGTGAGTAGTCACATGCACGGGGAGAGGAGATCGAGAGTGGATCCGCGGAGTGGAGACGAATATTCAGAAGGACCTCGTGATCAACTGCACGCTCAGGATCTAGGATTGTGGGGAATGACAGCAGTGTCAGCAGCGCCATGGCATTGGCCCTTGACTTGTGCAGGCAATATCACAGTAGAAATGAAAATGAAATGTTTGCTCCATTTTGCAGATAGTCCCAAGCTGAGTGGCCGATCCAAAGCCAAGGTCTTGTCTCAGTTTTTTTCTGGCAGTCCTCTGCTGGTGGCCAACGCGTTGTGGAAACAGCGCATCCAGAGCACAGTGCAACAACGCAGTGTTTCCAGCCTGTCTCCGCTAGATCACGGCTTGTAGTGAGCGGCTTTCTCCAATCACTGTATTCGAACACCAAGAACAGACGAGGACTCTGAGGTGGTGGACTTGTCCGAAGTCGGAGCTCGTGCAATATGCAGGCAATGAGGTTGATGACAGTGAGTGCTGCTGTTGCTACTGCTACTGCAGTAATGCTCGCATCCCTGACTACATGTAGCCATGCACAGGTAGTGCCATGCGGTAAGTGCAGCACTATGGTGGCCGGTATTGAGGTATTGTGGTACATCATGTAAGTCTGTCGATGTACGAGTACGACTGCTTGATCTGCTTGCTGCCTGCATACCCGCTGGGGATCAAGACTCTTCTCTAGTTCCCTACCCCTCCCTTTCCCTCTCCTTCCCTAGCCTTCCCCTCCCTTTCCTTCTCCCTCTCTAGCCTTCCCCTCTCCTCCCCTCCCTTCCAACTGAGACTCAGTGGAGGAGACGGCGCTACACGACCACAAGACACGTACATGTACGAGTGGGTTCGAGGTCTGGACATGACAATGTCCCTTATCAGTGCCCCTTAAGTTATGTGTGGGCGTGGTTGTGTGTGTGTGGGGGGGGGGGGGATTTCTGTTGTAATGATGGGTGGATAGTTTGAGCTGGATTCATCCCATATGAAGTCAGTCAGTTTGAATGAGCCTTATGAGGTCCGTTTTGTACATGACTATAATGTACATGCACATTAGGAAAGGGTTTGAATATGGAAATGTACTGGGTACAGCAGATCATCGATTATCCCAACCCTTCCGGGCAGACGCCGTCGTTCACACGGGGTTTGGATGAGGGAAATGGTCGGATAATGAGAGTCATTGATACCATGGCACTTGCTGTATATGGCTCATACATCATGTGACACAGTTTTATCACTGAACAATGCGTACGGCATAATCTGGTACTAGCAGCTCTACCTAACTACCATGCGAGCAGTGTCCGATCCATTCCAGAGAATGGATCGGCTGGAATCTCAGAGTGTTAGTACTCCTTAGTAGTCAGTAGAAGCTAGCGTTCACTCGCTAGAGAATCTGTAATGATAAACAATACAACACAATACAATTCACATGCCACACTAGTATTCATTCATTCATTCACCCAGTTGTTTATTCTGTTTGAAGGATTCACCAAAAGTGAAATACACGTAGTGAGCATACCAAGTGCCAGTTGTCATGGAAACAGCTGATGGTATTGTTGTTGGTATTCTACATGTGTTCACGTGTGGTGCAGATTCTCCCGTACAGTGGGAAGCAGGCTATGCTATGTTCAACCCGCGTGAAGGTCACGAGTTCACCGTTCATGGTCGCTATTCTTACGACAAGCTAAATCTGCGTAAGCGGCGTTATGAAGAAGTTGATGACATTATGCACCCGGACTATCAGTTTCTTGAAGTCATTGAGCTCTTCAAAGATGTAAGTGCCTTGCTGCTATACTTGCCATAATGGTATACTGTCATGTGTGTCGCAGAACGCTGTGTGTCATTTCCTCACTCGGAGTCAGTTTGGCTGACCATTATTCTACAACTCCTGAGTGCAGACATGTACACACGTATAGCTAGGCAGTCATGAGACTGGGAATTGGGATGGGGAGGGGGCTGGAGGAAATGTTCTTCCAGCTCACAATCATGAATGAACACCATGGCATCATGCTCCTATGCTCGCACTTGTAAAGATATACTACAGTAGAATCGGATTTATGGTATCATGGTATTATGGTATCATGGTATTATGCGGGTATCATTGTAGTACAGTCAGACCTCGCTTATCCGGTCCTCGTTTATCCGGATCCCTCGCCATCCGGAAGAAAATAGTTGGTTACAAATGTACAGCATATGCCATGCTTACATACAGTATGTGCGTTGGATTATCCGATTCCCTCGCCTATCCGGATATTTTTGTGGAAAACGGATGTGTGCGGTTATGCGAGGTCTGACTGTACTAGCTTTTTCATTACTTTACCAGCTCCACTGACTCACTGACTCACTGACTCACTGACTAACTGACTCACTGACTCACTGAGTCACTGACTCACTGAGTCACTGACTCACTGACTCACTGACTCACTGACTCACTGACTCACTGACTCACTGACTCACTGACTAACTGACTCACTGACTCACTGACTCACTGACTCAGTGTATGGAGAGCCTACATGTATGTGTAGGTGTTGCCGCACTCCCTCTCTATCCCTTTTTTGATTTATCATCAAAAACAAATGCAATTGATGGCCAGAACCAATGTACTGCGGTGTACGGGGTGTTGTCTGTTTCAGGAGAAGCGTTACGTCATTGATATGCGTACTCGTCTATGCCACGAGGAGCCTCTCTACCATCCCGATGAGAAAAACAATGGCTTCCATGATCACGACGTACCCAGTGGTGCACGCTTGGATGGTGTTCGCGTTCTTGGTTGCAAGGATGTTGAACAGGTACATGTACATGACGTTCTGGCATGACTCTACATGTACTGGCATGACTCAGTCTCTACATGTACTGGCATGACTCTACATGTACTGGCATGACTCTACATGTACTGGCATGACTCTACATGTACTGGCATGACTCTACATGTATTCTCAGTTTGTACACACGATACCAGTATACTTAATATGGTTGGGTGGCATATTCTGGGCGGCTCGTACTCACAAGAAACCGTCGGGGCTGAGGTGTGGACCACTCTCCCTGTAGCAGAGAGTAGTAATCCTAGCACAAGTTGCTATGTCTAACATAGCTGTTCGCTATCATTGCTTCCACGATGGGCAGGTCTGGTGTCTAAGTCTGAGGTCGGAGTAGTAAAAACACTAAAAATACCGGTTCTCTACTACTCCCTGCTCCTTATCCTCTACATAACATGGTACAATAGTCCCATGCAGGACCAACGGCCAGAACCGCAGGGCATGTGTGATGCACACATCGTACCTACATCTCAGTGTAAGGTTATAAGGCACACACGATTTACTTCTTAGAACCTCACTGGCACTTGATCCACACACATTTGACTGCAGTTTTCACCATCACCCTCCCGCATTTATTATATTTTCAGGGGGCAAGTACACACAGGGGAAGGTGTACATAAGGGAGTGGGGGGCAGGTGCACACAGGGGGAAGGTGTGCATAATGGGGGGGGGGGGAGCACACAGGGGGAAGCCTTCAAGGTGCACACAGGGGAATGTGTACATGGGGTGGGGGGGGGGGGGGGGGAGCACACAACACAGGGGCCATGTGTACACATAGGGCAGGTGTATTGGTATTGATTTATTTGAATTCGTTATCTCAACAGTATAATGTACAACTTGGGAAGATCTGAATGACATAGATACATAAACATAAAAGTGTACATAATGGGGGGGGGGGCACACAGGGGAAGGTCCACAGTGCACACACACACTGGGTCTGTTTCAATCTGGAAGATGAGGTGTGCTTGGCGGACCTTCAAACTGGAGAAGTACTGCTACCATAGTACCAAGAGTACATACCCTCACAGAGTGTTCAACGCCTGATCCAGCTCTGCATAGCCATAGGGTCTTGATCCAGCTCTGCATAGCCATAGGGTCTTGATCCAGCTCTGCATAGCCATAGGGTCTTGATCCAGCTCTGCATAGCCATAGGGTCTTGATCCAGCTCTGCATAGCCATAGGGTCTTGATCCAGCTCTGCATAGCCATAGGGTCTTGGTCGAGCGGAATCGGATCTCAAAGTTGCGTCATCATACCGCACAGATCTGAGGGGACCCGGAGGAATCGCTGGGACTCTCGGATAAAAAACACCGGTGCCCTTGCCTCGAGACTGGCCTTGCGCTGGTGTGGACCGTACGCATGACATCAGAAGATCTGACTACGCTCGACCAAGACCTTATGCAGAGCTGGCATTGCACACTCTGGGGGGTTATGTACTCTTGGTAGTAGTGAAGCATGATATTGTATGAAAATTGTTTCTTTATCACGTAAGAGTTGTGCATAGGGCAGCTGTAACATGTCCCATGATGTGTGTTGTACTGCAGGGGTACCTGAACATATCTCAGTGGTCTTATCGCTACGTGGATCGTCAGTACAACTGGGCTGGTTCGTTCACTTTGGACAAGTGTATTCCTACTCGCAGTGATGCTTTCAATTCAACAACATTCGGTCTGATTTTTGAAGAGTAAGTTCAACGGGAATACGGCTGTCATGATTGTTGGCATGACAATATCACATGACTGTTGGCATGGCAATGTCACAATTATTATCTGACGTGGGAGTTAGTGGTGCGGGGTTGTTGCATGGTCTTGGTCCGACTGCCACTAATTGAGCTCTTTGAAAGGGATCTACTAAAAATCTGCCAGCAGGTGTTGCTGTCTTTGGATTACTGGATCAAATCGTCCACACTATTTCCCAGCCGTGAATGGGCCTCCCAAATCTGCAAATTTAGTAAGAGGTGAATTTGCTCTCAAAGTACATGTATATGGAGTGACCTCTGGCTTGCCTCAGTGATGGCATCCGTAGGATGCGGTTGACTAAACGGATGTGAGTTTGATTTGGGAATATCTGACCGGGTAGAATGCATCACAGCAACCTCAAACTAGTGTACAGTACTCTTGCTCAGACTTACACTACATTGTACTACATGTACTACATGTAGTACATGTAGTACATTCACTGTTTCAGCTCAGTACCCTACACTCTGCATGTCCTGACATTTTCATTTTTGGGGGATTTCCCATCAATTAGCCAAGGGCAGTCACCGTGCCTACTTTTATAGTACTGTAGTGCAGTTTGATGACATCCAGACTCTCATTGAGTACCGTGAATGTTGACCTGTGGATGTATTGAATGTTTAGACATTCAATACGGAATTGGGTGCTGTCACTGCCACAGTACTGCTACAGCACTGCTACAGCACTGCTACAGCACTGCTACAGCACTGCTACAGCACTGCTACAGCACTGCTACAGCACTGCTACAGCACTGCTACAGCACTGCTACAGCACTGCTACAGCACTGCTACAGCACTGCTACAGCACTGCTACAGCACTGCTACAGCACTGCTACAGCACTGCTACAGCACTGCTACAGCACTGCTACAGCACTGCTACAGCACTGCTACAGCACTGCTACAGCACTGCTACAGCACTGCTACAGCACTGCTACAGCACTGCTACAGCACTGCTACAGCACTGCTACAGCACTGCTACAGCACTGCTACAGCACTGCTACAGCACTGCTACAGCACTGCTACAGTACTGCTACAGCACTGCTACAGTACTGCTACAGCACTGCTACAGCACTGCTACAGTACTGCTACAGCACTGCTTTAGAGTCACCATACATAGTTACATGTATGCTAGGCAATGTGTGCTCACAGTATGAGTTTGTGTATTTGCAGGTTTGTGTTGATGTGTTGATGTGTGTGTATCTTTGTATCATGCGCCATGTACGTGTGTGTGTGTGTGTGTGTGTGTGTGTGTGCGTCGGTGTGGGTGTGCATGTGAATGTATGTTTGTACTGCACAGATTCTATGACGTAGTACCAGGAATTTCTGATCCAAATGTGTTTATTCCTCCTGCCCAATGCATCGGTCAGACCAACAAGATCTACCGACATGGCCGCACACTGAGATGAATCACCAACACTGGGATAAGACGATACTAGCACGTTGAAGTACTGAAAGTGATGACATTGAATTGATTGATTTTACAGTGACTGCCTACACCAGGCATAGCGATGCGGCCTGGCTGTGTGCATGGAGACAAACATAATATTATTGTAGGGCCATCATCCTATACAATTGTTTGACTGCACATGGGTAATTCATTATTAGTTACAAACGAAACCATGAGCTGGAAAACATCGGAATTGATCCTCACTTTTCACTCCTCACTCGTACATGAGTCGTTCTGATTGTTTTGATGCCTCAGGGGTACGCTGTTGTGTGATGTTACTTTCAACTACAATGTACATCATGGCATGCATGTGATTGTCAGGGGGGGGGGGGGGGGGGGAGTGTGACTGGCGGTAGTCACGGTAGAAGCCAGGACTACCATGACTTTAAAGCTCAACCGACTTGGGCGAAGGCATCCACCTTGTCCCATTCAAAATGGCATTACAGTTATTTCAGATGCAGACGTACATGTCCCCTGGCAATTACCACTGCATTACTTGAAACATAGCCAATTTTGTATGTACATGCATGTTCATAGTAGTCCTGGGCTGGCACTAGGGATACACGGATACATTGCACATGCATGCAGCGCCGGAATGGGACTTTTTCGGTCCGGCTTTGACCACTGTGATGGTGGGTCTCATCTGCTCACCTAACACCACTTTTAAATGCATTTGCACCTTGATCCACCGATGGTGGTGGCATTCCTGTGGGATGCGGAAACGTAGTCTTTACTGAGCCTTACGGCGCTGGGAACCATGGAAAAGGACCCCATGGCCATGCTCTGGTATGGTTATGTCTGACGGCACCTTGCCTTACATGTATTTCCATGATTAACCATAGCAGAGCATGGGATGTAAATTTTACATTCTACATTGTAGTTCAGATCGGTCTAACGAAGGCTCTGTGATCTGCTTCTCTGCATACTTGAAATCTTCCAACACTGCATAATCCTGTATAATAATTACTAATTATCGTGTCACAAAACTGCAACATCGAGCAGCAGTATGGAAAGGCTTTAGACAGAAAGCCTTTCATGATAATTATGTCAATATGACATTGTGTGTGGGAGGATGGGGGTGGAGACAGGCACATGCACATTATGCCACATGTGTACATGATTGTGCTCCTATGACAACTGGTATCAAGTTCACGATTGTGATGAGCAACTCTGGTGCATTATTTATCCTGACTGTACAATCTACATCTCAGTACAAGTCAGGTAGTATAAAGTAGGATGTACTTCGAAGTACACCTTGCAGAGAACTAAAAAGGCAGAGTTGGAACATGTACCAGTCAACAATGGTCACAAGACCTAACCAGCTTTACAGGAGAGTTGACCTACTAGCACTAGTACTAGTAGTACTAGTAGTAATACTAGCACTAGTACTTGCTAGTAGGCTAGATCAGTAACTGAGAACCATACATACTCAGTCCAAAATCTGGCTCATAAGTCGTTTCAGACGATCACAGTCTCACAGTCACGGGAGTCAGATATCCGCATGCGTTGGAGTTAGTGAAGTCAAAGAAGCCGACACTCACAAGCAGTTCGGACTGTTGCAGTAGCGGCTGTCAACGTCGTTACTTGTCATAAACACAGCAGTGCCTCTCTAACTATCGACTCAACGTCTCAAGTCTCAAGTCAAGCTAGGTCGCCTAGCGCCTGGTGTCGACAAGTGTCAGTCCGCATACACTGCACTGCCTAGCTAGCCTCTGGGTCGTCTTGCTTGAATGTTGGTGACAGCCCACTACGCGTATGCGCAGGGCAGCGTGCATGCAAAACAATACAAGTCATACAGCGCAGTGCAGCAGTCAGCAGTAGATCTACGTAGTCGATGGTAAACCATGCTAGCAGGTGCCTCACGTGCGCAGTCGTCTTGTTCATGATGCTCATTGTGCCTTTGTTCATGGTCGTTTGTGCTGTGCTGTGGATCAAAACAGTGGTTGAAATAGTGGAGTGAGGCCAGTGGATGGAGAGGGTATACAGCCTGCAGACGATACTTGTAGCAAGCTGATAGAATTTTAATACTAGCAATTCTCCCGATCAAGCTCAGGTTTCTTGCCTCGCCACTAGCTAGCGGTCGAGTAATTAATTGCTGCTATTTCGGTACCTCGTGCGCTTGGCGATCGATATTATTAATTTTTGGAATTACAGACATCGTTTCGGAATGACACGCTTCAGTTCCCAGTTGACCCTCCTGGTCACATGTATCCACTTGTTACTATGGGCACGTCTATCTAGTGTTACAGCGCAAGATGGGCAAAGCGATCATATTACAGAGGTGAAAGTGGAGCAGCGATCACTTACATCAGGTTTATGTAGTCAAACAAAGAGATCAAAACCAGGAGACGTCATTTCCTATCATTACTGTGGACGATTGACGAATGGACATGAATTTGATTGCAGGTAAGCATCTTTGTGTGTGTGTGTGTGTGTGTGTGTGTGTGTGTGTGTGTGTGTGTGTGTGTGTGTGTGTGTGTGTGTGTGTGCATGTGCGCGCACGTGCACGCTCGCATTTGTGTTCACGCGCGTGTTTGTGTGTGTGTGTGTGTGTGTGTGTGTCCACCAGGCTGAATAGTGGCGGTCAATTCTTCAGCCTTGCAATCTGTTGAATGGTGCAATCCCAGCACAAGCTGCTATGGCTTCTGCTGTAGCATCGCTATCATCGCGATGGGCGTCCAATGGTGTGTGTGTGTGTGTGTGTGTGCGTGTGCGTGTGTGTGTGCGTGTGTGTATGTGTGTGTGTGTGCGTGTATATATATGTGTGTGTGCGTGTGCGTGTGCGTGTGCGTGTGCGCGTGTGTGTGTGTGTGTGTGTGTGTGTGTGTGTGTGTGTGTGTGTGTGTGTGTGTGTGTGTGTGTGTGTGTGTGCGGGTGTGTGTGCGCGCGTGTGCAGGCACGTGTGTGTATGTATGTGTGTGGGCGTGGGTATGTTTGACCGTGGGTTTGGATTTGTGGCCTATGCAGCACATAAGTGCAATTGCGTTCATGACCCGTGCAACTCCATACACAAGCCCAGATCAGCGATGCCATATCAGTGCTAGTGTGTGTAAATTGGCTCTCAGCCTCTGCCACAACTTGGGCAACTGGAACGGTTAGCGTGGGATTGAAACCCTGTTCGCTCATGCTGCATCTGTATAGTCTGCCATTATGTTACGACTCCCTTGTTACTGTGTGTGTGTGTGTGTGTGTGTGTGTGTGTGTGTGTGTGTGTGTGTGTGTGTGTGTTGTCCTTAGCTTCAACTACGGTCAGCCATATGTCTTCACCATTGGTTCAGGCCAGGTCATCAAAGGAATGGATGTAGGTCTGACCGGTGTGTGCGTTGGAGATGCACTCAAGGTCACTATCCCGTCGCATCTAGCCTATGGAACTAGAGGCACAAAGGGCATTCCGGGAAATTCCGTCTTGATCTTTTACGTGAAAGTCTTGCAGATAGTCAGGGTAAGCGAAACAGTCTATTTTGTTCTGCTTCTGTTGTACTACTCTATCAGTATTACTCTGTGTACATGTATTGGAGCTTTGTCTATCTTATACAGGTGTATGTGGGCATACATTGCACTGGTACACACGCAGTGTACATGGTCGGTGTTGCTCTATGTAATCTCATCGTGTGAATCATGTACACGCCGCCGGCTGTTGTGCAGCCCTAGACCTGTGAACACTGGACTGTGCACGGGTGCAAGGTGCAAAATTGACTCATGCACACAGTTGGATTGTATTGAGCCCCACTGCCCCATTTCACAAGCAATGGCACATTGTGCTGTGAAGTGGGGATTGTATGAGGAGCGGAGGGTGGAGAAAAAACAGTGTAATGCCAGTCTCAAAGGGACTTTCCCTCGCTCAAGACAGCACTTCTGTCTTCAAATCACTTTTATATAAAATTGATGTGTGCAAATCGGCCCTCGACCTCCTCATTGCCTTTTTTGGCTGTAAAATCGGAGGCATAACCCTAGATATGGCTAAGTAGTGTGGTAGGTGGGACTGTCATATCTCCGCTCTCCGCTTCTCATACAATCACCACGTCACAGTACAATGTGCAACTGCTTGTGAAATGGGACATTGCATATCGGAGCTTCGAGCTTCGATATAACAGTGTATCATCAGTCTTCAAAGCGCTCATGAACGCATGAAGTCACTCGGCTTGCACACAGAGACACAATAGTATGACCAAGAGTACATAACCCCCCAGAGTGCACCTGGTCCAGCTCTGCATAGGGTCTTGGTCGAGCGTAATCGGATCTTTGCGTCATAATACCGTACACATCTGAGGGGAGCCCGGGAAGTCGCGGTGACTCTCGGATCAAAAACAACGATGCCCTGCCTCGAGACCGGCCTTGCGTTGGTGCGGAGTGTACGCATGACATCAGAAGATCCGATTACGCGCAACCAAGACCCTCTGCTGAGCTGGATCAAGCGTTGCACACTCTGGGAGGGAGGGGGGGGGGGGGGAGAGAGGGGTATGTACTCTTGATATCACATTATACCTCACAGAAATTGCCCAACACACAGAATGCTCTGAACGTATGGGTATGGCAGAGATGCAAATAATACTTAATAGTAAGCACTGCGTACAGCAAGTAGTAAAACCGGCACAGCATAGCATGGGCAATACTGTCTGGCACAGAGGGTCTTACGCGGAGTCTGTTAATGGCATACACCTTGGCTACTGAAAAGCAGAGCATGATGCGCATGGCATAATGTGCAGGTCAGACACTCTTAATTAACAGCAGACTGAGAGGAATTCAGAATGGACTCTGCTAATCGCAGGCCTGACTCTGGGCATCTCTTATAGGTCATCGGCAGTAGAACCTGTGAAAGGTGTTGAAACTCTACCACCCTGCTGCTTTGAGGCTGCCGCAGCCTGTGAAGCAGGTGCACCATGTGTGGAATGGCCCGCCTTGAAAGTGGAAGTGTCACTATCCGCCAAGGCCGTGACTTCTAGCAACCACCGTGAAACACTAGGCGCTGAAATGCCGGCGTTTGCTGCCACATTGAGTGGGGAATATTCGCACACCAGCGGCGATGGCATTCTCCTCTAGTGCTGCCTGGGCAGCCATCTAGGCCATAAGGCCTGAGCCATACAGCTTGTCCACCGGCTGATCGAATTCCTCATTGGCCAAACAAGCCAGCCGGGAATGTATCTTGCTGAGGTACACACATCGCCGATGTCCAATGAAGAGCGCATTGGTATCTCCAAGTAAAGAGCAAGCTCCTTTGAGAGCATCCCTGAACTTGCCAGCCAAATACGGTTCAGTGACCTTCTCGGTCAATGTAAGCAATTCAGCCAAGGGACCGGCTACATCCAGGAGTTTCATTTGGGCCTGCAATGGATGCGTATCTGGCCGATTATGGAGAGAGGGAAGCTTCTGGCCAAGGTCGTACACCGTGCGGACTACGTTGCTGTCAACCGACGGGGTAGCCCTCGCTGGGGTGTCCGGCCTGGGGTACCGCCGGACCAACGCTTGCCATTGCCTGTGATCCAATTTAGCCCACAGAGTGCTCTCCAGGAGTGCCTTTGTTTCCTTGGAAACTGTCGAGCGAAATTCACTCTCTGCAGGTTGATTTCATCACTGGCCATATCCTCAGGTGCTATGCAAGGACCCAACAGGCCCTTATGGCAATCACTGCCCTTCAAGGCCTTGGAGAATGAGGAGCCTGTAGCCAAAGCTAAGCAAAGCAGAATGACCCTGCGTGAAGCACTTGACAGGGGATTTCCCGCGGATATCAAAAAGCGCACGGGATCCGTCGAGCCTGCAGCCGAAGCTATGCCAGGCCTGACGACTGACGCGAAGCACTTGACAGGAGATCACCCACAGAGTTTGATAAACGCATGGGAGTCCGACAAGCCTGCAGTAAAAGCTGAGCCAGGCAAAGGGAACGCGCCCAAAGAGGGCGTAGAACTACCGGCAGCGAAAGCGGAAGAAACGGATAGAATACGAAAAAGAGTTCACAGCGGGGTGCCCCACATTGAACCTGATGGATATACAATGAGGAAGTGCATAAGGACATGACATGACACAGTCATAATAGTGAGACAATAATTATAGTGAAATACGTAGGAAAATAGACTGAATGGAGTGCTGCCCCCCCCCCCCCCTGTATTTGAAGGATAACAAAACCGCAGAGGGTCGAAGCGCTCGCTCTGCAAGCGCAACATATCCACTTGCTATGTATTGCTATGTATTGCTATGTGGCAGAAGGTGCATCATGGTTTTGTATTTTAAATGCGTGTGTGTGTGTGTGTGTGTGTGTGTGTGTGTCGATGTGTGTGTGTCGATGTGTGTGTGTGTATATATGTGTGTTTGTACGTGCGTGTGTACGTGTGTATGTGCATGTGATTATGACTGACGACGGTTAAGGATGGAGAGCCTCTGGATGGCAGTACAAATGTCTATGCTCTACTTGCCACGGCAGCCTCGGCATACCGACAGAAGGAGTGGAATAGAACGGTTTCCATTGTAGACAAGACCATTGCCTTGTACGAGAAGGAAGAAACAGCTGAGCGTCAGTGTACTGCCAAATGCCTCGGAGCTTCCCTTCTCTACCAGCCGCTTGAGTGGAGTACTAATATATTCACTATCAATGACTGCTATGCAACATGTTTGTCAGAAATCACCGGCCATAACTTTGATCAACCATCGTCCGCTACAAAGAAACGTGACTTGAAACGCCGACTTGTCTATGACTATCTCCAGATGTCATACTTCAAGGTAAACGTATAATGCGCGGCTCAATGAAATCTGAGAGCGCTAGTCAGGTTTGCATCCTGCTACGCTTAGTTGCTGCTGCTGCTGCTCAGCAACGGTTGCTGCTGCTGCTCAGCAACAGTTGCTGCTGCTGCTGCTCAGCAACGGTTGCTGCTGCTGCTCAGCAACAGTTGCTGCTGCTGCTGCTCAGCAACGGTTGCTGCTGGTGTTGCTTGTGCTGTTGCTGCTGGTAGTGGTGGTGGCACTACTACTGCTACTGTTGCCGTTGCTGCTTCTGCTGTTGATGCTGGTGTTGCTGCCAGTGATGGTGTTGCTGGTGCTGCTGGTCATACTGTTGTACAGCCATACAGCCATACATGATGTAGTGTATGTATAGGTATTGGCCGTTCAAAACCTGTCATGCCTCTCAGAGCCTTGCTTATTTATGTGTGTGTGTGTGTGTGTGTGTGTGTGTGTGTTTGCATTTGTGTGTATGTGTGCTTAGCTGGGCGAGGTGGAGAAAGCGGCATCAGCTGCATTGACGTATCATAGCTACAACCAGAATGACTCGTCCAGTCAGCATAACATCAAGTACTACTTTGCACTGGATGAAATCAAGTCAAAGAGGATTGCACTAATGGAGGATGTTCCAGTTTATGTGTCCTTATTTCACAATGCCGTCAAGCTTTACAACGATGCCCAGCATGAAGAAGCTGCTGAGCAATTTGAGAAAGTGATTGGTGTGTACGATGAGCATATTCGCGAGTGTTGGAAGCTCTGTTACACGAGTGAAGTGCTTGACATTCCAAGAACGACTCATGACCTGGCGTATGATGTCGTGGTGGCATACAAGCGTGTTCTACGATGTCAGCTAGATTGCAAAGAGCAATCTCAGAACCTTGGTACATCAGTGTATGCAGATCTTCATGCCAGACTCTATGACTTCCTACAGTTCTCTTATTACCAGAGTAAGTACCTGTACATGCAGCCAGCCATTCCTGTACATGCAGCCAGCCATTGCCTCCAGCTACGCTTGTATGTTATGTGTGTATTTTTGGATATTATAATTATATTTTCAAAGATTCTCCAGAGGCAAATGGATGCCTATCAAAGGGAGTCTCTTGGGGAAAGGAACTGAAGGTGGCTGTTATGTGTGTGTGTGTGTGTGCGTACATGCATACATACGTGCGTGTGTCTCTGTGACTGAAACACTGCCGACCCTGTGAGGACTTCTTCATTCCGATTTTCCTGTTTTTAAGGAGAATGTACAGTGAACCTAACTAGCAATGTGCATGTGTTGGGGAACCAGCTCCCTTTTGACATACTCATCAAATACAGTGCGTATCGGTTATAGTGTGGTCGTATACAAGAATATACTGCTTACAAGAATGAACACTCATTTTTTCATTATCATAACACATATTTTATGTGTACATTTATTCTTACAAGCAGTATTATCGCATAGTAGAATATATCGGCCCTAAGAATGAATTTTGTGTAGCAAAATATGCCAGATTAGTGCAAAGTGTATCGCCTGTAGTAATAGCATCTGTGCTCTGTGCATACTCAATACAATAATATTCAACACAAAAAGAGAGTTATGCCCAAGGGAGCATTGGAGAATCACTTTTTCTGTCCAGTCGGACTCTTTCTTCAGACTTCTCTCGTATCCGCTGCTCGGCAGTCACCTAGCACGACCGCGAGTCTGATTGATCCGTGTACCAAACGTGCGTGCATATGATATGTCACACGTGCATATGATAATGTCACACGTGATTTATCGTGTGTAAGAAATATCGGCAATAAGAATCAAATGTCGTTTTTCAAACACCCACGCTATAACCGATACCTACTGTACTAGATTGTGAGATTGTGTTTCATGATGTTATAGTATGCGACCATGTGACTGCCTGGTGATACTTATTACTATACTATGATTGTGGAGTCACACGGTCGCAGATCTTCAACCCAATAACTGCTTGTTACTTACTTGAAGTACATGTTGTCCTGTACAATACGTTGGGGGTATACTGGGACCTAGTGTTACCATGGTTAGTGTATTGTATATCACACGCTTGGTGGCACATACACACACACACGTATACACATACACACACACACGTATACACATACACACACACACACACACACATACACACATGCACGCACATACACACACACACACATACACACACATCAGTCACCTGTGATCCTGTAATTGTTGTTTTGTGTATGCAGCCGGTCAAGTGGAGAGAGCTGTGCGTGCATCTGCCACCATTGATCTTTTGAACGCTGACATTGCTCAAGGATCTCTGGAGTTCTACAGGTCACTAAGTGGCATCTCTTCTGAGAACTTTCAACCTCGCCCAGTAAGTGCCAGGCCCAAACCACCTCTGCCCCCCCCCCTCTCCCCGCATCACAATCATGTTTTTTTGCGGTGAAAATTACAAAATTTAAAGACTATTTGCACGGATTAGATATTAATTTTAGGACATTTCACATCTCCTTATAAGGCAGGATGATGCTGAGACAGATGAGAATCCAAGGTTGATCAGAACTCTGAAATATTATCTCCCAGTTCATCGCAGTCCCTTTGTTTCACCATCGAAAAACTGGGGAGACCAGTTATCTCTCCATCGGCCTTGCAAACCTCTAACTCTCAGAAGGAGACACCTAGAAAAGCTGTTTCTTCTAACGAACCATTGATTCTCACCCTGATGAATATGCTGATTACTGCAAAACCTTAGCATTCCTTTACTTATAACTATTTTTCCAGTAAACAAAGTGACGCTAAGCCGGGGTTGTTTGTACCCAGATCTTCCGTTGGCATGTGTTGTCACTGTGTGTTTGACATCATCACTTTGGGGCCCTATTAGAATACTGAAGTAGCCGAATGGATGAAGACCATGTGTCCATTTCCTCTCTCGAACTTTCCTCCTCTCTGTATTGAGAGTGAGGTGGAAAGTTGCCTGACACAAATTTGACAAGAGTCACTGGCTAAGAAATGAGTCACTGGCTAAGACATGGGTCACTGGCTAAGAAATGAGTCACTGGCTAAGACATGAGTCACTGGCTAAGAAATGAGTCACTGGCTAAGAAATGAGTCACTGGCTAAGAAATGAGTCACTGGCTAAGAAATGAGTCACTGGCTAAGAAATGAGTCACTGGCTAAGAAATGAGTCACTGGCTAAGAAATGAGTCACTGGCTAAGAAATGAGGGGTCATGACATGCTAGAAGTAGTTGTACCTGGTATCAAACTGACGCTTTCTTTCATCACTGAATTTGTCACGGCTGATCTGCACAGGAGGCTCTTGCTATTCACAAGGTCGACGCGGAGAATGAAAAACTTCTTCTTGAGCTTGAGGCTGCCCTTCCCGACAACCCTCTAGAAGATGACGGAGAACCTTTAGATGCCGAAGCGTTAGCGGAGGGAAAGGGAAAGAAAAGGTTGGTGGGTGTCCAGTGATTTTGTTGCCTGTGTTGCTTGCTTGCTTGTTGAATGTTTTGTCGGTTGATGTTGTCCAGGTGGGGAGTTACTGGTTATTGGCTGGGTGCTGCTGTGTGTTGGTTGTGTTGGCAGTAACCTTGCCATCTTGAGTGCTCTTTTCAGCACACATGCATGACATCATCACAATCAGTTTGTGGCTCTATAGGGGGGGGGGGGGATGGGGTTGGGAGTAGTTACAGTGTACCAATTGAAGCGAACTGTAAGCAAAGGCATTCACAGAACACAAAGGTTACTTTACGTCATGTTGTTGTTGTTGTTGTTGTTGTCGTCGTCGTTGTCGTCGTCGTTGTCGTCGTCGGCATTGTTGTTGCTGTTCAGCAACACTCTGGATGTCAACCTCTTCTCCACTGAGACTGGCAAGCAACCTGTTGGTCCACCAGTTAGTCCATTAGTGCCTGAAGCCACGGCAGCCGGCGACGGCTCCAGTATTCTCTAGTCCTAGTATTTGCAATTGATAATTTCACATGTTGCACTCTCAGACTGGGTTTGATGTACATGTGGACAGTTCTGTCAAGGCTCTCCATTGCAATCACTGCCATGGTCTGGACTGTGATTAGAAGAAGATCATGTTGATCACTGGCTCTCATTATGAATACTGTGAATGTGTATGTACTATGTACAAACTCAATCACAGTCTCACAGCTGCTATTCTGGGACACAAGATTTGGAAGATTCTACTTATTTCATTTAAAAAGATTTACGTTACTATGGTTTAGAGCCGCGGCACAACGTGTGTACCGGTATTCGTGACTAGATTCACTCAGTTCTCTCATATCTTTTGCAGACACGGTGTTGCTGCTACTGCTGTTGCTGCTGCCACTGCCGAAGCCATTGGGCTGCTGCTGTTGCACGTGGCTTTTTTTGGTCAATTTCGTAATTTTCCACATTGCCTGTGCATTGGATCAAAAGTTTTTTTAATGTATATTGCACTGGCATCCACTGACTCACCTCAGGATTGTGTGTGTGCGTGTGCGTGTGTGTGTGTGTGTGTGCATGTGTGTGTGTGTGTGTGTGTGTGTGTGTGTGTGTGTGTGTGTGTGTGTGTGTGTGTGTGTGTGTGTCAGCTTTGTGCAACACTGTTCTGTCGGGTTACCCCAGCGAGTGTAGGGTGTGCATAGGTAGCTGTCTTGGCCGTCCTATTCTTATCGGTACTGTGTGTGGTGTAGACCAGGTACTAAGGTGTGCATTGGTGTGCATTTGTAACCGATTCACATGGCTTCGCCAGCTGTGTGGATAAGGCAGTTATATCTGGCTCTAGTCTTTATCTGTTTCATTCGGATCTATACTCTTGTCCGCTATCGTTGCTAGAAAAGGAAATCTGTGGGTGCACATCCAGTGCATTTGCAGATTTGGGTGCTTCTCTTGCCATTGGCGTATACATGGTACATGGTAGATGGTACAGTCGTCCCTCTCTAATCCGGCACTTTATAATCCAGCACCCTCGATAAACCAGCACAACTTTCAGTAGCCAAAATGTCCTCTTCATGCACATTGCAGCAGTAAATCAGATTTGTTAATCCAGCACCCCCCCTAATCCAGCCTGAGATTTTCGTGGCACAAATGGTGCCGGATTATAGAGGGACCACTGTAGATGGTAGATGGTACATGGTACATGGTGCATGGTACATGGTACATGGTAGATGGTGTATCAGCTTGAAATTAATGCTCACCAGGGAGTGCCGAGAGCAGTATGTGCACACATTAGCGATAGGAAGCTGTTGCCGCTGAAACCTATTTTTAAATTTACAGTAGTTAGTTTCGAACATGTAACTCAAGTCTTGGCAACCCCTGGCAAACAGTTTCCTTGACACTGATGACGTTTTTCCTTGATTTTGCCCATTTTTCCTTGATCTGCAATTTTTTTCATCATAATTGTGCAGAATATTGTATATGACATCATAGTGACGTCACCATGACTACAGAATATTCGCAAATAGTACAGCATGATCAAGAGGGGTACAGCATGTACGACAAAAAAGTACTTTTTCATGCGCTAATTCAAAAGTTCTCGCTCGCTAGATAAGACCTTCGTTTGGGCGCCCAGCACTGCGAGCGAGCGTCCAAAACACTGAAAATCAACAAAAAAAGGTGTTGACGGACATTTTCGAAAATCCGGTAGATGTTATAACTTTTCCGGTATACCGGGACGAAAGCGAGTTTTCCTTGATTTTCGGAAATTCCAGTAGGGTTGGCAAGTATGGACTAACTCGGACGGTGAGCCAATGTAAAGTAACCAGATCATACTTCTGAAGTAAATCATATTTACGGTCAGTCTGACCTGAGGGTACGGGTACGTGCCGCAACAATGCACAAAACACAACATTAGCCCCATCCCTCACACAAACAAGTCAACAAAGAGGCATCTCTTTGGATTGAGGAGTGCTGGTTTCGAAACAACTGGTTTGAAGCTCAAAGTAGAGCTGGTGTTAGCTCAGAGCAGAGCTGCTGTTAGCTCAGAGCAGAGCTGCTGTTAGCTCAAAGTAGAGCTGCTGTTAGCTCAAAGTAGAACTGCGGTTAGCTCAAAGTAGAGCTGCTGTTAGCTCAAAGTAGAGCTGCGATTAGCTCAAAGTAGAGCTGCGATTAGCTCAAAGTAGAGCTGCTGTTAGCTCAAAGTAGAGCTGCTGTTAGCTCAAAGTAGAGCTGCTGTTAGCTCAAGGTAGAGCTGCTGTTAGCTCAAAGTAGAGCTGCTGTTAGCTCAAAGTAGAGCTGCGGTTAGCTCAAAGTAGAGCTGCTGTTAGCTCAAAGTAGAGCTGCTGTTAGCTCAAAGTAGAGCTGCGGTTAGCTCAAAGTAGAGCTGCTGTTAGCTCAAAGTAGAGCTGCTGTTAGCTCAAAGTAGAGCTGCTGTTAGCTCAACGTAGAGCTGCAATGCTAAATGGATGTAATATAGCGCAAGGCAGAGCCGCAGCAAATAGCTAGATAACACCAGTTGTGAGAGTGGACCCGGTTAGTGGGTACGATAATATTATGATGGTGTGAATAAGTTGGATAGGGAGGGATGGTGGGAAAAGAAACACTGCTGAAGCACGATCCGTTGTCTGGAAGAGCACAACAGGGCAAGCAAGATTTGTTTTCCTTTTCCGCAAAAATGGGCTGGTGCCATTTGTGATTACGCAGCAAAACAAAGCGCATGACGTCAGTCTTGAATGCAGTACAAAGCAATGCAGTGCAGTGTATGCGCTAGTTCGGATTGTTGCTAACAAGTACTAGCACAAATCTGTACTGTACTCTGTCAAGTCATGTATGATTCGCGTATGATAATTAGTGCAGTCACCATGGTCACGGAGTCACTTGCGCACTGGATGGTGTAGACTGTAGTGTGGTAATCAACTCACAGGGTAGGGTATGTCTGTAGTACGTGTGTGCATGGACGTGACCTGGTGACCTTGCTTCGGCATGACCATGATGACAGGACACGAGATTTGCCTTTTGGAGTTTTGACTGGAGTATTGGAGTTGGCCTACGTGGAGGAGATTCACAAGTAATAGTTGACGTCCTGGACAAGGGAAAACAGGTAATTGGTTGACACCAGTCCTAATGCTGGTAGCAAGGTGTTCTGGTGTTGGGAGGGTCTGCACGCCCGTCCGATCCGCTCAGTGGTCGTGAATATCGTTGCGTAAATCGTTTATTTGTCTTCTAGCACTTATCGGCAATCGCCAAGTCGCTGAATGGGCCAGTTGGCCAGTGACTTCAGGAGTTTGGCAGAAATTGAAAATGTTTCATTCTTCGGACGTTCTGCTAGTGGCTGTTTGTGCATGGCTGACAGTGTGTCTCCAGTTTGCTGCTGTGTTGGCGCAAAGTAGCTCGCAACCAGGGACGCTACCGACTAACTCGGTACCACCAGCCACAACACCGTCCTCGTTCGCATTTCCTAGTTTTCCAGAATTGTCCCTGGCCTCGTCGCAATCTGCTCCCCGCAATGAGTCACGTGTTGATCTATGTATCGACTCAAATCCTCCCAGTCCTGCGGCTCTCAACTGCACCTACCTGAAAGAATTGAATGGAACGAAGCTGCCATACCCGTTGCCTCACTGCACAACGGGGACTGTGTTCTCGGATTTGTTGATATTCGCTAACATCACGACAGCTGTGAGCTACCTACAAGCACTAAACAAGACCTATTCAGCAGTCAATGTCCTCCTTATGCCTGGCTCTCATCCAATCGGTGACGTCATCAAGCTGGAGAATGTTAGCAATGTAAACCTATGTGGTGTGTCCAGAAACCAAACAGGCAGTGCTGTACCTGGAGGAGCTGAAGGGACCAGTGGAAATGCTGGTGGTGCTGGTGATCGTACATGCCTAGTGATGGGTACAGGTCATGCCGCCGATGTTGGACTAGTTTTTCTAAGAGTCAATAGTATCCGCCTTGACAATATCCAGTTTGCTTACAGTGGACACATGAGGGCAATGGTGCAGTTGGTGGAATGTCTTACACCCGCTGTCAACAACTGTGTGTTCAGGTAAGCGGGTTAGCCGGCGTGGGGGGCAAGATACAGTGGGGATTGGAAGACTGTGTGTGTGTGTGTGTGTGTGTGTGTGTGTGTGTGTGTGTGTGTGTGTGTGTGTGTGTGTGTGTGTGTGTGTGTAGGTGTGTGTGGGTGGGTGTCCCATATGGTGCAGTGGCATGTGCAGTCGATTTCCAATCGAGAGGTTGCGGGTTCAATTCCCGACGATTATGGTCGCACACGTCTTTCTTCTCTTTCTCGGACTCTTCCTGGCTTTTCTTTCATTCTCCTGGGTGGTTACCAACAGCCAGTGTATGCCGGAGTATGTGGTGTGGTGTGTATGTAGGAAAAAAATGGAAAAACGAAAAATAGGGATTCACTGACCAGAAAAAGTCACTTCAAACAGCTGTGTGGTGGATACCAGGCTAAAAATAGTGGCGGTCAATTCATCAGCCTTGCAAGCTGTTGAATGGTGTAATCCCAGCACAAGTTGCATGTCTATCATAGCTGTTCGCTATCATCGCTTCCGCGATGGGCATGTCTGAGGTGTGTGTGTGGGTATGTGTGGGTGTGTGTGTGTGTGAGGGGGGGGGGGGGGGGATATAATGTATGGGACGCTCTGCCCCCCCCCCCCTGTTTCATATTCTTAACCGGATTATAGCATTGATAGCAAGACGTCCGGTCGCTGGAAGTGCTCTCAGCCTAGGCATTAGACATTAGCAAATCACTGAGTGACACATCATGGTACTGTATGTACATGGCACTATGACACACTCTGCCCCTCGCACTCTGCCCCTCGCACTCTGCCCCTCGCACTCTGCCCCTCGCACTCTGCCCCTCGCACTCTGCCCCTCGCACTCTGCCCCTCGCACTCTGCCCCTCGCACTCTGCCCCTCGCAAGGAGATTTAGTTGTGGGAATGAAGTATGGCCTGTGATGTGTGTATGTGTGTGTGTGTGTGTGTGTGTGTGTGTGATGCGCCAAGGCATGAAACGTCACAAGTGCAGCCGTGGCTCGGCCAGAGCAACCAACACAGACCGTAGCTCCTTCTGTATCGTTTGCAATTGCGGTCGGCGTTTCAGTAGACCACAGGACCTATCCCGTCATCGCCCCTACTGTTCCGAACCTGCTCAACCCCCCATGGGGTCCGCATAGCCAGAATATGGCAGCGCGTCCAAGGTCCAAGGTCCAAGGTGTGATGTGTGTGTGTGTGTGTGTGTGTGCGCGCGCGCGCACGCGCGTGTGTCTATACAGGAACAACCGAGCTACTCCATTGGCTATCTACAAGAGTAGTTCCGTCTTTATAACAGACACTGTGTTTGAGAACAATATTGCTGTTGCCAGTTATGTGCATGGCAGCTCATGGCTTATTGCTACAGCTGGCTTGGGTCTCTATATCAACGGGGTAAGTGAAGGGTTAGGTCTCTATATCAACGGGGTAAGTGAAGGCCCATGATCATCATGGCTCATGTTCATGATGCAGTGTGCGTGCATAACGATGCATGAAGCATGGTGCATAGTGCATGGCGCATAGGGTATGATGCATGGTAGATGATGCATGGTAGATGATGCATGGTAGATGATGCAATGTGTATGATGCAGTGTGCGTGCATAAGTATGCATAAGGATGCATGAAGCATGGTGCATAGTTTGTTTGTTTGAAGTTTTATTTTACATCGCAAACCAAACGGGCATTGATGCCCAATATTATGATGGCGATAGAATAAAAAGTGTGGCTCGATAAAGCTTCACTTGCGAAAATGAGAAAACAGTCAAAAGGAAGTATTTGTACCGGTAATTACAAGTCAAGTTCGAATGAAGTAACAATCAGAGAGAAATAGGAAGATGAGGACCTATGCCAGAGGGAGGTGCTATTCGGCCATATTAACCATAGAAAAACACTTTCAGCAATCTTTTAAACGGGGTTGGACGACGAGTGGACGTGAGTTCCTGTGGCAGGGTGTTCCAAAGCTTCACGGCGGAAACCAATGGTCGGCTGTCGCCAGATGTTCGACGAGTTAGCGGAACAATGTATTTGCAATTGTCATTGCCACGGGTGTTACTGGGAGGTTGGAGGGCTACTCTTTCTTTCAGAAGAGGGCTGATGCTGCTGGTGTGGACACGGTGCATAAGGAAACGGAGTTTGCATTTGGCACTTTCAATTACAGGGGTCAGGGAAAAGCGAGTGTATATAGGAGTGGTATGGGACGGGAAGGGCAGATTGGCTACGCAGCGAACACATCGCTTGTCGAGGATAGTGAGCTGGTGCCGCTGCTGAGCCGTGAGGGCAGAGAAGAACGCGTTTGATCCATAAAGCATGTCAGGAAGTATAAGGCCAGAATAGAAGAGGAGCGACTGGCGTTCAGATAGCGACGGGCGGATGGTGCATGGTGCATAGTGCATGGTGCATGGTGCATGGTGCATGGTGCATAGTGCATGGTGCATAGTGCATGGTGCATGGTGCATAGTGCATGGTTCATAGTGTATGGTGCATGGTGCATAGTGCATAGTGCATAGTGCATGGTGCATGGTGCATGGTGCATGGTGCATAGTGCATGGTGCATAGTGCATAGTCAGTGGCGGATCCAGGGGGGGGGGGGGGGGGGGTTCCGGGGGTTCCATGGAACCCCCTAAATTTTGCAAAGTGTGGTGCTGAGAAATATCGAAGAATATCATGTGTGCACAAAAGGACGTCCGTCCGATCACAGTCAGTGCAGTCAAAGAGTACAGACTCAGTGCACTGCATGCGCGTTCGGTAGATCGATACTGCATGTATACCGGTAGTCTAGTACTAGTAGTCTGTACTGGTGTTCACGTCCGTATACGTCCGTGATTTACAAACGGACACTGTAGACAACATTGGGTGGTTGTTTCCTTTTTGATCTTTCGAAACGATCCAAACTTACCTCCATTGGCGCTGTCATTCACTGCTGCTCAGGATGGGTGTGGTGTGGTCAGTATTCCTTGGACAAGTTTTTTTTGCAGAAGAGAAAGGATGTTCCGAGTGATGACACTCTTCAACGAACTTCGAATCGTACACGTAGAGTTCAAGCTCCTCAGAAGATGAGGGCTCCGACATCCAAGCAAAGTCAGTAATCTCTACCTGCTGCAGCATGCAGTAGTGACTAGTTGTTCCTCCGCAGGAACGGAGTGCTGCGCCAGCGATGTGTTTTAGATGACACTGGAAGGATTGTGCAATTGTCGACACTGTTTCGCTGTTGTTGTTTCTGTCACTGAAGTGAAGACGATGCTCTTGTCCTGTGACTATAGAGCATTTCGCATCGTAAAAATGCCAAAAATTTCCGAAAGTACAAATGGACAGGGAAAGTAATTTAGTTGTCATTTCGGCATTCCTGGCTTTCAACGTACCCATGTATGTACTCAAGTATAATATTATTATGATTATGTGTCCGTACTAAATAATAATTATACAATGTAGGGTAAGCAGCAGCATTTGGCCCTGTACAGGCTTTCCATCGTCCACCACACCACAACTGCGCGCTCCAGCGATGGTGGTGTGCTGTGGCAACGTTACGTGTCGAGGCCGGCTGGAGGGTGCAGTTATGGTGTGGTCGATGATGGAAAAATATATGTCCGTAGTGTGTTTTAAAAGCATGCGATTGCCACTAACACAATCAGATTGTCGTTATTACATGTGTCAACCACACAACTTCAAAACAATCTGATTCCATAATATTTTGGCTTTTCAATTTTGGTTCAACCGGAACCCCCCTGTAGAGATCTCTGGATCCGCCCCTGATAGTGCATAGTGCATGGTGCATAGTGCATGATACATGGTGTAAGAAGGTGCATGGTGTAATGGATTGTATTTTATTTTGTATGATGGTGTATGATACATGCTGCACCATTGCATGCACCCCTGGGGGGAGTGGTGCACCAAGCATGCACCGCTGGGGGGAGTGGTGCACCAAGCATGCACCGCTGGGGGGAGTGGTGCACCAAGCATGCACCGCTGGGGGGAGTGGTGCACCAAGCATGCACCGCTGGGGGGAGTGGTGCACCAAGCATGCACCGCTGGGGGGAGTGGTGCACCAAGCATGCACCGCTGGGGGGGGAGTGGTGCACCAAGCATGCACCGCTGGGGGGAGTGGTGCACCAAGCATGCACCGCTGGGGGGAGTGGTGCACCAAGCATGCACCGCTGGGGGGAGTGGTGCACCAAGCATGCACCGCTGGGGGGAGTGGTGCACCAAGCATGCACCGCTGGGGGGGGGGGGGGGAGTGGTGCACCAAGCATGCTGCATGGTACGGGGTCCACTGTGGTGCATGGTACGGGGTCCACTGTGGTGCAAGAAGCGTTATCGCCATCATAATATTGGGCATCAATGCCCGTTTGGTTTGCGATGTAAAATAAAACTTCAAACAAAAAGCGGGTTCCATGGCGCAAGGTGTATGGCGTATGGTGTGGTGAATCTATTGGCAGTCCCATTCCATTACGGTGTGATGTTGAAGAAGTATGATACATAGGGTTCAAACAGAGGGTCCGATTAACCGGCTTCAATAGCGTTAGCAATCTTAAACCATTTGTGTAGCGGTTACGATGATACTTTTCGAGTTTTCCAAGTTTGCACGTTATATATAAAGTTTTGGCAGTTGTACAACTATGGTGTACGTATACATGCGTAATCATACACTGCATCAACCCGATACTAACACCTGCACTACCTGAAACTACTTGAAATTCGGAAACTCAAACGATCCGCCTAAACTAACAGATAAAATTAATTATCTAGCGAAAGAGTCAGAGCAAGCCAGTTTTTCCTTTGCCTTTGACTTTCTGTTTGTTGTGTTTGTTGTTGTCAATCTCGTCAAGTCCCCTTTAATTCATGTATCTGTTTGCAGCTGAGATGCATTTGATGAATTCAGTCACACTAGCTAGTCTAGTAGTAGTCAATGTTGCACTGACTGTAGTTGAAGTAGCGCTATGTCTACACTACACTGTATAGTGCAGTATAATGTATAAATGTATACTAAACCTTGCAACACTGGGACTGAAAAAACTTTGCTGGGTGTTCGTTACCAACAAGTACGGTGACGTGTGCAAGTAGCCATACGGGTAGCCATGCTAGTCACTCACCGTACTTTACCTTCTCGTTGTGTTCTCCTACAGAGCAATTCGGCGGATGATCCTGCTACATATTACCTTCGTAACATCCGGTTTGAGAACAACCAAGCCACCCCGCACAGCAGTACTACAGCTAATGACTATGGACAAACACAGTCCTCAGCCCCACCAGCACTACCAGAATGCTCTGGAGACGAGTGTGGACTAAGCATACCAAGCGATGGTGGAGCCATGAGAATCACCATTGTTGCGCAAGCTCAAAATGCTTTTGTTCAAGTTGTCAACTCACAGTTCGTAAATAATTCTGCCACCAATGGCGGAGCAGTGTTCATTGAGCAACAGCGTTACATTCACTCCTCACTAGTAGCATTCATTGAGTGTGTCTTTGAGAGAAACTTAGCATTCGGCAGCGTAGCTGTTGGCTTGGCGGGGGATTGTGGAGCTATAGGCATACTGTCGTTGATGACAAAGTTCAATCAACGCGTCGTCAACGGTGAATCTCGGGACTTTGAAGATGTTAACTATGTGGTGCTCTCGTCCGTCTTTCATCACAACACGGCGCAGCGCAATGGTGGAGGTTTGTGTTTGGTACGGCTTTGTGATTTTGACTGGGAAGTGACCGAAACGAGCGAGGCAAGAAGCAGGTTTGGAGGAGCATGGCTGCTTGTTCGAAACGTCACGTTCTATTCCAACATTGCCGGCGAAAATGGAGCTGGCTTGTATGCACTGGGGTCTATCCTTGATGGCGTTCAACCTCCGACGGTTCTTATGGATGATGTGTAAGTGTATAGTTATACCACTGTATATTCACACTCTACAGACAATACAGACCGTACTAAACACAGACCATCACCAACCTCTTACAATTCCTTCTCGTATCTCCAGAATGCATTGAAACATCACAGACCGTACAGCGGGGAAGATATTAGTACAGTGGCATACCTTACAGTGGTGTATCTTACAGTGGTATACCTTCACTCACTTACATCTACAGTGCAATGTGATAGTTCATGAAAACAAGGAGGTTGAAAATTGGGCGGGTGGATTTTCGCAGCATACTTCCAAGATGTGAATGAAACAACATTTCCCGACTACTGACCCTACATTGAAATAGGTGCAGAGCAGACCTGCATTATAGTGAATAGTGTCAGTCAATAGGCCAATGAGCGTGTCCGCTGTTTCCTGTTCCTGCGGCGTGGTCTCTTGTTCGTGTCCCTGTCTGCCAGGTTATTTGAAAACAATATCATCCAAGCATCTGGTGTTGGTGCACTCTTTGCTGTTAAGACTACCGTGTTGATACGATCTAGTGGAATCAGAATGATAGGCAACAACGGTAGTGCTATGTACTTGCAGAGTTCATTGGTCATTCTCAGCTCCAGTGACAACATGAACAATACTAGGTTCATCAATAATACAGGTATGTATGTACAATCATGTACTGTGTGGAAGGTTAACACTAGTTCATGGAACTTGAGCATCCCCTCCCCACCCCTCCTCTTCCCCCGGCACCCCTCCTCTTCCCCCGGCACCCCTCCTCTTCCCCCGGCACCCCTCCTCTTCCCCCCTCCTCTTCCCCCTCCTCTTCCCCCCACCCTCCTCTTCCCCCCCCCCATCCCACCTCTTCCCCACCTCTTCCCCCCACCTCTTCCCCCCCTCCTCCCCCTCCTCTTTCCCCCTCCCCTACTCCCACCCCACCTCTTCCCCCCTCCTCTTCCCCCCTCCTCGCCCCTCCTCTCGCCTTCTTTGCAATGTTACTTTGCTCTATAGAAGGCTATTCTAAAGTTCTAAATTCCAAATTCTAAATTCCATTTTTGAAGGGTTAGAAAAGGTAGGACTGAAATGGCGATGACATTTGGCCTAAGAACCTCTGTGACTGGAAAGAAGAAGAAATGCAGACATCGCTATGACATCCTCAAGCCTTATGCATCTTAGTACTCCAGCAACTGAATCAGCTTTAAAAATTAAAGCTTGGTTGAGTGAGGTTGGGAGGGGGGGGGGGGAGGGGAGGGGAAGGGGAGGGCTGGAGGGAGGCTGGGGATGAGAGGGAGGGGGGGGGGGACAATGGTATGGGATAAAGGTGAAGAACAATAACCATGGGTACTAGATGAGACGCAAGGCGGTCACACCCCAGAGGCCATTGGATCCAAAGGATAACTTGGAACGGTTACCCTCCCAGGGTATCTGAACAACAGCCATCATAAATGCAGGCCTGAAGTAAAGTGGAACCTATTCCGACTCCAGAAGCCAGGATCTCAGCCAAACAAATCTGTAAGATCTTGAATCTTTGTAAGAAAGGGTTTGCTCCCCACACTGGAGCTCGCGCTATTCCGCCGACTTTACTTGACACTTGACTGACTCACGACTGCCATCCAGAGCACACGAGAAGTCCAGCGAGCCTTCGACTCGGCAAACCTGCAAGAAAGCACCACTCCCTGCTCAATACACAGTGTTTCGGGGAATTCACCCCTCATCAGTTGAGCTTGAGTAGGCTGAGGAAGATTGTGCCTGAAGAGCACCACTTATATAGTGCTCTCCAGGCACAAACATCACCAGGGATACAAACTTACAGAGACGCTCCATTTCCAGCGCGACAAACACCTCGTGAACACCAGATAGCAGCGTGAGTCAGTGTCGCTCCTGGACGGTGAGACCAGACGTTGAGGACCCTCGGTCAGCGGAATAGCGCGAGCTCCAGTGTGGGGAGCAAACCCTTTCTTACAAATCATCGCCGAAGTCGCAACCACTACTTCATCTTGAATCTTTTTGTCATTTCTCCTGTGTTGTGGGAATGCGTGCCAGCATGTGTGCGTGATTGTGTGTGTGTGTGTGTATGTGTATGTGTGAGTGTTTGTTTGTTTGTCTGATTGTGTCCTTATGCGTCTCTCTGGGTATGTGTTTAGGTATCGATGGTGGTGCTATTTTCCTGGTGCAACCTGCTCAAATTGTACTCGATGCTAATACATCCCTTCTATTCGAGGGTAACCGTGCAACAGACAAGGGTGGAGCAGTGTTTCTGCAAGCACAGGCCAGCACCGATAGCAAGGATGCACATCTACTGAACAAACATTGTTTTCTACAAACTAACTTTGACATACACTCGATGCCACGCTCATCTTGGGAGGTCAGTGTTAGTTATTCTGCCTTCACCCTAGCTATGAACTAGTAGTCGTGGTGTGTTGTTTTTGCTGGGAAATTGACTGAGGTACATTTTATTGAGTTTCATACTGATTCAATGCTGGGGCAACATGAAGGAAAGAGAGAGAGAGAGAGAGAGAGAGAGAGAGAGAGAGAGAGAGAGAAAGAGAGAGAGGGAGATGGAGAGGGAGAGAGAGAGAGAAAGAGAGATAGATAGAGAGAGAGGGGGGGGGGGGGAGTGGGAGGGGGGGGGGGGGATCGTGTTTATAAGCAGCAGAAAACACAAATGAGGAAAAGACGAGAACCCGAAATAACACACGATTCAGTCTACCGTATAGTGAAATGTCCAAAGAAATGTCGCCTAGAAATCGAAGACTGCTATCAATGGATTTCAGGAAAGTTTGAGCTTTCCACAAGATCTTCAATAAGAACAGATACACGATCGATTTTAAAGCTGCAGCTCCTAACAAAGTGTGCCCCGCCGGGTACAAGACAAGTGTAATTTGGACACCAGTGAGGCATCCTATTATCACCTCTCCGCCACACTACTTCAAATGCATGTTTGACAACCACCAGAAATTCTTCAGACACATTTAAATGTACATGTGTAGTATCCCTGCCCGACCAATACGGAAGCAGTACGGAACTAATACGGAGCTTGCCTGATGTATATTTAGTGTATCTCCGTATGTAAGCGTACGTCGTCTGCTGCATAAAAGCGGCTGCGCATTTCTGTTTTGATGAAGAGAAGATTAGATTAGATTGGATAGCAATGAAAGCTAACTCGAAGAATAAGGATTCAGCCTCTAGGTGAGCACCGGAGAGAAAGTTATTTATTTTGCCGCTTCTTCTTTCACGAACGATTATATCTCAGGTGTGTACCTGAAAGTAGAATAAAAGTAATTATTGTTGATTTCACCGCGCCTACCACTCGGCTACCTATTACACATGTATGGCAATAGTATAGAACACACACAGCATGTAAGAGTAGCAAGAGCCATGTCATCCAATGGGCAGTACACAGAAGTGTCCCAGCATTATTCAACAGAACCACAATCTGTCATATCTGCTGTGCTGACAAAGTCACCATCCTAAACAACAATCCAGAAACCAAATGATACAGTGGAAGCCCCTAGCTAGTCTGAAAGTGCCGTCACGAAAACGAAATCTACTTGGAAAACGTCTAGCATGGCTCTACGTAATTACGCATGAAAATCCGTATGTCGTACTTGCTGGGGAGTGAGGGAAAGTGTCATAGGTAGACCTCTCTACGGATTTCCGTAGGAAAGCTTTCCTACTTTGGGTCCTCCGTAGGACTTTTTGAAAATATGTTTCGCATTTTCCTGATTTATCCATGGGAATGTTCAAGCCGTGCAAAACACAGGGCATACACCACGTGGAAAACAAAATTGAAAACGCGGTTTCGGTTCGTGGTGCATGCGGTGGGCGCATGCAGCCAGCGTGCCTGCAAAGCAACAACGTGAAGAAGGCATGTTAAGCAGTTGTGGAGAAATTATGTAGGGCGAAACCCAACAGTGCTGATTTTAGGTATGAATATTACGTGCAGTTCCTACGTTATTTTCGTACGTAATTCCGTCGAGCGAAACCTCCCTATTGTCCAACTCTTCTTTCACCTTCTCTTTCTGCACAAATTGATCAGTTGATGTTGGACCCGATTAATCCTACTTGTGCATTACCTCACATCTTTACCATAACTAACTACTTGGTCATATAATGATCCTTGCTTGATTAGGGCTTGCAGTCCACTGCTAATGACATTCATAAGGAACCCTCCTTTCTCTTTTCTCATCATGGGTTGCCTGTAGATTTCCATGGTTGCCATGGCTGCAATGATCATGAAAGTTAAAGCACCAACATAATCCTAAGCCGCGCGTTTTTTTCTTCTTTGAGTTTTTTTGTTTGTTTGAAGTTTTATTTTACATCGCAAACCAAACGGGCATTGATGCCCAATATTATGATGGCGATAGAATAAAAAGTGTGGCTCGATAAAGCTTCACTTGCGAAAATGAGAAAACAGTATGCCCATACATTTGCCCTTGTTATGCTCTCGAGTATTGTATTGTATTTAGGGGGTGGGTGGAATTCCTGCATATGCCGCGGCGGGAAACGTCAATCTGGGGGCATCTCACGAGAATTGTGAGCATTTGTTTTTGTTGTTGTTCTGCTTGTAGATATCGCTATATTTCGAGAACAACCAGGCATCCAATGGAGGGGCTGCTGCTTACCTTTCCAGTGTAGTACAGTGCGTGTGCATACATGAATCATGTCTACCACCTGACATGAATACAACCAACTTCAACATGTCCGGGGATCTACCTACTCCGGAATCATTCCCCTTCCTCAGTCTCATCAGATTCCGGTAAGCTTAGTACTAGCGTTAACTGCAGCACACGTTCATTGTCTTGCGACTGGTGGTGACTCGTCGACAATCATCTGAGGAAGTAGAGTTTGTCACCAGCCTAGGCTATTGGCTGTTGACTATAGTCTGTAGTCTCCACAGTGACAATAGTCGGTTTAAATATGAAAATAGTGCACTTTGGTATTCACGTTCGGTTTTTTTGCGATTTCCAAATAAAGGTTTGGTGAGGGATTTAGAACACGAAATTTAATCAACAAGAATCGTAATCATGAAAGTGGTAAAGGTTGTTGCTATGTGTAAACGTTTGTCTCTCTTTCATTTTTGAAGTCCAATGGTGAGTTTCACAAGTACTCATACTACACCTACTGCTTCTACTACACCTACGTGTCACAGTCACAGTCACAGTGTGACGTGAGGAATGACTACGAGTAGCTACCAAGTCACAGTGTGACGTGAGTACACCTAAGTGTCACAGTGTGACGTGAGGTATGACCACGAGTAGCTACCTGCGTTGCCTCTATGTGTTTGATACAAGTCCTGTCTGCTACTCTGGACATGTTTTAAAAGTACTATTTTGTTTCCAATTTGTGTGTAGAAACAACTCCATTAGGGCGGGTGTGAACGGAATAGACAATTCTCCTTACGTTGCCATCGGCACTGACCCAGCCGCTGTCAAAGTGAAGACAACAGATGTAAGTACTGTTGCTGCTGCTGCTGTTGTTATTGTTTTAAAGGATTCTCCAAAAGCAATTAGATGGTTGTCATGGGAGTCTCGTATATAGCTAAAACACACACACAGGGGGTGGGGGGGGGGGGGGGGGGAGTGAAGACGGGAAAATGGAGGGAGGGAGGGAGGGAGAGAGAGAGAGAGAGTTACAGAGATACAGAGCATGATCAGTATAATTATTATGTTAACGAAGTCTGTCATGCATTTCTCAGTAATGTGTTAAAAGACCCTGGTTACCCATTGTTTGCTGGAGTGCTTGGAAGCTGCTCTGATCTGGTCTTGGATCGTGCGAGCTTCCAGGACTAGTTGGTTCAGGTCTCCGTCTTCCCACAGGATCAAGCGATTCTGCAGGAGCCTCCGGTGTTCGCTCTGGTCCAAAACCTGTGCGGCCGCTGGAGCAGGAGTTGGGTTGCCACCATGGCTGCTTTGATGGCGATTCCTTCCGCGGCACCGCGTTCACCAAAACTCTTGTACAGCGATGTTAATAGGTTTACAAATTTCGATCCAATTGTGCCGAGTGGCACATCGAACAAGTTTGCTGCGAAGTGGACGGTCTCCTCATAGGCGGCCGCTACCACTTGACGGGTGTCTGTGGCGTCCAGTCTCCCAAGGGTCAACGACCCTTCCGCTGCTGTAAACGGTGCCAAGGTACTATGCACTGTGCCAAGGTACTATTTTTTTTTGCTCAACCATCATCGACCGAACTGGTGGCTGCTGAGTGCAATTTGCATTTCTGAACTGTGACACTGTGCGTAGCACTCAAACCGGTGAACATGTGCGCACTGCACTGACTGTCTTTAATGCTCCTCATTGTTTTTGTTTTTATCTATTTCTTTTTTACCAGGCGTGGGCCATCCCCTGAAAAAAAACCAAAAAAAAAACAAACAAAAAAACTATGCACTGTGCCAAGGTACTATGCACTGTAAAGTGAACTTATATTGGACACCGTGTGTACTATCCCCTTGATGAGCAGTTACATAGTGTGCTGATCCACCATCTTTGAGGGGATTACGGCGGTCTTTGTGGGAAGACGTTACTGGAGAATCTTGGATAGGTTATGCCTGCCATAACTGCGTGTGACCTGTTGTGTCCTGTTGTGCACCGTTCCTGTGTCTTCAGCTGAGAATCGCACCAGGAGCATTCTTTTCCTTGGATATTCTAGTAACAGATCAGTTTCACATACCAAGTTGGGCTGTGCTAAAGCTTGTGGACATCACACCGGGATTACCACCAGTAAGCTGCTGAAGAGCACGGTTCTACATACGCTCTTGCAGCGTATAACGTTATAATGTTGATGTGTGTGTGTGCCAAGTCATGATTGTGTATGCATACAGCTGTGTGGGCGTGTCTGTGTGTCTGTGTGTCTGTGTGTCTGCATGTCTGTGTGTCTGTGTGTCTGTGTGTGCTATGGCTTCTGCCGTAGCATTGCTATCATCGCCTCCGGCGATGGGCGTCAAAGGTCAAAAGGTGTCTGTGTGTCTGTGTGTCTGTGTGTGTGTCTGTGTGTCTGTGTGTGTGTCTGTGTGTGTATTGTGTTGGTGCATGTGCAAGCCAAACTGCATGTGTACAGTTGTGTTGGGAATGTATTACATTTGTAGTGTAAAGAAGCCGTAGCTTGACCCTGAAATAGGAATGTGCAAAGTACAAACAAAGAACCTTGATCTGAATCGAGCAGGTGCAAAGGTAAACAGGCCAGGTCACAAGTTGAGAATGAAGGGAAACCGGATGTGACAGGAGTTGATACGCATGGTAAGATGACTGTACTAGTACAGTGCTTGTACAGTGTAGCAATCATGTACAGGGGAGAGCGGTCCAGTGCTTGTACAGTGTAGCAATCATGTACAGGGGAGAGCAGTCGGGGCGTATGATAAGATGACAGTGCTAGTACAGTGCTAGCGCAATATGCATGTAAACACCAGAACACCTTTTTTGAACTACATAACCATGAAGTCAATCAACTCTCGGCACTGCTTGTGCCTCGGTGCTGCAACAACCTCGGTTGTGCCCATCACTAATGACCTTGGTCGGTTGACTGGAAAGTGGGCCGGCCAAAAATAGACAAGTCGGTCTGTGTGAAATGTCTCTGCTTGGACAGGTGCATGTTGATATCCATGATGAACTAACTGCCTTTGGTTTATGGTTCTTGCTGAAACTGAACCAGCATGTTCATTTTTTCAGATGATCTTTGTTCTTCGTTGTTATCGGCCACCACATCACAACTGCACTCTCCAGCCGACCTCGAAAAAACGTTGGAGAGTGCATTTGTGGTGTGGTGGCCGATGACAATTCGGTACATGGCCGACTCAGTGCTACTGTTTACCCGTTAGTTAGCTTTGCTCTTCACTACATCAACAATTGTACATACACGTGGAGCCTAACTAAAGAGCTGAGCTGGGCAGAGTTGTGAGCTGATCTGAAGTAATGTGTGTGTGTGTGTGTGTGTGTGTGTGTGTGTGTGTGTGTGTGTGTGTGTTGACATTCGTGTGAATCCCTTTGCCCTAGGAATGTAAACTGAAATTCCGGCCATCTCAATTTCAGGTCAATCAGCTTGGTGCCAATACAACGGTACCTATCGATTCGTTGGTGAAATTTTCCTTCGTCGCTCCTAATCTGCACGTCTATAGAGGTGTAGCAATGCGTGTGGCAAGGGACAGTACGGATGTGCATTGTCAGGTACAACGCATCATCTCTGTAGTGGGATTAACAGATTCCACTCCGGTAAGGCTGGCAATCCTTGTGCTCAGTTTGCCTCTTGCATCGATAACATTAAGGGCCGTACATAATTATCAATACTTTACTCAACGCGAAAATGTTTTGTTTGTGAGTGGATCGAGGAGAGTTTCGTTTTGGAAAAAAATTGATAACTGAAACATCAATATATTCTAGCTGTTAATTCAATTTATTTTTGTTGGGGGGGGGGGGGGGGGGATCATAACTAACTTTTTCGTTCTGGGAAAATTATCAATAATGCTGGATGGCCCCTGTAGAAGTTCAGCATCCATTTTCCTTTATAAAATCATTGTCAGTTGACAAACCCCTTTTTATTTAAAATCATTGAAATTTCCGGAATACAATGGCAGTACTGACAGCATTTTTGCTGATAGTTCCCTTAGTGCTTCTTCATATGTGCATATGTGGTTGTTGGAATGATTTTTACTCATCGTTTGATCTATCAGAGGTAGTACAGGCATTGGCATTGAGTACACCGCTGAGTTCAAAAACGTGTACCGTAAAGTCTTGTATAAAAAAGCCGCGGCTTCTATGACTTTCTTGATGAAATTTTGCAGGCTTCTGTATGAGACAGGCTTCTATACAAGACAGGTATTTCTATGTATGTCAACACTAAAACCAGGCTTATGTGTGATTTGATGGGCCCAAAATTGCGGCTTCTATTCAAGGGCGGCTTCTATTCAAGTGCGGCTTTTATACAAGACTTTACGGTATTTCAGTTTGTTTCACGGTACAGTGTATCTCCCCTCTGAAGTGGGTTGCATTGTTTTGCCAAGCACTGATGTGTGAAAGGGAAGAATAGGTGCAACCTGACTAGAAGTGTGTCGATGTGCATGTGTGTGTCGATGTGCATGTGTGTGTCGATGTGCATGTGTGTGTCGATGTGCATGTGTGTGTCGATGTGCATGTGTGTGTCGATGTGCATGTGTGTGTCGATGCGCATGTGTGTGTCGATGTGCATGTGTGTGTCGATGTGCATGTGTGTGTCGATGTGCATGTGTGTGTCGATGTGCATGTGTGTGTCGATGTGCATGTGTGTGTCGATGTGCATGTGTGTGTCGATGTGCATGTGTGTGTCGATGTGCATGTGTGTGTCGATGTGCATGTGTGTGTCGATGTGCATGTGTGTGTCGATGTGCATGTGTGTGTCGATGTGCATGTGTGTGTCGATGTGCATGTGTGTGTTGATGTGCATGTGTGTGTCGATGTGCATGTGTGTGTCGATGTGCATGTGTGTGTCGATGTGCATGTGTGTGTGTCGATGTGCATGTGTGTGTCGATGTGCATGTGTGTGTCGATGTGCATGAGTGTGTCGATGTGCATGCGTGTGTTCCTGTGTATATGTATAATGCTGGTGATGTGTTTGTCTTTGTGTACACTTCGTGTTTGCCACAGTTCTCCGCAGACTTCAGCTTAACTGTTGCAAGTTGTCCACCAGGGTTCACCTACAACAAAGATGAAATGAAGTGTTTATGTCGTACACGTGAAAGTCGTATTATCCAGTGCAATGATACAGACCAGACAGTGGTTGTTCAGGTTAGTTACCGTAGCAACGGAATGAGCAGTGATCTGTGTTACCATAGTGACGCAGTAAGCACTGACCAATGGCCCAGTGCTTTCTGTTAACTCACTATGCGTCCATACACAGTGTGTAACAGTTACATGCTCACGTGGTGACAATTGAAAAAGACCAAACCGAGTAGGGGTTCACTGGCCAGAAAAAGCCACTTCATAGCTTGTAGACCAGGCTGAATGATGGTGGTGAATTCTTCAGCCTTGCAAGCTGTTGAATGGTGCAATCCCAGCACAAGTTGCTATGGCTTCTGCTGTAGCATCACTATCATCGCCTCCGGCGATCGGCGTCAAATGGTCAAATGGTGTGTGGATGTGTGTGTGTCTGTGTTTCTACATATTCTCCAGCAAGGATCATGGGGTGAAGTTTTAGGTGAAGACAGAACCCTCATTCTCTACCCGTGCCCGGCTCATTTCTTATCACCTTGTCACACTGACAGTACGAAAGCATTGACAGGATGTCCATTTCCAGTCAACACTTCACAGCAATGTAGCGCGAACCGAACAGGTAGGACCCGGGTGTACACCCTCAGTGTAGGAACTAATAGGCTGATAAGGTCACAGTACCAGTGCTGCCAAATAAGTTTTCGCCCAAAATCGGACACCCTTCACCGCCAAGGCTGGCCACATGGTGCGAATTTTTCTCCTCGGCAAATTTTTTTACAGAGAATTCAAAATATCGCTTAAAACACCATGCAAATTTGCTTCGTTGCCATGGTAACCCCGGAGTTGTCATGAATTTTGTAATGATGAGTGTGGTCGCACACTGACTCTGTACAGACTGTCAGCGTACATGCCATCCAGCCTGATCCAGGCATGTTACTTTGCAGTTCCACAGCCAAGCGCTAGCCTTTTTTAGAAGCAATTGTACAGTGATTTGTGCCTTCAGTTGCGGTGAAAAGTGAAAGTACAGGACTTCTGCATAGGGAAGTAATGATCTCCGACATTTTGGCTGCTTTTCGGACGTTTCCCTTTCGGACCGGTTTTCGGAAGAGCCTTCAAAAATCGGACACTGTCCGAAAAATCGGACGGTTTGGCAGCACTGCAGTACTGACAATACTGACACAGCACTCATGTATTACACACACTACCCATGTATTACACACACTACCAGTCGGCGTGTACTGTCCATGGAGAAATAGCGTTACATGCTCATCTTGATTTTGGCCATTAGTGAGGTCCAAACGTAATTGCGCAATTGTGGGGTCAGAACGTAATTGTTTTCATAGTTCTGTTTTGTGCGACGCAGTGTGGAATGCTTATCGAGTTTTGATTTTTAGGTTTGTTCTGCCTAATGGTGTGTGTTACCCGGGGTTAGCATCAATAAAGTTGAAGGCACTGGTGCTAGTCCGAAACTCACTTTTTGGTCTAAATTGGATTCAGGCCAGAGATCAAATATTTTTTCTGTATCTGGGGTGCCATGATATCATGCATGCCTGTGAATCAGTGAATCATACTCATACATACACAGAGTTACCATGGTAACATGCATGACTGTGCATCACTATTTCTACACATACTATGATGGTGTCCAGGACTAGTGAATCATCATCCATATCATTCAATTTAGTGATTCTTCTGAGCCACCTATTGACTATTGTGGACTTCGGACTACGTATAGCTGTTCTGATCATTTCAGATGATGGACTGCCTACAGCGCTTTAAATTGTTATAGATGATGGTCTGCCTACAGCGTTTCAGCTTGTTGTAGATGATGGACTGTACATAACAGCTCACATCATTTTGACAGACTCCGTATAGTGGCTCACATCCTGTAGATGATGGACTGCCTACAGCGGTTCAGATTGTTGTAGGTGATGGACTCCATACAGTGGCTCACACCATTGTGGCTTGTGGGCTGCCTACAGCAGTTTAGATTGTTGTATGATGATGGACTGTATACAGCAGCTCACATCATTGTAGCTTGTGGGCTGTACATTCAGGTTGTGTACATGGACATAGGCGTATACCTTGGTATGGGCGTATACGTCGAAGATTCGGGGTGTTCACCCTTTCCCTGGGGGTGTTCACCCTTTCCCTGGGCCCTTGTCATTCCTTCTATATGTGTATGGGGTCACGCATTTCGAGTCACAGTTGTTGTTTCCGGCAACTCTTCTTTGCACGTTTCTACCACCTCTCTGCTATCTGCCTCCCCGAGTGTCACCTCTCCTCTCTCTTCCTCCCTGAGTATCATCTCTCTGCTGCGCTCAATTCTGTGCTTCTGTTCGTTTTCTTCTTGCCTGTACTCCACGTGATGAAAACGTATTGAAAGTATTCATTTGAAATTTGCTTGGAACATCTTGCTGGTAGGGAGCCTGAAGTTCTTCTTCTAAGTGAAGGTCATTTCGTTTCCTTGTTCCTTTGAAGGTTCAACACTTTGTGGCCAATGTAAGCCAGGGTTTGGATTGGCATTCCAAGCATACAACTGCATAGAGTGTGATCAACACTACATTGCAAGACTGATGTGGATTGGTAAGTTCTCGTATATCAGTGGTCGTCAACGTGTATTACATCCTGATCAGTCCAAGGCTTGCCCTCCCCTATCCGAGTTGATACGGGTCTCAACAGATATCTAGTTTTTTTGTGCTGCACTGTGCACTGTGCCCTGTGTCCTGTGCCCTGTGTCCTGTGCCCTGTGCCCTGTGCCCTGTGCCCTGTGCCCTGTGCCATGTGCCCTGTGTCCTGTGCCCTGTGCCCTGTGCCATGTGCCCTGTGTCCTGTGCCCTGTGTCCTGTGCCCTGTGCCCTGTGCCCTGTGCCCTTTGCACTGTCCACTGTGTACTGACTGCACATGTATTTGTTGGCACTGTCTTCTGGCATGCACATGTACCTATCATCAACATGTACATGTATGTTGACCAATCTTTCATGTTCATGATTGTTCTCTACGTAGTGGGTCCTATATCAATGTGATTCCGAGGCTTTTGTTGGTTTACAGTTCCACTGTGTGCACTGTACTGTGCACACAGTAGAACTGTTGTTGTTGTTGTTGTTGTTGTTGTTGTTGTTGTTGTTGTTGTTGTTGTTGTTGTTGTTGTTGTTGTTGTTGTTGTTGTTGTTGTTGTTGTTGTTGTTGTCTTCGTCGTCGTTGTTGTTGTTGTTGTTGTCTTCGTCGTCGTTGTTGTTGTTGTTGTTTCTATGCGTATATAGTTTTCATTGTCCTGGTTATAGCATGTGTGATTGTCCGCTACAACCTACGCATCGGCCCAAAGATTCGTGGCGTTCTGTTTGCTCTGCAGGTCAGTACTCATGGACTTATCTACTCTTTTATGTTGTACATTGTACCACATAAGTTACCTACATGGTTACAGCTCACTGCTACAGTATTGGGTAATTGTCTCCATGGTTACAGTATTGGGTAATTGTCTCCATGGTTACAGTATTGGGTAATTGTCTACATGGTTATACTTATATAGGACCCGCATTTGGAGGAACAAATATTTCAGGGCTCACCACGACTGTACAAAATGTGTCCAAAGATCGTTAGGTTTGGCCAATTAGCGCAAGGCAAAACATCCAGTGTTTTGGATTTTTAGTGTGTATGCCGAGTTTTCCTTAGCTTTGTCCATTGGATTTAGTCATTAGGCCAGGTGTGCCTTCAAGTCGAGGTTTACAGTCTCGAATTTTTTCTATTTAATAAAACACGTACCCTCTTTGAATTTTTGATACAAGCTCTGCTTGTATCAAACTTCACACATTTCCTGTAGCTGAAGGCCCTGTACTTGCATCAAGTTCACATAATCCCGGAGAAAACTTCGTGAAGGCTTATTTATCGGTGTGAACGTTCACTTCCTTGTACCCTCTTTGAATTGTAGCTCAAGCTCTGCTTGTATCAAACTTCACACATTTCCTGTAGCTGAAGGCCCTGTACTTGCATCAAGTTCACATAATCCCGGAGAAAACTTCGTGAAGGCTTATTTATCGGTGTGAACGTTCACTTCCTTGTACCCTCTTTGAATTGTAGCTCAAGCTCTGCTTGTATCAAACTTCACACATTTCCTGTAGCTGAAGGCCCTGTACTTGCATCAAGTTCACATAATCCCGGAGAAAACTTCGTGAAGGCTTATTTATCGGTGTGAACGTTCACTTCCTTCAGCACATGGCATGTGTTGTAAACTCTTGGCATCAGCTGCTTCTGTTTTATTGTGCTGCTATTTCTATCTGCCGGCTGTTTTGCAGAATATTTCGTTCTACCTTTTTGAGCTGCCCAGTAACAGAATCTATGAGATGGTAAGTATGAGTAGGAACAAACCACTGCCCAGCAACAAGAATAGCAATAAGAAGAACACCAATATCACCACCACCGCCACCCCCGCCGCAGCCGCCACCACCACCGCTACTAGCAGCAGCAGCAGCAGCAGCAGCAGCAGTAACAATAACACATTTACAATTAAGAGTAGAGCACATACGCTCCCTTCCATTAACACCGTCTGCAACAGTTCAACTCAATTCACAATAATTATTCCAATACATTTACAACACATTTCACTGTAATACTCTGCTAGGAGCTGGGTGGGTGACAAAGCTTCATTTTCATTACAGGGCTTGTAACTGCACCACACATCGTGCAGTGTTTGCATTCACTGTTTCTTGTCTTTTGTGTATATGGATATGTGTGTGTGTATATGGATGTGTGTGTGTATGTGGATGTTAGTTTGAATGGGAGTGTAGGTGTGTAGTGTGTAGGTGCGTGTGTGGATGTGTGGGTGGATTGGCGTGAGGGTATGTGGGTGGATTTGTGAATGGGGGAATGGGTGTGTGGGTGCATTTGTGAATGGGGGAATGGGTGTGTGGGTGCATTTGTGAATGGGGGAATGGGTGTCGGTGGGTGTGGGTTTGTGGGTTTGTGCGTGTGGGTATGCCGGGTTAGTGGGTGGATGGATGTGTGTGTGTGCCTGGGGGGGGGGGGGGGGGGGGGGGGGGGGGGGAGAGCAAGCAACCGCTGCAACCGCGAAAGACTCTTTTACAAAGTATCTCAGGTGGGTAGTGAACTAAGCATGATCTGGAGGGGATAGCATGCATGCATAATTATCATTACAAGGCTTTCCGTTGTTGTCATAATGATAATTGTCTTATGTTGTGCTGCAGGGTCTCTACATCTCCTCAATCACGAATCTCAACTTTGCCTTTGGGCTATGCGTACTAAAGCAGCTTGATGCTTTGGAGAGTACCTTTGCGGGATACACGGCTCCTCTCATTGTCTCTCTCGTTCTGTTAGCAGCCTACTTTGCAAGGTAAACTCACATGTAAGGTCACATGACTGGGGGTGAGGGCTGGGGGTGAGGGCTGGGGTGAGGGCTGGGGGTGAGGGCTGGGGTGAGGGCTGGGGGTGAGGGCTGGGGGTGAGGGCTGGGGGTTAGGGCTGGGGGTGAGGGCTGGGGTGAGGGCTGGGGGTGAGGAGGGCAACACATAGTTGGCAGGATTCCTGACATATGTCATGTGATAGTATGTCATACTATCTATGTGCAAATATTCCCCAAAATAATGGTTCCGGAGCTGAAGCTTAGGATCCAATTTGAGCAGGTGGCGGCACATTCTTCATTTAGCAGCTTTAATAAGTTCACTTAGGAGTTCAACACCAGTTTTTTTGTATAGAGCCCTGCTATTAATTTCCGGCTCAGTAGGTAATTGGAGCTGAACAGCTGAATTTGACCTAAATGAAAAGTGTTCTTTTACAGCACACAATGCAATTTCCCAAGAACAGTTTTTCAGATATTCTTGGTGGGCATGCATGCATTCAAGCACACACACACACGTCTGTCCGTCCGTCCGTCTGTCCATCCATCCACCCATCTGTCTGCTTTATGCTTTTGGTATTTTCCAGTTCACAAGGTTGGATGAAATCGCTGTCCCATGAGTCAAGACTAAATGGATTTCTGACTCTGATGTTTCTTGCATATCAGAGCTTGGCATTCACCTCACTGTTCCTCTTGTACTGCCAGCCGGTAACTACCAACTTGACTCTGTCTAACAGCTCCAGTGAATACGTAGTCACCAGTGAGCTTACGGTAAGTTCCGTGCTGTCACACATCCGCTGTACCTACGGCATGGTATGAAACAGAGCTGCCATGGTTCACAAATACTACTGTTGCCCTGTTTGTACATACATACCCCGAATACATACCCAGAATACATACCCAGAACATGGGCGTAGGAACCGGTCGGGCAGACCAAAAATTTTCGAATTTTTCATTTTTTACTTTATTTTTTACATTTCAACCTTGTTGATAGCTTGTCGACTCTTGTACAGGTACCATGTTTTACATCGACAATGCGGTGTATCATCAGCATGCATATTCTTATTTTTCATATTATTTGAAACTCGGATGTTGAGCCAATAATAAATGTAGAAAGGAAAAGGAAATATAGGTACGAGTTGAGAGTAACTCTCCATCACTGTAACCAGATACTATATACTATATCCATAAACTTGAACCTTCCAAGTTGGAAGGCTGTCGGTTAGCGCTACGGAGATGTGTTGAAGCTAGGTGTCAGGACGTCGAATGTCTCAGTACTCTGTCAGTTTTGTGCCTAGTTGTTGCACTTTCTGACTGTATATAGTATCTGGTTACAGTGATGGAGAGTTACTCTCAACTCGTACCTATATTTCCTTTTCCTTTCTCATATTATTCTGTAGCATTAAAATATGGCCTTTTAGGCCCAATTTTCAAAAAAATCCCGCGGGAGGACCCCGGACACCCTCTCACAATTTCGCCGCACCAATATTAAACTGCTTCCTACGCCCCTGCAGAATACATACCCGGAATACATACCCAGAATACATACCCGGAATACATACCCAGAATACATACCCAGAATACATACCCAGAATACATACCCAGAATACATACCCAGAATACATACCCGGAATACATACCCAGAATACATACCCAGAATACATACCCAGAATACATACCCAGAATACATACCCAGAATACATACCCAGAATACGTACCCAGAATACATACCCAGAATACATACCCAGAATACATACCCAGAATGCATACCCAGAATACATACCCAGAATACATACCCAGAATACATACCCAGAATACATACCCAGAATACATACCCAGAATACATACCCAGAATACATACCCAGAATACATACCCAGAATACATACCCAGAATACATACCCAGAATACAAACCCCGAAGAATAGAATTAGCATTGACAGTAACAGTTACTAAACTTAGTAGCAGTGGTGAGGCTGCTTGCAGTTACCGTATTTTACCGGATGTAAGTCGACCCCGGTTATAGGTCGACCCCGTATCCGGGGGTCTCAATTCTGCGTTTTCATCCAAAGAAGCACTACTAACCCCTCCCTGCTATTAACACATCAACAAATCATGTAAAAATTCCTTGTTGGAGGTTATAACATCCCAATCCTTCAAAAGACCAATAAACTGGAAAAATGTGTACCGTATTTTTCCGGTTGTAAGTCGACCTTTTATGACTAAAAATAGAAGTAGAAAGGGTGGGGGTCGACTTACAACCGGGATTCGACTTATAACCGGGAACTATCAGTATCTTACCAAAAATGACCGGCACTGCATGCACGAGTGCACCATGTGTACACATTTCGCCAGTTTATTGGCCTTTTTCAAGGATTGGGACATTATACCCTCCAATAAGGAATGTTTACATAATTTGTTGATGTGTCAGTAGCAGGGATCTAGGGAGTGGTTAGTAATGCTTCTTTTGGTGAAAATTTCAAAACGCAGAATTGAGACCTCCGGATACGGGGGTCGACTTACAACCGGTAAAATACGGTACACATAGTGCACTCGTGCATGCAGTTCAGGTCATTTTTTGTAAGATTCTGATAGTTCCCGGTTATAAGTCGAATCCCGGTTGTAAGTCGACCCCCACCCTTTCTCCTTCTATTTTAAGTCGTGAAAGGTCGACTTACAACCGGAAAAATACGGTGCTAAACTTTGTTTTAATTTTTTAATTTTTTTCTAATTTCTGCACCTCGTGGCATGTCAAGACAGCCAATTGAATTGAGGAGAGGGTGAGACCAACCACGGAAGAAGAGAAAAAAGAAAATGAAGAGCACGTACACAAAGTGGGAAGGGATTAGCAACTTACAAAGCAATGGGATGCTCAGCGAGCTATACAGCGGAAGTGGTGACTGTGACATTTTTTACTGGGAGATACTGAAGTGCTGTCTGACGAGGGTACGGAATTTGGGCATATCTGGAGCTTGTCTAACACTGGGAGGCAGTTGGAGCCACGTGGAGTAGGAGGAAAAGAAAGGGGAATTTACGAATGGGGTAGACCTGGCTAGGGGGAGATCCTTTTGAATTTTCGGTGAGCTATAACGGCTTTGAAAATTGAGATACAAAAATGGATACTTTCTGTGCATCACGCTTACATTGGAATCAAGAGTACATAACCCTCCAGAGTGTGCAACGCCTGACCCAGCTCTGCATAGGGTCTTGGTCGAGCGTATACGTAGTCGGATCTTCTGATGTCATGCGTACATTCCACGCCAGTGCGCAAGGCCGGTCTCGACGCAGGGCACCATTGTTTTTGATCCGAGAGTACCCGCGACTCCCCAGGTTCCCCTCAGATGTGTACGGTATTATGACGCAAAGATCCGATTACGCTCGACCAAGACCCTATGCAGAGCTGGATCAGGCGTTGGACACTCTGGGAGGTTATGTACTCTTGTTGGAATGTATCCACTCCTGCTCTGCTATGCCGTGCCGTGCTGTACTGAATTACATTGCACAGTGCTGTCTGTACTTTAATGTTACTGTGTTGTGTTGTGATGTGTTGACTGTTGTGTTGTGTTGTGTTGTGTTGTGATGTGATGTGATGTGATGTCGTGTGTGGTGTTGTATGGTGTTGTGTTGTTTCGTGAATGTGATGTGATGTACTGTGATGTGTTGTGTTGTGTTGTGATTTTCTGATTAACTATGCAGACTCAGGTGTTCTTCCTGGATGGGACAATTAAATGCTGGCAAGGAAAGCATCTCATCTTTGGCATCATTGCCATCCTCATCCTTGCATTCTTGGTGTTGCCAGTACCAATTATTACATTTCTTGTAGCAATTGGAAAGGCACCAACAGTAAGTGGATTTTAAAATCTTCTTTCTCTTATCCAGTTTAACTTGAGTGTTAGGCGGCTTGGTCAGTCTTGTCGTCTAGGAAACGAGCAATCAGCGTCATTCCCGCAAGTGGGCCTTACCTGTGTTAAAAGCCAGCGCACCGCGTACATGACACAGGTCCGTGTCATCCTGCCTCGTTGTGAATATGGCACATTGTCTTTCTGGTGGCAATTCGTGACCTGATGTCCACCACTTTCTGAACGAATTGTCTTTCTGGTGGCAATTACCTGATCTCGGCACGCAATAAGGAAGCCTTCTGCTGTTTCGGGCTGCGGATTCTGAGACCTGAAAGACGAAAACAAAAGCTGTGTGTTCAGGATGCCATCAATATGAGTTCAATAGCGGCCATGAAGAGGCACCTGCCGGAGTTGTTGGCAGCTGCGGCTGTCAGTGAATACCTGCTTGACGGTGTGTTTGTTGGTTGTGTCGAGCGGCTGGTCAGGTGTGGAGTCATGATGTGCGTGGTGGGCGCAGCTAGCAGACAGTGCCATTCTTGCCGTCCTTGTCGTCCTGGCCAGCGAGATCACTTGGCCTGATTATGATTTGCATATGTAGAGTTAGGCTTGGTCAGGTAAAGATAAATCATGAGTTGTTTCGTCTCGTACCTATGTCAGCATCGTGATGGTGAAGTGGACAGGTTGATTCTCTTCCACTAGGCTTCATTCGGCCGACTTTGCTTTGACCTCGTTGAAAAGTGATGCGGAAAAAAAAGGTCGATTCGCAAAATTATGTTGATTTTGACATGTGATTGCTGGCTATGCTCCATGTTGATTAGAAGTAATTGTGCTATGGAAGTAGAAACTTGCAGTATTATATCAGTTGTATTGAACCTTCTGTGTTGAAGTGAAATAAAATAAATCAATGTTCGTGAATGTCCCCAAAGAAACTTATCAGTGGTAGATCATGGTAATCGGACTTCAAGTGAAAAGGGCCAGGGATCAATTATTTGTGAATGGTCTATGACCATATACATTAAGTTGTGACAGACTGACAGTATACAATATGTCCATGTGTATGTTACACTGTGCTTGAAGTCAGTGTGTTATGACTGTCACGGTTGAATGAACATAGAGGAAGAGGGGTTTCTCACAGGTAGCGGGGTGTTTTCATGAAGGAATGCTGGTGTCCTGTCTGCCACTATGCAGAGGTTGCGTCCATTCCAAGATGTCTTGATTCTGGGCCATGGCTTTCAACCAAGGAAAGCATGGTGGTTTTCTGTTGACCTTCTACGGCGCCTCTTTGTCTCTCTTCTCTTCATATTCATCACTGACTACAAAATCAGAGTGGTAAGTCACAGAATATACAGAGTGGTAAGTCACACAATATACAGTAGATAAGAGTGGTAAGTCACACAATATACAGTAGATAAGAGTGGTAAGTCACACAATATACAGTAGATAAGAGTGGTAAGTCACACAATATACAGTAGATAAGAGTGGTAAGTCACACAATATACAGTAGATAAGAGTGGTAAGTCACACAATATACAGTAGATAAGAGTGGTAAGTCACACAATATACAGTAGATAAGAGTGGTAAGTCACACAATATACAGTAGATAAGAGTGGTAAGTCACACAATATACAGTAGAACCTGTAACTACACGAGTCGCAGAAAACCACGCGTCTTGATTGTCGTAACTTAAAGTTTCATGCCATATAGCAATCTTCAGACAACTGATGGTTTTCTGTGACTCGTGTGTTACTGCTCTGCTTCCGCATTGAGCACTCTATCGAACCGGAGGACTCCGCTCTCTGTAGAACCTGTAACTAAAAATGATGTACCTTTTATTTCATGCACGAGCGGTTGTTGACTGATCTGTGCATTTTTCGTTGCCTTCCCATAATCCACGTACATATACATGTACGTATGAGTCTGAGTCTGAGTGTGTGTGTGTGTGTGTGTGTGTGTGTGTGTGTGTGTGCGTGTGCGTGTGCGTGTGCATGTGCATGTGTGTGCATGTGCATGTGTGTGCATGTGTGTGTGTGCATGTGCATGTGTGTGTGCATGTGCATGTGTGTGCATGTGTGTGTGTGCATGTGTGTGCATGTGTGTGCATGTGTGTGCATGTATCCACACATGCATGTGCATGTGTGGATACATGTGCATGCATGTCCAATCATGTACATGCATGGTTATATTTGCACAGGTGTCACTGGAATTGGCCGCACTGTTTCTATTGACAATACATCTCTACACGCAACCCTATATAGAACGTTTAGCTAATGTAGCGGAAGCTCTGGCACTGCTTGATCTTGCACTCGTTGGATCACTGACTATTCAACAAGATGAGAGAAACACACCGACAGCTGTCTTCATCACGTTTATCCTCCTTCCCGTGGCCTACATGCTGATATATATCTCTCTGACACTCTGGTCTTCCTTTAAGCAATGGAAGTAAGTTTGTCCTTAACAACACCACATGTCAGGGATAGGGAGTAGTGTGTGTGTGTGGGGGGGGGGGGGGTCAATGATCGGCCTTGACTAAACACACCGGCTAGAGAGTGCATCAAAAGGGGATTTCCCTGGTTTCTTTCAATGGATGTTGTAATGGACGGGAGGCTGAAAGGGGAAGTCCGGTGAAAAATTTAAATTTCAGGGTCGGTAGAGTTTCGGCCGCTGAGTCGAATGGTGTTGGTCCCACGTGTCTCCGACAAAGCGTTCTCGAGATATTTCCGTTTGAAAAACTGAGTTTCGGGGGCTGCGCCATGACGTCATGCGGCCGCGCCACACCCTCTGCAACGTCATAGCGTGCAGCTAGGTCAAAAGGAGTGCGTGAAAGCAATAGTGTCAGTGCTATTTCAAATGATTTGGCGACTGATATTAGGTGGTGCAAGCGACCCCGAAGACATGTAACTCCTTGTGAGAGTGAGGATGCAGCCATGGCTGACCTTCATGAGTTCAGTCTGGGGCTGAGAACCTCGGTAGTCAGCTGAAGAAATGGCCGCGCGGGCCGGTCAAGAGTGAGCGCTACTGAGTTTTCGACTGATGAAGAAGCAGCAGCTATTGCAGACGAGGCTGATGTAATTATCAGATCGCTGGAGAGCAGGGTCGCCAAAATGGAGAAGAGTGATGCGAGTGCTCTAAATGTTGTTCCATACCGATTAGATTCGCTTAGACTCAAGTAGCCTGCCACATGGTGATGTTTTGGTGCGAACTGGGAATATTTCGGACTACTCAATTGGAGAACAGTGCAGGCTCTTTGAACCACGGGCATGACTCTTCGCTCGCAACGCTATAGAATCTGAAAGTTCTAGGTCCGAGAGCTGGTCGCTGTTTTGTCACTTGTCACGGTTGTGCACTCATCGCTGTAGCATAAAATAATGAGGCGCCGCGGGTGCGGAAAACTAAAATTTTCTTTCTCAAAGCACAACCACCGGCACCGGCAAGGAGAAACGCACGTTCTCTGACTACATGACTGTACAATACGACTGATAGTACGAGTGTAGTACATGTACATGACAAGTCCGTGTGTTGACTAGTTTTCTGAGTCTTGTGTCAGATGTGACAAGAGTTTGTTGACTGCACTACTAGTACTACTACAGCTAGATAACACTCTGCACGCACTGCATGCACGCAGCGCGCGCAGAGCGCATAGACCATGTAGACCAGGTAGACGGGCTAGGCTAACGGAAAAGTCCAACTCGGAAACGGCAAAAATACGGTATAACCATAACCTCCAGGTTTACCGAGCTGAAAATCACAGGGTACGTAGTGTTTGTAACACTGAATCGAATGGTCTTGGTCCAAAAAAGCTGCGATAAACGGTTCCCCAATCGAACGCGCTCCGAATATGGCCATTTTGTACACAACTAGATGGTGTGGCTACCTGGCTGCACGCTGTGACGTCATCACCTGGATCTGGGTGATGCGCGCTCAAATTCGCACATGTTCGATTGGGCGTATCTGACGAACCATAAGCCGCAGCCTCCTCGGACAAAGACCATTCGACTCAGCGCCCCGAACTCTACGGACTGTGAAATTTAAATTTTTCACCGGACTTCCCCTTTAAATTAAACAGGAAATAATGATTAGGGATCCAGGAGAAGAAAATCATCGCAACCAGAAGAAGAGTATGCCGAGCAACTGTTGTAGCAATATAACCACACATGGTGATATGGCGGTAAAACCACACGTGGTGATATGGCAGTGTAACACACATGACGATACTGGTGTAGGGTCCTTGCTGCTAATAGAGCTCTATGTCCAAGCAGGGGCAGAATGCACCACACAAAGGCAAAACAATGGCGATATGACAGTGAAACCACATGTGGATAATGGCGGTTAATACACATCTGCCCACATAACGCTCTCTAAGCTGCAAACTGCAAAGTTCTGGAAAAGAGCATTCCTTCTCTTGCCGTTGCCATCAGTTTTCACCTGGTGCCCTGTCGATACATGGCTTGTTATTATCACTATACACTATACAGTGTATGGTGTGACTGTACACACATCACACGCATACCGTATTTTACCGGTTGTAAGTCGACCCCGGTTATAGGTCGACCCCCGTATCCGGAGGTCTCAATTCTGCGTTTTAAAGTTTTCACCCAACGAAGCACTACCGTTATATACCAACCACTCCCTGCTACTAACATATCAACAAATCATGTAAACATTCCTTATTGGAGGGTATAACGTCCCAATCCTTGAAAAAGGCCAATAAACTGGCAAACATGTGTACACATGGTGCACTCGTGCATGCAGTGCCGGTCATTTTTGGTAAGATACTGATAGTTCCCGGTTATAAGTCGAATCCCGGTTGTAAGTCGACCCCCACCCTTTCTCCTTCTATTTTTAGTCGTAAAAGGTCGACTTACAACCGGAAAAATACGGTAGGTAATACTACACTACACTGACTCAACTTGGCTCAAATAGTGACATACGGCCAGGCACCAGACGCACTCGGGTGATCCTCTTTTAGCCCTTGGCGGATTATGACGCCATAATATTTGGCATAATCTTGGGATTTCGTCAAAAACTTATGCTCCGGCATAATATACGGATTCCAACGTGTAAGGTCGGCGTAATCTTTCGGTTTAGACAAAACATTATGTTTAGGGCATAATACAGCTTTGTCAGAAAGCCTGCAGATGTTTTTTTTTAATACCCCAGTTACGACTCCTTGTCATAGCCCTTGGCGGATTATGCCGGCATAATATTTGGCATAATCTTGGGATTTCGTCAAAAAATTATGCTCCGGCATAATATACGGATTCCAACGTGTGGGGTCGGCATAATCTTTCGGTTTAGACAAACATTGTGCTTAGGGCATGGCCGTGTGTGTATGCGTGGTTTCTCAATCCTCTATGTACAGCGTGAATACATAGTGGAACCGAGCATAATTCAGCATAATTCAGCATATTTGTTGGCATAATTGTGGTATAATCAAAAGCATAATTTGACGATTGGCCGAGCATAGTCCGCCAATGGCTATCCTCTTTGCCTTTGCCAGAACTCAGTTGTCACTTGGAGAGCATTGTGTTGGCAGGATGGTATCAGGGCCGGAGGCAGCTCCCACGGAGCGGTTCGGCCGAGTGCCCTGTTGAAGGGGGTCTGGATCCTCCCCCAAATATTTTTAGTAATTTAGAAAGCAAATCCTGCACTCTGGGTGCATTTCGGTGTATCTCCTAGCCCCTGGGTACAACTTGCAAGTCTGATGTTCCAATGCAGAACACACTAGTTTCAGACTGTGCATCTATGATAGTTCACTGTACGGAGAATGTTCCTGATGACAGTGTAGTCCGTTTTTTTACGACTCCTTGTACAAAATCCTACATCAAAACTTTTTCTCCCCGGTTTTTGGACGTTCCACGTGGACAGACTTTTTGGGAAATTGGTACATCCATGGCCGTACCGGCCACACCTGTGGTGTCGGCCCTGCGTATTTACCACCATTTCTTCACTAGCACTCTGCTAGTAATACATATATTGCATATGAGTGATTGGTTTGCAGGCCTGCCTGCAAATCATGAGGTCCCGGGTTCGAGATCCGCGCTGGTAGCAGGGAGCGTGGAAAAGACTTTTTACACGTGGTGAACTGCGCCGACACCCACGGTCAACTGGGTACTCACGACTCGGAGTGAGGATAACAAGGATGCAGTTTACAGGGTTATGGGCCATTACACGCCCGATTGGTTGAGAGACTCATCTCCTCTCCCCTGACTCACTTGTGAGGTCTGCATTCGCCACTAAGGTGAACAGGCATAGTGGTGGTCTGCGGATGTGAAGGCTAGTCTGTGTGTTTCTGAACATTCAAGCGATGCTGACGCGGATCCCACAAATATTATTATTACTTCTGCTTTGGAGTTTTCAGCAATCTTTCTTGTCAAGCTGCGGCCGAATACATCCAAAGAAGAAGATTGCCTGATGAGTCCAGCAGGGACGAAACGTGTGTCGCAATCGAGGACATTCGGGAGTCGTAATTTTTACACTCCCCAAGCGGTGTGTATTTTGCCTGCACTTTGCATTTGGTTGAGCGTAGAACATGGCTTCATCGTGGCATGTGGGCCATGGGCTGCTATAGGGAACATCCTGTTTTGGCTGAAATGGATGCAGCTCTGCTCGCTCCTCTTTGCATGTGCATTGGCGGTGCCGGTGGAGGAGCTGAAAACCCCACTAGTTTGTTTGATTTTCGATGTGGAAGACTCTTGGCTACCCAATGTTCTATTCGCATATTGAGCCACTGAAAATGCACTAGACATTGCGTCATCTGTTGGTGTCCTTTTTCTGGTTTATTTAGGAAACAGAAGAACAAAGCTAAACAAGGTCTGTTGGATGAAATAGATGGTGACTCTGATACAGCCGGCGGCGTAGTTTCTCGAGATAGTGCTTCACTTGGCTATGCTAGACCTGTGCTACGCAAGTTGCATGCAGCAAGTGACGTCACTGGTCCATATGCAGCTGTACGCGCAAGCGCTATCGCCAGGCTACCCGACAGTGATGACCCAGATTCAGCTGCACAAAGATCTGATAACACACCCACACACATCAACAGTGGTACTGGCAACAGTGGCGCTGGCAGCAATGGTGGCGGCAACTCTACAAGTCACAGCCTGCGTAGGAGTTCAAAGTCTCGGCGTACGTCTTGGCGCCGTAAAGGCAAACCACCAGCCAATGGGATGACAGCAGATGCTGGATCAAGGGATGAATTTCTGTCAATGAGTGTTGATGTGGATTCTAAAAGAGAGCATCTGTCATCGAAAAATGTCGGAACAAATACATGTAGTTCAAGGGTGTCCATGGAGGATAGAGGGGATCGGCATGAACTCCGTCAAGTAAGAAGGCAATTAAAAACACCACTCCTGGGACAACAGACACATACATATGCAACACCTCCTTCACATTCTTCAGGCGACAGTGACTAACGTTAAGGTTATGTTGATAGCGTCAGTGTTCACTGTTACAACCAGTCATTCAGCTAGTGCCTCCTCCTCATACTGGATACATGTAGTTCAAAATGCTAGCGCTTCATACTGGATGTGTAGTGCATTACGCTAGCGCTTCACACTGGATGCATTCTTAGTGTGTGCCAAACAGCCTATCAACAATAGCAGCAAGGGGAGGACTTCATAACCGTCCTCAAATGAATGCAGGATTGCGAACGCCTTTTACGCTAGAGCCTGAGCTTCACTAGTAGTATCCTTGATCACCTTTTTATCCTTTCGCTATATGTAGTCCTAGCCAGATACAAAACAAATTATTAATTTTCACAAAGTACTTCTTTGATAGAATATAAATGGAGTTGGCATGTGCGTCCATCACAGCATGCACTTGATGAAACTGATACTGTAAGGAGAAGTAAAGGCATTCGGGATATCCTCTTATCAACATAACTAAGATTAAATTTCAAGTTTTTGTGGTTCTAGGTGTTTAGTTGAGCATGAATCATACTTTTCTGGGTGAGCAGAGTCCGCACCGCAGCTTGAATCGTAATATTATTATTTGAGAACAGGAATGTTTTAACTACTTACTGAAATACATGTACTACTTACTCAATCTGCGGACAGCATGCTGTTTCGTTCTTTGTGAACTCCTCAGCGCAGCACAGAGAAACTACTTCTGTGCTCTGAGACTAACATACTATAGTCATGTATAGTGATAGTGCTGTTACTCATGCTCCACTTGCCGCTGCATTCTATGATCTAGCCATGCTGCTGCCTATCTGCGAGGTAATCTGTAAAATAATATCACCCGTCACCATGGTGACCAGTGTGCTAGTGAGTGTGGTACGTGCCTGTTTACACAACCGTATTTGGCATTCAGGAGGATGGGTATGTACCTGAGTGGAGTTGGGGGCTGTAACCGATGAACCGTGGCTAGAACCATACTTGACAGACTGGTAACGCATCCCGTGCCAGATGTATGTCTGTTGTTAGCTGACCTCTCACCTGCAGCTTCCAGAGCTCCTGCATTGAACACACACACACACACACACACACACACACACACACACACACGCACACGCACACACACCAACAATTAAGACAACACATAAACACAAAGCCAGACGCACGCACATAGACACGCATGCACAAGGTTCTAGTACTGCTGAGTCACCTCTGCAATAGCAAAGAAGACGTGATTGCAAGTGACCGTTGGCTTGTGCATAGTGTGCATAGTGTGCATATGCATACTCAGTGTGTCTTTGTGGTCCACTTTCACGACAATAACACACACAGAAGTCTCTGCTGTGAGCACGGTGGCTCGGCAATGGCTCTATTTATTGATATTAGATCCTCAGAACCAACGCATATGGCCGATTGGTTAGCAGGCCTGCCTGCGAATCATGAGGTCCCGAGTTCAAGACCCGCGCTGGTAGCAGGGAGCGTGTAAAAAGACTTATTACGCGTGCTGAACTGCGCGGTCAACTGGGTACTCACAGCTCGGAGTGAGAATAACAAGGATGCAGTTCACAGGGTTATGGCAATATGGGCCGTTACACGCCCGATTGGTTGAGAGACTAACCTCCTCTCCCCTGACTCACTTGTGAGGTCTGCATTCGCCACTAAGGTGAACAGGCATAGTGGTGGCCTGCGGGTGCGAAGGCTAGTTTGTGTGTTTCTGAACATTCAAGCGATGCCGACGCGGGTCCCGCGAATAATATTATTAGGGACGTTTAGCAATGCGAAAATTCGAACTTTTGGTGGTGGCGATATTTCGCGAAAATCTATTTCGAAAAAGAAAACTTGTGAGGTTTAGCAATGCGAAACGACTTTTTCTCGAAGCTATTTGAATCTTATAGTACCGTACCGTATACATGGTATATGCAGTTCAGTCTCAAGCAGGGGCTGTAAAATTACTACTCCCTGTAGTGAAATGCGTACCGAGAAAAGAGAAAGTTACTTTCGCAAATCACTGCAACTTCGCGTCCAAGTTTTCGAAGTTTCGACCTTTGTTTCTGTACTCATTCCCAGACTCGAATTTTCTTTCGAACTTTCGCGTTGCTAAACGTCCTTAATATTATAATATATTATCCTCTTCCTGATTTTTTTAATTTTTTAAATAATTGTATGCATAAAGATAAGAAAAATAAGCACAAGATATACTGCTGCTAGTCGCACAGCAAAACCCACAGAGTGAGAGTGAGAATAACAAGGATGCAGTTTACAGGGTTATCAAGTTCAACTTATGGGCCGTTACACGCCCGATTGGTTGAGACTCAACTTGAGAGACTAACCTCCTCTCCCCTGGCTCACTTGTGAGGTCTGCATTTGCCACTAAGGTGAACAGGCATAGTGGTGGCCTGCGGATGCGAAGGCTAGTTTGTGTGTTTCTGAACAGTCAAGCGATGCCGACGCGGATAACGCGAATATTATTATTATATTATCCTCTTCCTGATTTTTTTAATTTTTTAAATAATTGTATGCATAGAGATAAGAAAAATAAGCACAAGATACACTGCTGCCAGTCGCACAGCAAAGCCCACAGAAAACGACAAGATGTTACAATGAATGTAACAACACCCGTCCAAGCTAAAGGACCGACATCCCTGCAGCAGGACGGTATCTTGAAAACCCCCACACACTCACCACACGGTCATCATCCAGCTTCAGTTCAATCACAATACAGTAGTATTCTTCCCATGCAACTCCCCTGGCACTAGCCATACAATCTGAAGCTGTACGTAATCATACAAAGGCCCGCGACGCACACACCACCCCTACGTTTTTTTAACTACAAAAGAAAAGCAGTCGTAACAGCCACAGCCACATGGCCAATAAGAAAGCCAATAAGATTATATTGATAAACACACACCCAGAAGTCAGGGGTGGGAGGGTGGGATACAAACTGCACCAACGAAAAGCCACTGCGAAGTGACAGGAATGCGGTCAAGCACAACATTTTTGCTGAAGCAAAAAGTTGCAGGGAAATCCCAAAATCAGTGCGATTTTACATGGGCCCCAAATGTTCAAGTTACCCACAAAGACACAAGCTTTCCAACTCTCTTTGGCCGTTGGAAAGCGTACCATCCATCCCGGTGCTTACTCACCTGATCTATGATGCTGGTGACTAACTCCATCTGTTCAGGGCAATACGGACAACCCAAGTCACGACCACATATCGAAAACTACTGCTCGCTTGAAGACTGTATAAAGTGTATTGACTGTATTCACAAACAACAAAAACTGAAAACTGAAAACTCTCAAAAAGAAACTAAACAAGTGGTTGGACTCACCCTCCCTTTCTTGTAGTGGCTATGTATTATTATGTGCCATGAAGTGGAGACGATAAAATAATAAATAAATAAAGTGTATATAGTACCCAGCTGGTTACAGTGATGGAGAGTTACTCTTAACTCGTACCCATATGTCCATTGCCTTTCTACAAATAAATAATAAAAAAGAAAAAAGACTAAAAAAAAGAGTAGAGAAGTTTAGAGAAGTACAAGAACGAAGAAATGGAAAAGAGAAAAGTTCTTGAGATGAAGAGCAGAGAGAAGAGCAGAGAGACAGACTGGAAAGAAGTTCTACAGAAGATATGAGAGAGAGAAGAAACGTGAGAGAATAGACAGAACGAAAATAGCAAAGACAAAGTCCACAACGAATTCAAACAATGTCGATCTTGTTCACAAGTCAACCATCAGGCAGGAACACCATCCTTCTTATGACGTACCACAACACTGTGGAGCAGAAGGCCAAAGGAAGCTCCTTGCGTAAGTAGAGGATGACTCGGGCACCAAGTAGAGCTGCCATCAGCTCGAGGCGGGGGATGGAGCACGGCTTTACTGGCGCAACACGAGACTTGCTGTAGATGAGGTGAGATGTCCGCTCGTGGGCATTGTCGGTAACAAGATAGGCAGCTACGCCATAGGCTGCTTCAGACGCATCGCAGAAGACATGGAGCGCATGCGAGACATTGGGTGATGCGTTGCCGACGTACCGAGGGAAGGCTACAGTATGCGCTTCCTCTAAATCAATCGCAATACTCTGCCATCGATCCAAGATTTCAAGTGGAAGAGGGTCATCCCAGCCTACATCTAACTTCCACACGTCCTGGAGAAGTATCTTGGCGCGCACCAGAACAGGAGAAAGCAATCCAAGGGGATCGAAGAACTTGGCCACGGTTTGCAGTAGGTGACGTTTGGTTGCTATGACGGCATGAGTGGCAGCGACCTTTGTACAGAAGAGACTATCTTGACAGGTATCCCAAAGCATACCAAGGCACTTTTGTGTACCGGTTGAAGCGCAATCGAGTTCGGGAACGTGGTGAAGGAACTCTGGACTGTTGCTGGACCATTCTCGGGCATTCATCGATGCGGCTGAGAATAACTTCTTCGTTGCAGTGTACTTATGAAGGGCCTCATCAGGAGAGGTTGCGCCGATAAACAAGTTGTCTACATAGATATTCCGAAGAAGTTCTTGCGCGTCTGGGACGTCGGCAATAGAAAGATGATGGCGAACAGTAGCTGCTAGAAGGAAGGGGCTACTGATCACCCCGAATGGCACACGACAGAAGCGGTAGACTACAAGATTCTCTGGTGAGGGTGGTTGATCAAGGTCCTTGACCCACAGAAAACGAGTGACGTCTCTGTCTGCTTTGCATAGGCTGAGTTGAAGGAAAGCTTTTTCTATGTCACTGGAAATGGCAATAGGCGAAAGGCGGAAACGCAGAAGGACTCCAGCGAGATCAGGGACGAGGTTCGGGCCAGCAGCTAGGCAGTCGTTCAGGCTGGGGTGGGAGCGTGAGAGCTTGGCGGAAGCATCGTAGACTATTCGGAGCTTTGTAGTCGTGTGTGAAGGCTTCTCTACGCAGTGGTGGGGAAGATAATGCACAGAATTCGAAGTGGGCCCAGGCGGTACTATCTCAATAATGCCTTTGGTCAACTGATCTTGCAACACACTGTTGTACTGTTGAAGAAGAGTACGCTTTGACGTGACACGTTTCAAAAGGGAAGTCAGTCGGCCCAGTGCTAATCCGTAGTTGGATGGAAGTTCGTCGTGCAGGTCCCGCCATGGCCACTCGACAACATAGCGAGAGTCCTCGAAAGAGAGTGTGTGGAGGAATCGCTGAAGAACGATGTCTTCGTGGTCTGCGTTGTCTGGGACAGGGAACTCTTCCGCTGCCCAAAACCGCTGCAAGTCCATAGAGGGATCTCCATCGCTGTGACTGTGGACTGCAAGACATGATTGACCCTCCGACGTGGCCGGTGTAGGTACCGTACCTGTACAAATGAAGCCGAGGGAAGACTGCAGGAGGACAAGTCCCCCTGGAAGTTCCAAGCGGTCTGGACCCACAATATGGTAGTAGTGATCGAGGCCCACCAGTATGTCGATGGGCAATGAGCCTGAAGAAGAAGCTAGCGGTTCGGCAAGGGGCAATGATTGCAAGACTGGATACCGCTTTGCCAATTCTACCCTCTGAATCGGTGCAGTTATTTCTGGTAACACACATGCTTTGAGGAGGTGCATAGAGCCATCATTGCACTGCACCCTAACTTCCACCTGGTCATATTCTGTTGTGTGTCGCTTGCTATTGCCAAAGGTTGCTAAAGAAATATACTGCTTACCGACTGTAGGCAGGTTGAGACGTGTTGCTAAGTGTGAAGTGACATACGTTCGATTTGCACCAGTGTCGAACAAGATTCTCGCATTGACAATGTCACCATCGTGTGTTGAGCATGATGCTACGGCCGTTTGCATTACGACATGGCTACCACCGTTCGCTGTAAGTGTGTTGGCGTGAGGTGTGAAAACCTCCGCATGAGCGCTTAGGCTGGTTTGGGATGAGGCTGTGAATTTAGTCGGGCACAAACTGCGGTGATGGCCAGACGTTTTGCAATGATAGCAAGTGATTGTGCTAGTGCATTCACGTGTACTGTGCCGTGTACTGAAGCATTTGAGGCAACGACCTTTAGCTGCCTTCTGTCTGTCATTGATCGTGGTAACTTTGGTGCATTCGTCTGTATAATGTGCGGCCTTGCAAAATGCACAAGTAGGCTTTCGCCGAGACATTGCTTGTACTGGTAATGAATGCCCAGAAGATGGAGATGGGGAAGGGGATGTGGCATGAGAGGCCTTGAAGCTGCTCGTGTCGTTGGGCTTCTTTGCAGGGCAAAGGCGATCTGCCGCTTTGTGTGCCGCAATGTACACTCCTAGAGCGTCTCTTAAGTCCTGGCAGGTCCATGGCGTTGGGCCCTTTTTTAGCTCAAGGGTTACAAGTGTGGCACGTGGAAGTTTGCTTGTCATGATGGAGATAATTACGCCTGAGTCAGTTTTCTCGCCGAGAGCATCAAGGCTACGCAAGTGAATTTCTAACTGGTCATACAACTTGCGTAACGAGGTCGTGGTGTTCGACGCGGAAGGTAAGTCGAGCATTGACGTGTAATGCGAATCCACCAGTACTTGTTTAGTGCCGAATCGGGCACGAAGGATATCCAACGCAATGGTGTAGTTTGCGTTCGACAAAGGGAGGCCGGAGATGGCGTCATGGGCCAACCCAGTAACGTGGTCCTTGAGGTAGGTGAGTTTTTGTATATCTGACAGTCCCGTGTTACTGTCAATTGAGGACATGAACATGTCATGGAACTCGCTCCATTTCAAAAAATCTCCAGAAAATTTGGAAATTTCAAATTTTGGTAATTTGACAGATGTTGTTGTTGAAGTAGTACAAGGCTGAGATTGAGATTGTAGCGTGTTGAGGAGAGCGGTCTGTTGTTGTAGGAGCTGTGACTGTGTTTGAGTCATGGATTTATGTTGTTGTTGTGTGGTAGATAGCAGTTTTGTTGCGGTAGCGTGTAGTGATGCTGAGGCTAAGACATGTTGATCATGCGAGTCTGGGTCGCTAGCGCCAGCTGGGTTTCCGATCGCGCAAGGCGATGACGTGTGTAACGTGCGTTTGATGGCAGTAATTGTGGAGCGAACAGATGATGAGCAATTTACACAATCCTCTAACTCAGTTTCAACATCTTCTTTAGAGATACCCAGATTCTCAGGAACCAAAATCTCAGCTAAACTACCACAAAAATCGTCATATGCTAATAAGGAAGATTCTAAAACACAGCACAAGAAACTTAGCTTTTGCAAGGTGTCCGTATCGGGAGAGGCAGGTTCGATGGTCTGGAGCAGGGCAGAGGCTTCCTTGATGTCTCTCTGAATGGCCACTTGCTGCACATGCACCTGCCTACGTCTGAGGAACAAAGTCCCGACGGGCGTCTTATCCTTCTTCGCTGGCATCTACTTAGTAGGGTTTTGGCACCAGTTTGTCGTCGTTGTCATCGCATCGACAAGAGTTTTTTTTTGTCTTTTATAAGGTTTTATTATTGCTATTGATGTAGCTCTGAGCTACTGATTAGAGCAGGAAAAAAACTGATCTCTACTCTAAGAAGAGACATGAAGAAGACTAGCGAAAAGCTGCTTGTAGAGCAACAAAATATAAAGTCGGCAAGTTCTTGCTGAGAACGGCGCTACATTCGGATCACTGGATCCATACTAGGCTCAAGCGATTCCTCAGGGGTCAGCGCGAAGGCAGAAATAGGCATGCGTGTACAGCCAGAAATGGACGTGTGTACACATAGGAGAGCAAGGGAAGCGCAACGCGAGCTGTAGCAGCCAGAAACGGATACATGCGCAGAAAGGGGAGCACACCGCGACATGCACGGCAGCCAGAAACGGATACATGCGCAGAAAGGGGAGCACACCGCGACATGCACGGCAGCCAGAAACGGGTACATGCATACAACAGAGAGCAAGTAGAGCACACTGCTAGCTGCAGGACAGCCAGACATGGCTGGGTGCATACAAAAGGGAATCACTTGGTGCAAAAAAAAGGGGGCACATAAATGATCACGACTGATGTTCGTGACAACCACCACCACCACCAGGCAGACCGTTATGAGAACAAGTGCTGCCAATAGCACTGCACCACCAATGCCAATGTACAGACCAACCATGCTGGCTTTTGGGTAACATCAGTTCCGCTCGGCGAGGAACTGACCACCGATGGCATACCGTCTGACGATGAAGAAGCTATATAAGGAAAACAGTGACACACAGCAGCGTGTAAATAAGCGATGAGGTGATAACTGTTTCAGAATTACGAACAAGAGATGAATCGACACGTGTAACGGCTTTACCGTACATGGAAGAAAAATGAATCAAGCAAGTTAACTTAGGCTGTGACGGACAATCAAAAAATCAGTGCATCACAGCCTAAGTTTACTTGCATGATTGGTTTGTTCTTCCATGTACAGTAAAGCAATCACACACACACACACACACACACACACACACACACACACACACACACACACACACACACACACACACACACACACACGCGCACGCACACGCACGCGCACACACACACACACACACACACGCGCGCACGCACGCACGCACACACACACGCACACACCGTGACATGCGGATTCAGCCCGTCCTTTTGTTCGCAATTCTGCGCCAGCGGCGTTGTCACTAAACCTGTCACACTGACACATGGTCACATGATCACTTGCTTAGAAAGTTCCAATACCGGAGTATTTATATGTCACACATGCCAGCAGCTAGCTTGCATTACACATCACATTGCACATCACATTACACATCACGTGGATGTGGTCAGGAAAACAACCACCTGATAGCAACACCACGTAGGAGGGGATTGTAGGTGGTATTCAAACATTGCCTGTAATGACATTTTCCACACGGTTTCGCGCACTATTTGGTGCGCAAGCTACCGGATTTACGAACATTTCCGGATCAGAACAAAGTGGGCTGGAATTACCGGAGCATACCGCCACATCTCCCACCATCATGCCTTCGGGAGCTTCTCCTTTCAGACATTGCATTTAGACAGCTGGAGCGGTGCAACAGCCAATAGTGCCACCACATACACCCCCCCCCCCCCTCCGCTTTCAGGACATTCTCCTTTGCATCACCGCTGCACACTGGCTGTGTGTATTTGAATTAACCCAAGCCTTAGCCGAATTCCAGGGAGTCTCCGTCGACAGCTTATGAAGAAGAAGCCAAAAAGATAGTAAAAAACAGAAAATGATAGAAAAGACACGGGGTGATAGCAATTTAACCCAGCGCTCTACGACAAGGCTTCTCCCAGTAGAATGAATCGTAACACCTGCTGAGCTGCCTGTCAGCCTACATGTGAGTGAGTATATGGGCAATACTGGCTCTGTTACACGTCACCATGGAAACGCAATTTGAATATCTACCAGCTGGTATTGTCCTTCAACGCTCATTGCCGCCAAACACCTTCTTCACAGGCGGTAGCCATAACAGTTAGTACGCTACGCATTTACAATTTACAGTCGTCCCTCTCTAATCCGGCACCTTTTGCTACGGCGTTTTCTGCTGGATTAACGAGGGTGCTGGATTAAGAAATCCTGCCCTCTGACCCGGCCCTACCGAATTACATGCATGTATCATACGTCAAAACGCAGGGTTTTTCCGTGTTGACCCAAGTATTTGGTGCACGGCTTTATATTCTCAACTGTTCTCCAGGAATATACACAGTGATAAAGTAAAACAGAGAACATGTTCACATGTACTCTTGCACACATACGCACACACACCTGAAAATTGGCAGGACACTACTCCTTGCTAAAATAAGAAAGTATTGTTGACTGCTTAGCCGTTGTCTCCTGGACAACATTGACCCTCTTGAGAAGGCCACGCAAGCAGTCGACATCATGCAGGTCGAACGTTGTAGTTAGTTGTAGAATGTCAGTACCGTCAGTCAGTGTCGTGCAATGTTGTCGCATGAGCTGATTGTTTAGAAACTGGTGGTGTTAGTGGACAGTATAGCGTAACTTGTAGTTCCTTGGTCTTTCTCCTTGTATACATTGAGTTAGGGTTCGGAAAAGTCCTAACAACCAACCGAACTGAACTCTCCCGCGCGAGGTCGAGGACAGTTGTCAACTGAACTGAACTCTGAAGTGGCCCCGCGCGCGCGGCACTGACCAGACTGGCCTAGCCTGGCCTGGCAAGGAGTGCACCTGTCCAGTACGCGATACACGACTGCCGGATTATGAAATCAAACTACGTGCAGTTTGAGCCATTCGTTTCAAAAAGTCACTGCCGGAGGCGGAAGTGCCGGATAAAGATGTTGGAATTGAAGGAAAAAAATCGGTTTCGTCAGAAAGTGCGCCGGTTGGCAAGGGTTCCGGATAAACAAGTGCGGAATTAGAGAGGGACGAATGTACATTCACGTGCTCTGTGACTGCCTTGTATTCACGGTTACTTCCCTGAGTTCATTGTAAGTGCATGTACATGCATATTATACTGTACATACATTCTGACTGCAGTGTCTATTGTACTGTACATACATTCTGACTGCAGTGTCTATTGTACTGTACATACATTCTGACTGCAGTGTCTATTGTACTGTACATACATTCTGACTGCAGTGTCTATTATACTGTACATACATTCTGACTGCAGTGTCTATTGTACTGTACATACATTCTGACTGCAGTGTCTATTATACTGTACATACATTCTGACTACAGTGTCTATTATACTGTACATACATTCTGACTGCAGTGTCTATTATACTGTACATACATTCTGACTACAGTGTCTATTGTACTGTACATACATTCTGACTACAGTGTCTATTGTACTGTACATACATTCTGACTACAGTGTCTATTATACTGTACATACATTCTGACTACAGTGTCTATTGTACTGTACATACATTCTGACTGCAGTGTCTATTATACTGTACATACATTCTGACTGCAGTGTCTATTATACTGTACATACATTCTGACTACAGTGTCTATTATACTGTACATACATTCTGACTACAGTGTCTATTGTACTGTACATACATTCTGACTGCAGTGTCTATTGTACTGTACATACATTCTGACTGCAGTGTCTATTGTACTGTACATACATTCTGACTACAGTGTCTATTGTACTGTACATACATTCTGACTACAGTGTCTATTGTACTGTACATACATTCTGACTACAGTGTCTATTGTACTGTACATACATTCTGACTGCAGTGTCTATTGTACTGTACATACATTCTGACTACAGTGTCTATTATACTGTACATACATTCTGACTACAGTGTCTATTGTACTGTACATACATTCTGACTGCAGTGTCTATTGTACTGTACATACATTCTGACTGCAGTGTCTATTATACTGTACATACATTCTGACTGCAGTGTCTATTGTACTGTACATACATTCTGACTGCAGTGTCTATTGTACTGTACATACATTCTGACTACAGTGTCTATTGTACTGTACATACATTCTGACTGCAGTGTCTATTGTACTGTACATACATTCTGACTGCAGTGTCTATTGTACTGTACATACATTCTGACTGCAGTGTCTATTGTACTGTACATACATTCTGACTACAGTGTCTATTGTACTGTACATACATTCTGACTGCAGTGTCTATTGTACTGTACATACATTCTGACTGCAGTGTCTATTGTACTGTACATACATTCTGACTACAGTGTCTATTGTACTGTACATACATTCTGACTGCAGTGTCTATTGTACTGTACATACATTCTGACTGCAGTGTCTATTGTACTGTACATACATTCTGACTGCAGTGTCTATTGTACTGTACATACATTCTGACTGCAGTGTCTATTATACTGTACATACATTCTGACTACAGTGTCTATTGTACTGTACATACATTCTGACTGCAGTGTCTATTGTACTGTACATACATTCTGACTACAGTGTCTATTGTACTGTACATACATTCTGACTGCAGTGTCTATTGTACTGTACATACATTCTGACTGCAGTGTCTATTGTACTGTACATACATTCTGACTGCAGTGTCTATTGTACTGTACATACATTCTGACTGCAGTGTCTATTATACTGTACATACATTCTGACTGCAGTGTCTTTTGTACTGTACATGCACTCTCAGACTACACTGCTACTTCTGCAGAGGCGTTCTGACAGCAATAAATCTACTCCAAGTGTTGTAAACAGTATTTCCGCAAATAGTAGGCCGGTCTACTATTTTTTCAAACTCGTCCTAACCCGGCCTTATAATTGAGGACGGTCTTTTATTCTTTCAACCCAGTTTGACCCTCCGGCCTTCTATTTTTCGCCACACAGTTTTACCCCCGTTCTTCCATTTTCTTCTACACAGTTTGAGCACAGTCTTCTATTTTTCTCATACTCATTTAGTAGGCCCGGTCTTCTAATCGGAGACGGTCTTGTATTTTTTCAATCGCCCCCTGCCCCGGCCTTGTATTCGAGGAAGGTGTTGTATACGAGGAAATACGGTATGTACTGCGAGTGCTGTATATGTATCCCAGAGAACCATATCTCTTGTATACACATTGTGCCCTCCGTAAATACACCATGTCTGTTGTAAATATATCGCATCCTCTCTGTTATTACATCACATGTGTGATATGCACCTGTCTCACATTCATTGGTACTGGGATATGTAGAGAAGTACGGTAGACAGAAAGGCATATTAGCTAAACATAAACACACTGAATACTTACCATTGTTACCAGGCATGCTGGTCATCCGAGGTACAGTGGTAGTTGGTCTTGGGTGAACTGTGTATAGAACAGGTATACTAAGTAGTGTAGAGTTGTGTGGAGACAGGGCAAACTCGTATAGGCCATCCTTGAACGGGACTGACTCATTGAACACACTGTAACTACAGGTGTCTGACTGGTTTGTACTAGGAATGTTAACGCACTCGACTTTGTACGGCCGAAACCAAACACTTAAGTTGACCAGGTAGTTACGAAGATGGGCTGAGGGCAGAAGTATATCACTTGTACCGGCATTCACGATGAAGAATTGGGAGTGATTCTTGGCCAGCTCTGCAGCAACAGTGTCAGCTGTAGTGCGAGAGAAAGAGAGAGAGAGAGAGAGAGAGAGAGAGAGAGAGAGAGAGAGAGAGAGAGAGAGAGAGAGGGGTTGGCTGTGAGGGGGTTAGTTATTCAACATGGTTGGACAGAAGATTTGTTAACTCTCTGCACTATTTGTTGCTTGCATCGAGAGTCCTTGGGAATCACACAATTGCGTCGATGGGTGAAGTAGAATAGTTCTCCTCTTTCACCACAAGTAAAATGATACCATAATGCACAACTATTCATTGCTTTGGATTATAGATTTGAATCTGTACGTCGGGTTCTTCGTTTGACACTTTGCTTACCGTTCTGTTCTTCTATCTATACTCTGCATTTTCCACGCCTGCTCTGCTCCTTTTTTCTCTTGCTAGTACCATGTTTCCTTTTCTCTGACTCGCTGATTGTCAATTTGTCTAGTTTCAAATTATTTCATCGTCTGCCAGATTGCAGAGATAGTTTCCTGCATCATAGCCAACTGTTACTTTTCGAACACATTTTTGCATAGGCATTTTCACGAGTTATGTTGACTTCATACCCTATTAGGTATACACCATAATTGCGTGTATGCACACTGCTTCTGCCTTATTTGCCGTATTTGCATGCTGCGCTTGTTGTTTGTTTATTTAGAGTCGAAGAACAAACAGGCAAATTTGCCTAATTACGTGATATCGACTAAAAGAAGAATAAAGTATAAAGGCCAGTGAAGGTAATTGTTGTAATCCTGACTTTACTCCGGTCAGAGATAAACAAATTTAAACAGAGAACACAACACATAGTTGCAATGGATCCAAGCTTATATTATCATGAGCCTTAAAGGCTTAGCTAGAGTGGTTGAAGGATGATTAGAATGAAGAGAATCAAGCGCTTAGAATCACTTCTAGAAGCGGGACAATAGAAGCGCGACAATAGTAGCGCAATAATAATGAAAAGCAAAAAGGACAAAGGAACTACAAGTTACACTATAATGTCCACTAACACCACCAGTTACTAAACAATCAGCTCATGCGATAACATTGCACGACACTGACCGACGGTACTGACGTTCTACAACTAACTGTCTAACAGCTCTAGCACATCTTGGATGCGCACTCCAACAGCCTTCCAACTTGGAAGGTTCTAAGTTATAGAAATAACATAAGGAGGGGAAGGTGAGCGCAACCAAGATAAGCATGAGCTGTAATAGCGGGACATTAGTATTGTACCGCGCATGCGAACATCATTATTTTACACAGTATGGTAAGAGAAGCTTAGTGATGCAGAGCCTCTGTTGGTAAAATTATGTGTCAGAATCTCAAGTACGCCTGCTCAGAATTCAGTTCGTCGTCACAGTGTAGCAGAATGTAGCAGAATGTAGCATGCAATGTAGCATGCAGTGTAGCATGCAATGTAGCATACAATGTAGCATGCAATGTAGCATGCAATGTAGCATGCAGTAACTTCGAAATAATTTATGTACGAAAAGCATTTCATGTGAACGAAGAAGTTTTCGAGATTAGAGCATTACGGAGGAATATGTAAGCAGCTGCAGATGGACAAGGCATTCAGAGCACTGCTAGACTGAAAGCATTTTCCATTTGTTGAATACTACAAGACTTACTGGAACTAGAAGGCAAGCAATAATTGTTGTGATCGTAAAATATGTGTGAAACTATTTCTATTGGCAAATTTACAACAGTGATAATACCAAGAGTACATAACCCCCCAGAGTGTGCAACGCCTGATCCAGCTCTGCATAAGGTCTTGGTCGAGCGGAATCGAATCTTTGCGTCATACTACCGTACACATCTGAGGGGAACCCGGGGAGTCGCGGGTACTTTTGGATCAAAAACAATGGTGCCCTGCCTCGAGACCGGCCTTGCGCACTGGTGTGGAGTGTACGCATGACATCAGAAGATCCGATTACGCTCGACCAAGACCCTATGCAGAGCTGGATCAGGCGTTGCACACTCTGAGGGGTTATGTACTCTTGATAATACTGAATAGAGCTCTTGCTGCACAGGTTAGCATCCCCACGCTTCCTGGCCGAAGCCACATTGACCGCGCCGCGTGTGTACTCACGCGCGCGCGCACACACACACACACACACACACACACACACACACACACACACACACACACACACACACACACACACACACACACACACACACACACACACACACACACACACACACACACACACACACACACACACACACACACACACACACACACACACACACACACACACACACACACACACACACACACACACACACACACACACACACACACACACACACACACACACACACACACACACACACACACACACACACACACACACACACACACACACACACACACACACACACACACACACACACACCTGTTCCTGTTCCTGTTCCTGTTCAGCACTGCCACAAGGGCCACGTGGCTCTCCTTAAGAGAGAACCGGGGAGGAGGGAGGTCGCTGGCATCTGTGTCGGGTGAGGTCGCTCCCGCGGCGAAAACGGCGGCCACAGTCGGGGCAGGACCATATGTCAATCGTGTTGCTGCAGTCGGGCGATGCGTACTACGGTGGCATTTGTGTCGTGATCTGTCAGACGGTCTGGCGAAACAGCGGTCACATGTGGGGCAGTGAGCTGCGCAACAGTCCCTTGCAATAGCTTGGGGATGGTCTTCACGGGGCTGAGGATCATGGGGTGTGCATTTATGCCGCGATAGCCCACCACGGCTGCGTAGCCACCGTTGACATTGGGGACATTGCACTGCACCGCGCTGCTCTGCTATGGGCTTGGCCCTTTCATCCAAGCACTTGTGACGGCGCTTGTCCGAAGGCCTGCTAAATACGCGTCGGCAGACAAGACATTGCACATTACGCACTGGTGACGAAGCTGGTTCCAGCTCACGGTAGATGTTCCTCCACCCTGGTCGTGACTGGGTATCTTCTGGCCAAGAGTCCTGTACGTCACATCGCTGTAGATCCGGACTCAGAGCGTCTCGCCAGCACACACACACACACACACACACACACACACACACACACACACACACACACACACACACACACACACACACACACACACACACACACACACACACACACACACACACACACACACACACACACACACACACACACACACACACACACACACACACACACACACACACACACACACACACACACACACACACACACACACACACACACACACACACACACACACACACACACACACACACACACACACACACACACACACACACACACACACACACACACACGTGACGTCAGCCGGGCTTCTCCACGTCTCCTTTCCTCGTCCCCGCCGGTTCTGTTGTGAGTTCCGGTTTTTCTTCTGGTGTTAATTAGCTCTCCCAAGATTGAGTTTGATTGTTGATTTCTCTATATCCTTACCTGCCCAATTCATTTGCAAGTACCAGTCCTTTTATTTACATTACTGTCAGAGTCTGTCGTTGTGAGCGTTGTGTGTGGAAAACATGTAACCGTTATACCTTCTTCTGCCTTCCTATCACTGCACACCTTGTACGCACCTATCACTGCACACCTTGTACACGCCTATCACTTCACACCTTGTACACGCCTATCACTTCACACCTTGTACACGCCTATCACTTCACACCTTGTACACGCCTATCACTTCACACCTTGTACACGCCTATCACTTCACACCTTGTACACGCCTATCACTTCACACCTTGTACACGCCTATCACTGCACACCTTGTACACGCCTATCACTTCACACCTTGTACACGCCTATCACTGCACACCTTGTACACGCCTATCACTGCACACCTTGTACACGCCTATCACTGCACACCTTGTACACGCCTATCACTGCACACCTTGTACACGCCTATCACTGCACACCTTGTACACGCCTATCACTGCACACCTTGTACACGCCTATCACTGCACACCTTGTACACGCCTATCACTGCACACCTTGTACACGCCTATCACTGCACAGCTTGTACACGCCTATCACTGCACAGCTTGTACACGCCTATCACTGCACACCTTGTACACGCCTATCACTTCACACCTTGTACACGCCTATCACTGCACACCTTGTACACGCCTATCACTGCACACCTTGTACACGCCTATCACTGCACACCTTGTACACGCCTATCACTGCACACCTTGTACATGCCTATCACTTCACACCTTGTACACGCCTATCACTGCACACCTTGTACACGCCTCTCACTTCACACCTTGTACACGCCTATCACTGCACACCTTGTACACGCCTATCACTGCACACCTTGTACACGCCTATCACTGCACACCTTGTACACGCCTATCACTGCACAGCTTGTACACGCCTATCACTTCACAGCTTGTACACGCCTATCACTTCACACCTTGTACACGCCTATCACTGCACACCTTGTACACGCCTATCACTGCACACCCTGTACACGCCTATCACTGCACACCTTGTACACGCCTATCACTGCACACCTTGTACACGCCTATCACTTCACACCTTGTACACGCCTATCACTGCACACCTTGTACACACCTATCACTGCACACCTTGTACACGCCTATCACTGCACACCTTGTACACGCCTATCACTTCACACCTTGTACACGCCTATCACTGCACACCTTGTACACGCCTATCACTTCACACCTTGTACACGCCTATCACTGCACACCTTGTACATGCCTATCACTTCACACCTTGTACACGCCTATCACTTCACACCTTGTACACGCCTATCACTGCACACCTTGTACACGCCTATCACTTCACACCTTGTACACGCCTATCACTTCACACCTTGTACACGCCTATCACTGCACACCTTGTACACGCCTATCACTTCACACCTTGTACACGCCTATCACTGCACACCTTGTACACGCCTATCACTGCACACCTTGTACACGCCTATCACTGCACACCTTGTACACGCCTATCACTGCACACCTTGTACACGCCTATCACTGCACACCTTGTACGC